AGTCAAGTATCTCATGGCCATCGGAAAAGGTGAGGTGTCTCTCTCTAGCAGAGACAACCAACATCGGCGGGGTTTTGAGGGACCGGTGCAGAACGGCACTGTCTTGTTCTCCCGTCGAAATAGCAGTTGCTGCAATGGATGCTAGTGTTCGTTGCTGGCGAGGCATCATGAATTTTGGAGTGGGCGAGGTAGAACACAATATCTTGGTACCAGACATAGCCCTGAAGGGCCCTAGAGCTACCTTTTGAGCAATCATCTTGGCTTGGAAGAAGCGGTCTCTGAACTGATGCAAGTGACGTGATGCGGATCGCGTGTTTGGCGTTTTCTCCAGTGAGATGTCAAGATAGAATGACCAAATAATACCCCGTTTGCGATCAGGAAAACTCAAGTACTACCTTTTCAATGCGCAGATCACGTCTTATGATTGTTGTAGCTCAGACGCCTGAAGATTAGCAGATGGATATTCCACGATCGGCGAATGTCTTGAGCGTGTTGGGCGTGTTGGGCGTATCTCGGCCGCCTGACCAGGTTGATACCCCGCCAACTCTCATCCACACATCCAATTGTTTACGAGGAATCCTGCATTCCTCAGATAATGCTACGCCAAGTCGAGTTAGCATTGTCTCCTCCCGTCTCTAACTTGCATACAACTGCGGGGTGGTGGCTCGGCATCCAGATAAGGGGGCGGCTAGTATCGGATACTCTGCCCCGATCTCGGTGATGCATGTATCCTAAAGCCGCGCTCGTATTAATAAAGTTTCTATCGTTTCAACCCAGTGCCATTCAAAGGCCTATTTCTTCCTCTTTAAGCTGGACCATTCACGCATCTCCCTCGGTGCACTCTTCTCGATACCCCACGAGATCTTGCCCACTCAATTCACATTGGAACAATATATTCACAGCTGTGCCTGTTTCATTGTCTTCTGTTTCTTCGCACTTTTAGGCCCACCATACCAACTCCACCTCGGGGCAGCAGACGTGGACTGTTGAACCTTCTCTAGACTTAATCAACACATATACCAGAAGCTCCTTGATTTCAAAGAGCCATAAATTTGTGAAGATCTATACTGCAGCATTCCAAACTATAACATCTTGTTATCCTAAGCATTATGGTCTATCTTATCCGAAGGCAATGATAGCCACAACACTCAACGCACCAGCAAACTGCCTTGAATAATGATATTAATGAGGAAAATGACATTGAACACATCGGCACAAGTAGTGAGTCTGATAAAAACTCCTGTTGCATGTTAGATTGCACACAATCCTCCAGGAATTCTTCCTTGAGCACCTCCAAGACTGGTAGAAGTCCACATATTCTCAAACCTCCCTTCGCACCAACACTTCTTCTACCTCACTCTCTTCTGGGCCTAGGGGCGCCTGTGCTTCCCCAGAATCTTCTACCGCGGGAACATCCCGATCTGCCGCGATATTTACGGCATCACTTAGTGTTTTCATAGTCATTCTAAGTCTGTCTTAGCCCCGATCCTGACGTACAGCACAAGGGTAGGCATTCAGGGCATTGTGGGCGCAAAAGGCCTTTCAGCGGTAAGTTTTCTAAATGGTTGCCTCAAGAGTAGCTCTGGGGCCTTTAAAAGCTACATCCGGTCCCAAGATAGTGCTTCCTGCCCCGTTTCGTTTGCTATTTATGATGCGTCGCCAAGGGTCTTCTCTCCTCGAAAACTTTCAATTATTCCATTCGTAGATACAGCAACAATGATTTCAGAGCTCTTTTCTTAAACCTCGAGTGTCATGATTCATCTCGTGAACATCTATCCCGAGTAACGTTTCTCAAATGGGTTAATCTGGTGCAGCTTACAGGATCGGGACAGCAAGTGAAAGAAAAGAACACATGCATGTATGAGCAATCAGGCAATATCGCAAGAAGATACAATAACCAATTTTTTATGTTTGAGTCCATTGTCAATCAAAAAACACCCTACCTAAGAACTCACATATCAGAGGCTCGATGTCACCCCCTCTCACCCTTTGACCCTGCCTCCAACCTGCAGATTTAGTTGGTTCCACTCTGTTACGCCAACCCGAAAGAGGGAATGCTGGTGAGAGCCACCAGCAGTCAAGTCTTGGGAGAGCCGTCCATCAATGCAGAGTGACCATGCCAGTCCGATCTTATCCTTGATAGGCCATCCGATGAGTGAGCCGTTCTGGTAGCTTTGGCAAGATCGATCCTTTGTCGGGATCGCCTTCCGATGCCGTATCAGCTGATGACACTTGACTCCTTGAGCTATGGATAACTCCCTGTTCGTTTTTAAGGTTTCTTTCTTGATGCCCCATACAGACCACTAAGCGGTCTGTCTACCCCAAATCCCGTCTTGGTAATATTGATGAGCGCCATGAGAGCCATCTTCCCGCCTTATACCCCGAATCGGGGCCGCGAGTGTCGGAGCATCGTACCCCTCCATGACTATTATTTAGAGTAGGCCAATCAACGTTCCCTTTTTCTATCCATCTCTCCTTTCTCGATTGCTCTTCTATATCGTGCTCTCTTTATTTATTATTTCGGCTCATTGAGTGAAGTGCTACAGTATGTTGGACCTTATTGTCATCGGTGCCGGCTTCAGTGGCCTGCAGGCCGCCTACTCAGCCCAACAAGCCGGTTTGTCAGTAGTTGTCGTCGAAGCTCGCGATCGCGTCGGCGGCAAGTCATGGAGCGTGCCATTGGCCTCAAACCGAGGAACCGCTGATCTCGGCGCCGCTTGGGTCAATCCTTCCAAGCAGCATCGCATCTGGAGCTACGCCAAGCAATTCGGCATGGACAAGAACAACACGGTCCAGCGACTCACCGGCAAGGCTATCATGAACGTGAAGCCCGGCGAGAGAATCGTGTACCCATTTGGTATCACTCCAGAGGTAAGTAGATCGATGCATTGGTTATGCACGCCTTACCCTCTAACCGTACCGCTGCTGACAATTTTTATGTACGTCGGTCAGTTCACACCCGAGGTCAAGAAGAATCTCGAGTACATCCGTGACCATGTTCAGGCAGAGTCCCTCAAGCCCGGGCCTCCCAAGGTCGAGGACGACAATGTGTCCATGGACCAATATGTCCGCGCACTTGGCGCTCTGCCCGAGACTTGCAAAATGGTTAATGTGTGGACCAAGGCTATGCATGGTGTCGAGTCTCATGAAGAGTCTGCCGCTTATTTCATCGACTACTGCCGCAAAAACACCGGCCTCTTGTCTGTCCGAGGAGATGATGATGAGGGTGGCAATTATATGCGACTCCACGCAGGTATGATTGGATAATGCACAATCCAGCCTTCAAACACAAAGTCGTCGTAGTAGCTCCAGCTAATCCTTCATCGCTCGCGCAGGTACTCAGAGCATCGCCAAGGGCATTGCGCGACTGATTGGCGCTCACAACATCCTACTCGGCAATCCCGTCGCTTCGATAGAGAACCTCGACAGCCACGTAAACGTGTACACAACTACCGGGAAAACCCTCCGTGCACGCAAATGCATAATCTCCCTCCCCAGCACCATGTGGAAGGAGCTCACCTTCAACCCGCCCCTACCCCAGGAGCTCAAGACGATCTCTGACAACACCAAGCTGGGCAACTACAACAAAGTTATAGTCGCGTGGGACAAGCCCTGGTGGAGGGATCTCGGATTCAACGGATTCTTCATGAGTTTCGAGGGAGGCCCTGTGGCGCTTGGCCGCGACACGAGCGTTCCGGAGAAGAACCTGTATGCCTTCACCCTCTTCGTCCAAGGTGACGCAGGATATGAGTGGTCTCAAAAGCCCGCCCACGAGAGACGAGCTATTATTCTTGACCAGCTTGCTTCCATCTTTGATGTAGGGTATGATTCTGAGCTCTACAAGCCCATTGAGATCTTCGAGATGGTCTGGAAAGGGGAGACCTTCAGCCGAGGAGCTTTGGTCCCGGTTACCAAAATCGGCGACTTCACAAAGTACGCTTCAGTGTATGGCAAGCCCACTGGCAACTTGCACTTTGTTGGCACAGAGTTCGCTCCTGTCTGGAAGGGTTACCTAGAAGGAGCTTTGGCGTCAGGTGAAGTCGGCGCCAAGGAAGTTGCGGAGGCTATCAGCAGCAGTCCTATCGCCAAGCTGTAAATTATTGCACGATTTGAACTTATGATGACATACAAGGACGAGGGTACGTCGAGGTTGAGACTTCCAGTTGCTGTGATGGGAAATTTAGGCTTATAGCAGCTTGGGTCTTGTCTTTTTTAGCATAGCAGTTTGCATTTGAAACACGGATGGAAAGGTAACATGTTGTTAGTCATGCGCATCTGATATAAAAATAAATGTTGGGTTAATAGTACGACACGTACATTTGGTGACCCCTGTTTTCAAAAGTCACCATTGCGATGCAATCTCTAGCTCATAAATCATGTTCTTCCACAGCTCGCCTTCCAACCCAGGGCGTGCAGCGGGGTCCAACTCCTGGAACCATCGACGGACAGCCTCGTAATCCCTTCTACTGCGATCTCGAGACCACCACAGCCCCTTGAAGCGACACATGAGTCCGCACCAGTATCCATACAGCCATGTGGCCTTCTCGTTCTGCTGATAGAGCAATTCCCGAAAGTGTGGGTGCGCCTTGGCCAAGAACGCGAAATGGTGGAACGAGTTGGTTGGCAAGGGCTCAACCTGGCGAAGGAAAGCCACCAACATCATAGGAGCTCCCAGAACTTCACTCATCGGCAGATTAGATACCACAACTTTAGAATCCTCGGAGCTTGAGCCCGGGGCGCACGTGCTAGGTGCAACAGCAGCAGTGCCCAAATCGAAGAAATCGATCCAGGCCTCGGGGACGCCTTGCAACCCTTGGGACATGGCCACATGGCGGCTTTCGTTTACCCCTAGGAAGATGGGTCCAAGGAGCTCCATGGCTCCCTGAAGGCGGTGTCCACCGGATTTAAGGAGTGGTCTGAGACCAGATTGCAGAGCCAGCCAGCCCAGCGCCTCAGTTGAAATGTTTACCCAACAATCCTCTGATGGGCTTCTACCCGAATTATAAGGAGCCCTTGGGGGCAATGGAAAGCAGAGAATATTCAGGAGCATTCCACCTAAGACCAGCTCGTTAAATTCTGCTTCGCTCATTTTTGAGACGGGCACAGTGAGTCTGCTGAGATACTCCTGGACTGCCAACGATTGGTAGAAATGTTCGGCGATCTGGTGACGCAAGTTGTCTCCAGCAAGGTGTCGAAGATTGCATGCCGTGATCCCGAGAACGACATTGCGAATCAAATGGCTGGATTGAAACATGAATTTGAAAACATCAGTGAACTCCACGTGCAAGATATCCCCCCAACGACTCTCACAATACTGCATGAGTTCCAACATCGGAGTGCCGTTCTTGGCGTTCAACAGAGGAAAAGGAGAGGGCGTATTCAAGGTAAAAAGACACAGAGAGAATCCGCTAGGGGGAATCCCGATTCCTGCTCTGGATCTCGCGATCAGTTGGTTTGACGGGGGAGGTCCGTCTTCGCTGTAGTAGCACTGCCGTCCATTTCTCACGCACCGGACACAAACCGGCCTCTTCTCATCGCACTTGACAGAAGTCAGTATAACAAACCGCGGAATAAATCGGTGGCAAGATGACCAACCTTTACTTTCTTGGACTTGCAGGTGGAGCAGCCAGACTTGGTTCTGGGGAACACTTTGCGCTTCCGGTAGCCGGGAATGCGAGCATCCCAGTCTGTCGCGAGCACGACATGAAACTGATCCGCCATACTCAAACCTGCTGCCCGTCGTGAGCTTGCAAAGCCAAGCGTAGCTCAAAGCAGTAACCGAGCGTGGAGCTGCCGGCGTCTTTATGCTTTCTTTACGTCCGTCATCTCCGTAATCTTGATGACGGATGACGGATGACGGCTGCAGGGGTGAGTGGAAACACAGCTCGGTTACTTGATTCAGATTAGCTTCTCTCCAGCTCGGTTACTCTTCCTGGCCTAGTCTCAATGACGGGCGAAGGCATTATATACGCCTACACTGGAATGCGAATATAAAAGGGGATGCAAATACCTTTAGAAGGAATATCTTTCTTGGACCACGCTTCAGTAGCAATCTTTTGTATCTATTACTTCTTGTTCACTCTGAAAATATGCCCAGCTCGTGCAAAAACACCACGAAACAAGATGCCAAACCGCTCAAGGCATCGAAGGACATGGAGCCTTGGGAGAAATTCTGGGGCCCAGTCTTCTATCAGAATCAGTTCAAAACCACGCTCGAGGTGCCCTCCAAAGGGTCCTGGCCGGATGTAACTGGCAAGTGCGCTATAGTCACAGGTTCAAACTCGGGACTAGGCTTGGAGTCTTCGAAGCAACTCCTCTCTCTTGGCTTGTCACATCTGGTGATGGCTGTACGGTCGCTCGAACGGGGCCGAGCTGCCGCCAACACCCTTGTTGAGCAGAATTCCTCCGCAAAAATTGATGTTTGGCAGCTCGACATGGAGTCATACGATTCTATTCAGGCCTTTGTTCGGAAATGCCAACAAGAGCTCTCACGCATCGATTTTGTGATTCTGAATGCCGGAGCTTCGCCCGTCCGCTTCGCCAAAGTCCCCGCCACGGGCCATGAGAGAACCATTCAGCTTAACCACATCAGTACCGCTCTTTTGGCTGTCCTTCTTCTTCCTGTCTTAAAGAGCAAGACCGCAGGCCCTGAACCACCTGTTCTGATCGCTGTCAGCTCAGTCATGGCTCACTTGACGAGTTTCACAAACAGGGAGCAGCGGCCACTGCTACCATCCTTTGACGACACATCCACCACACCTTTTAGTCCCCCAGACAGGTATGGTGTGTCGAAGCTGCTTTGCCAGTTATTCTTTGTGAGACTCGCTGAAAAGGTGGACCGTAACACTGTTACCATCAACCTAGTTGAGCCGGGTCTCATCAAGGGCACCGGCCTGTCACGCGAAGCGACGGGGATAGCTGGGGTCTTCTTCAACATCTTCAACGGAATTGCCGGTAGGCCTGTAGAACAAGGCGCCGCGACATATCTTGATGCAATACTCAGGCATGGCAAGGAATCCCATGGCTCTTATATCATGAATTTCAAATTCGCGCCGTAAGTTCATGAACCTCTTCTAACCCATAAGTCATTATATCACATAACTCACATTTTCGCCAGGCTATGCAAATGGTATTATTCTGATGGCAAAGCTTTGACCGATGTCATCTGGACCGAAACACTTCAGGAGCTTTCTTCGGTCAATCTCGATGATATCATCGCCTCTCTTTAACATATCCTTCCGTCTGAGCAAATCCCCAGATCTTGGTTTTATCAGCCGAAGAAGAAATATTAGGAAAGGGTCCAGGATTTCTAAAACAAGTCGGGGAGGTTCCTCTAATTAAATATTCGTCATCAGTCTAGCCAGTCCACAATTTGTCACGGGTGCCCGTCATATCACTACGATGCACCAAGCTCGAGTAGTAGTATACATGGTTTTCTCTCTCTATTCTGTCTAGTTGAATTCAATTCATTAATAAACCCATGGCTATTTTCACATCTCGGTTGCCTTCGACGCTCGGCGTTTTAGCCAATAGTGATTGCGTCGTCCAAATAATAAACCTGGCCCTGTCCATCGCGCATGATGAGCATCAATGGATATAAAGAATGAGACTCCCCGGCGTCTAAGTTCGGTTTGTAGTCTTGAATTATGTGACAAACCCTGGATTCCTTCTGGGGCCACTCATTCCATCTACCTGCCTCCATCGATATCTCAAGCCCATCCCAGGAAATGTCATGCTCGATTTCTATGACGCGCTTGCAAATCAAGCACATCTTATCTATCTGCCAGAGTCCTTGCCTCGTGGAGCCATATTGCCTGAGCAATGAGTAGGCTTGAAGTCTGGTAGGAAGGTGACGGCATTTGAGAATGACAGCTAGTATATTCGTGAGATATCCCGTCTCGAGCTGGAACACAGGCCGGCCTGGGGCGCCACCATTGCGCCGAATCATGGATGCACCGATCTCTTCCATGCGTGCAACTATGTCCCGATAGGATTGGATGAAGTGATCAAATCGCATCTCGGAGGTCTCGAATGCCGTCATCAACCCGATTTGGCACAGATCCAGAGTTACGAGACTGCCGAGGTACATCAATCTGTGATCGTCGGATTGTGAGCAATAAGTTCCCAACGGAACAACCCTCTCTCGAAATGTCTGAGTCACGCGTTGGAGCTCGTGCTGTTTTGCTGTCAGGTCTGCGTGAATTGGTAGATGTCGAAGTCGTCCGTGGCGATACTCTGCTCCATCAGCTGCGAGTTGGAATATCTGAAGATACAGCTCGTCGGTCATAACTCTCGCATCCTCCAAGGTTGAAAAGCCTGTATCGGCATGGAGTGGCCGCGCCAATGCATCTACCTCATTGCGACGACCGAATTTCAGGAGCAAGATGGACTGTCGCTGATAGAGCGGCAGCAGCGTGTTTCGCACCCACGGGCGGAGTCCCGGTGTTGCTCGTATGATGCGGAGCCCAGCTTCGAGGTGGCTCAGGGCCTTGCTTTCGCTCCCTTGCATCAGCTCGATGCATATAAACAGCAGGCATGCTAACAGGATCAGGTGGGTGTCGGTGAGGTCTTTGAGCTCATGTATGGCTGCATTGTAGTGCCGAAGTGCTGTCATATTGTGTCGTAGTTGAGGCATCAGCCTACCATTACCTATGAAGTCTTCATATAGCAAACTTATTGCAACAACGCTACGCCGGATAGCTGGCTCATGAGTCCCAATCTGCAGGATAGTGAGTCCAGAAGGAGGATGGGTATGGGCCGGACAACCACGGCGCGACGCCAAGCTGGAAGAAATGAAGAGCACGAGCCTCGTTGATGTGACAGAAGCCCCGGGTAGGAGACAGCACAGTCGCTGGCGCTGATGATTTGTATGTTTTCCAGTGGAATACAGGAGAGAAGCCGTCACATTTTCGTCCTGTGCTGGTGCACCGCTTGCACTCGGGTCGAGCCTCATCACACTGGCATGCCCAGAATTAGATGGTGCCTACATAAGAGTATCCCACGTTCGTACCTTGATTTTTCGTATCCTAGATATATATCAGCACGGTTGGTATCAATATTTCGCCATCAAGTGTAAGCATACTTGCATGTGTGGCATCCTGTGCGAAGCCTCTTGATACCTCCTCGGGGCATGCTACACTCTTGTGGAAGCCCAGAAGACAGGGTCCCGGGCGCCTCGGTGCAGCTCGCTTAATAAGTTGCTTCAGTGTAGACAAGCGAGGGGCAAAGAATTTTAGGTCATAACTTGTGTGTCTCAAAATTTAGTCCTGCTCATGTTGCGTGGCGTGATGAGAAAGGAAGAACGACTCATTGCGACACAGGGATTTGTAAACATGCGAAGTGGGTCAACAGGCTAAGCTCGAGACAGAATGGTTTTCTAGACTGGTCAATTATTAATCAATCATCATTGCTTGTCCATGCCCTACAATCAAAACATTCAGAGACGGCCAACTTCCGCGGCCAGCCAATCCGCACTCGTAGTTTTACCACGGCTAGAAAGTAGCTTACCAGGCTACTCATATCCCCCATCAGCCATACACCAGTTTTTATTTAATTGTTAATGGATTGAAATTAGAACAAGCTGTGTAATTATTTAAACGTTAATGTAGCAAATCGGGCAGTCTATGCGGGCTATGGTGTCAGTTCTGAGACTTCAACAACATGACTGACGGGTTTTCATATTTCAAACTTCTATTTCATGTTTATGAAGTTACCTATTCGCCAAGCATCTTTCTGGCAGACCCATATGGCGGATCTGTCGCACCTCCTCATCCAGCCTTACAATCTCGAGACCCGTCAATCAGTGGACAAGGGCAGGTCAAATTGACAAAACTAGCCTTGGCTCAAGCGACAATTATAGATGCGAAAGGTTGGCTCTATCTTATGTTAATAACATCAACAAACATACCTTGTGTCCATCAAACCTAACAATGTATGGATAGACTTTTCAGCGCCATCGAGCAGCAAGCCGCTTGAGAAACAGGCGGAAAACACTCATCTAGGACGCTTTCTACTCTGTTTAGAAATGTATTCATCGCACTTCCCTCTCTAAGCACAATTATTCAACTGCTCAAGTATCAACCGCGCATCTAGTCAAGGCAAAGGGCACTGCGGGATTCAGACTTGTTCCGGAAAAGTAAGAAAGTCCGAAAATATTAATTCCGGCTCATTGTTGCATAACTCCGTAAGCATCCCTGGTTGAGTTGGGGAAATGCGCTGAGGAAGATTTATGCGGCTTTCGGCTTTCATCAACTGAAATGCCGTAGTTTAGGGATTCGGACATCACAGGCAGCCTCATGGAGATAGCCTGGATTTATGTGAGTCGTGGCATCTTCAACTGGGCCTGAGTAGGTATAAGTACGATTCTTTCGCCTATGGTAAAAGAAAATAATTTAAGATAGATGAACAAGTCAAACAGTTTGCTGAACATTCTATCAATCTAAAATACTCAACATGGTCTTCCCCAACCACGTCCTTCTTGGCGCTGCGGCCATCATCCCCGCCGCAGATCCCGTCATGGTTTCGTCCATCAGTCCTGTCGTTCTACCCTACCCCGATCGCGCGGTTGACATGGAACTCCGGGTTACTGCACCCCTAGACGGCGACGACCTTCCGGTTGTCATCCTATCCCATGGCCAGGGCAACAGCAACTGGCTATCTTCCATCGCTGGTTATGAGCCACTCTACAACTATTGGGCTGGTCAAGGCTTTGTCGTGATCCAACCAACACACTTGGGTTCGGCTACATATGGCCTCCAAGCGCCTCCAGGCCAGGAGTACTTTTGGGAGGCGCGCTGCCAAGACATCAAATGGATTCTTGATCATCTAGATGAGATACAGGAGGCCGTCCCTTCTGTCAATGGGCGACTAGACACGGACAACATTGCAATAGCTGGGCACTCAATGGGTGGTTGGACGGCCTCCATGATCCTCGGGGCCCAGAACACCAGCCCACTGGGTAACGGTACTGTTTCCAAGTACCGCGATACACGTATCAAGGCTGGCGTCGTCCTTGCCGGGACAGGCAATGGGGGTGAGGATTTGTCAGAGCAAGGCCGTCAGATGGTGCCAAGCTACAATCCCAACTTTGCAACAATGGAGACTCCTGCCCTCGTGGTATATGGAGACAGCGACTTATCTCCTTACTTGACTGTCAGAGGTGCTGACTGGCACGGGGATGCATACTCTCTTGCCCCTGGCCCCAAAGACCTCTTTATTGTTCGGGGCGGAAAGCACGGTCTCGGCGGTGTGAGTGGCTGGGACGCTCTAGAGACTGAGGATGAAAGCCCAGAGCGATTGGCCTCGGTGCAGCGTGCAACCTCGGCATATCTCAGGACTGCTCTCTATGGAGACGACTCTTGGAAGAAGGCTCGTGCTGCGCTTCAGGGTAATTCGACCTTGGGCACCGTGGAACAGAAGTTCTAGCCGTAGTTCTTGGGAATCAACCTTGGCTGGTGGGTGAGGATCAAACTAAGTAGCCGGATGATGCCAGTTTCCTGGGGCTGATCGTGTATCTTACTCCCCTTACTTGGGCAAGAAGTGTAGAGAACTTGGTAGCGATACAAGGCGCTACGGTGAAGACACAGGCAACTAGTCTCAAGTACTCAGTAATCTCCATTCTTTGTGTTTGGGATCGAAATACCTTGCGATAGTGTCTTGTGATTGGATGCACATATAATGCAATAGAAAATGGATCAAAGTGCTCTTAAGAATGAAAATGTGTGTATAAAATAAGTATTAGGATGATATTAATTACTATAATTGGTACATGCTTGCCTAACTGACAAGCGCCCGATGATTTTCTGATTATTCAATCTTAACAAAATTGTGCAACTCAGATTCCTGCCCCTGGCCCCGGCAAAACCCTCGCATCTCGACCCTCAGATCGGTCAGATTGGATACCCAATGGCAGCCTCGCACCAGAGAAGATAGCAGCAGATCACTACACCGTCTGGGAAGTGTCGGGGCACCAATGCGGGTTGGCGAGGTGTCCAATGGCACCCTGTGGCCGTACTACCATGGCCCCCATCATTTGAAGCCAAATTTGAAGCTTACGCCTAGATTGCCGGCCCCTGGAAGCGAATGCCCGCCCCCAAATCGTTTACGGGTGGTCTTTGCGATGGCTGCCTTGGCGTGGATGGCAACCTTGTCATCGGGACTTTTGCTCATAGGGTTAAAGGGGAGGCTGATTCCCGTTCCTCTCCTCGGATTTATTCGATCGTTCGTGAATGGCGCGCCCAACGAACGAGACATGCAGTGGCCGATCGGCAGAGATCACCGGGCACTGCCAATCCGCACGAAGGCTAATGTGAGGGAGCTGACGCCCGGCGGTGCTGTCATATTTTAATTGGGATCAGCCTAGACTCAGCTGAGGCTTGGCTGAGTCAGTTGAGGCTTGTCGCGGTGTTCGTGCGCAATCCATGTCGTCTAGTTTCCGCCAGTGCCGGTGGCAGAGGCTTTGCTGTGCAAATCATTCTCGAACCGGTCATTCTCGGTGAGTGTGGCGGCCAGGGAGAGGAGAGAGGTTACTCGATCAAATGGCGAAGAATGCTGTGTGTTCCCTTCGGCCGCCCCATCAGCCTACCATCTCCCCGACGGCTGGCTGCTGTGCCCTGCTCATATCAGCCGAGTAGGTCCTCGTGAAACCAGAGATTCCGGCGTCGTGTAGCGACGCGCCGCTGGCAGAGTGGGAATGCCCGCGACGGCCCCCAGCCGCCAGTTCAGCCCTGGCCTTCTCCTCCTCCTCGGAGATCTCGATGGCTGGCATGGCCCCGTAGTACTCGCTCCCGGAGAGGTCGGCCGTAGAATAGGCAAGGGGGTTTCCTCCTCCCGGCGCTCCATAGGAGAGCTCGCTCCATTGCGACGGCGACGGCTGCGGCAGCGACGAGAGGTGCTGGTGCTGCAGCGAGTCGTACTTGTACGTGCGGTCCAGCTGGGACGGCGTGTGGGATTTCGTGTTGGTGGTGTGGTAGGACTCGACGGAGAGGGAGTTGTGGTTCACGCTGCTGGCATCCTTGGACGACTGGGCAGCACGGAAGGCTCCCGCAAACGGCTCGTAGGACGTGGAGGGCAGGGCGCCGGACCTGATGCCCTTCTGGTATCGTTTCCTCCAGAACCACCAGACGACGGCGCAGATGAGCCCTCCGCCGACGAGGGTCGCCGCCACGGCGATGCCCGCGACTGCGACGTTGCTCAGGCCGCCCTCGTCCGCGCGTGTTTGCAGGCGAGACTGTGCCATGCTCGTGTCGTCGCTCAGCTTGAAAGGCTTCTGCTCGGGGCAGTAGCCGTTGGCAGTGTTGCAGGGATCGATGGCGCAGCAGCCGACGAAGCGAGTCGGTTTGTTGGTGCAGACGTAGAAGCTGCTCTGGCCGGGGCACGTACCGCCCAATTTCGGGATCACGGTCATTGATTAGCAGCAGTAAGAGAGTCGATTCGATGGGTTGGATGGACAGGCCGTGACGAGGGTCGCCTTGTCGGCTTGGTGTTGTTTTGAATTCGTATCGTCGGTTTGGCTCGCTGGCAGAGGTTTCTCGTGGGATGGTCACTGCTCGAGACCAGCAGTGGGCACTTGGATGCTTAAATGGACCCGGCGATGTGGAAAAATTAAATCAATCTAAGCCAAGCGAAGGGAAGGGCTTGGCCTGACGTACGTATGTCACCTACCACATGATTTGATACGAACAATTTTCACCCGAGCGTACACCTGGACTGCGCCCCTCCTTCACGCTGCTCCGTCTCCGAATCCAGGAACACAGGTACAACAAGTACGCGCCAGCCGCCCCCAAATAATACGACTTTTTTATTAGCACCATCTTGGGAATGGCCGTATTATGACCCTTACGATATGCTATGGGCGGGGCTGACACATGGTCGGGCCCAAGCTTTCACTCGGGGCAACGAAGGGAGGTTCACGGGGCCTGGATGCTTTGTCCAAATTCTGACGGGCTTGGTCTAGGAACAAAGCTAGAGAACACAAAAGGCCGCTTGGGGGAAATCATTATGTACGAGGGGAATTGTTGAGGGCAGCGCGTGTCTGCAGAGAGCCCTGTTTACGCCCCTGCACAGCCAAATTCCAAGGTCAAGGCACCGGTATCCGATCCATGTCTCGCCCATTTAGCTCCCCGGCGCATGAAAGACGCCAGCAGAGCAGACCAAAGCTAGACTCTAGAGCCTCCAAACCGTCCAAAACGACGGCTCTGTGCGCCAGTCCGGCAGAGCGTCGTAGCCAAGCGGTGTAGTGAAGCGAGGACAATCCTCGCTTCCAATCGCACACCAGAGGGCGACATCACCCCTGTCTCTCATCCCCTGTCAGCATTGTCTCAAATCTTGCAAGTGCATCTTAGCGGCTCACCAGGCGGCACGATGGGCTGTGATCGGGTCCTTTCCTCCTCCTTTCCCGTTCTGGTTCCATTTGTCACTGCCTCTGCCAATGAATCTACTCATCTGCTCGCACTTTTCCCTGCTCCAGGGTGTCAGCCAGGGGTTTGACCCTTTCCACCATCCGCGCTTGGGAGACAACACACCTACGGACCTTTGTTGGCGCGCTCATAAGCGCGCATTCTCCTGGCGACTCCTATCAGGATGCATGCGTAGCGGGCTGGGCACTCCTAATGGGCCCCCAACGCTTCCTTGCCGTCTCTCGCTACGGGATGAGAATAGCTGGGTTGGGCCACAGGGCGGCAAAGCAGAGCAGGAGAGTCCTCGACTAGCAGGCACTGGGCTTCCGCGGGCGCCTATACGGTCTAGAATGCACTGGAAATGATGGTCTGGTGGGTGTGTGCCCGGAAGGATTCGTCGCAAATGCAACTACCAGCGTAGCGCACAGCTTGTTCCATGCACGCTGGTGGGATCCCTCCCCAGAGCCTAGGTAGAGGTCAGCCGCGAGAAGTGAGAACCTCTGTAGCCGATCTGCCCAGCCCGGACCAATGCCTTGGTAATAATTACATGTACACTCTAGCCATGTGACATGGTCTACCCGAAGGGGCACTGCCTTGCGAGCGAACCATCCGCACTTGCCATGATTCCGGGACCTGCCATGGATTGATATTGGGGAAGTTCGTTTCCCTTTTTTCCCGCTCGGGTTGACGTGCTCTGAGCAAGAACGGGATCCCGGCGCGTAGCAGGTAATGAGCATCCGCGTGAATGCGACGATCAGCGGATCCTCGCCTGGCCAGCTCAGCTTCTTGCAAAAGCCCGCCTCAGCTGAGATTCCCGTAGAATTCGGATGGAAGTGCCCAGGAACTAAAATCAGAAGCCAGAACAAGGTTTTAGCCGGTAGGGCTGACAAGAAGGAGAATCCTTCGTCTATCTACCAAAACAGCAGGTAGAATGGATCGATCACAGTCGGTTCATCGCACAAGAACCCCGGCTCACCCTCCAGGATCGATCCGATTGAAATTATCCATGGCTACTACCCTACACCAGGCCAAGCTCCTGAGCGGTAATCTACTCATCCCAAGGCTAATGAAGGCCCGTAAATACATGTGATAATCGTCCAAAGGTCCATCAAGTGGGGGTGTTCGCATGTCGCTGCAGCTCAAGTTGGTTTGTTGGTTGTGATCCATTTTCTGCTCTCATTCCCATTATTTGCCACCTACCCTGGACCACGATATGTAGATACAGAACAGCTAATCTTACAATGACATCTTGATTTATTTTACCAAGATTTTTATCTTAACCCATGGGAATAGAAATCTATCTTCCAAATCATTCCAGTCATAGGCTGGTAGCAGTTCGTGGTCGTGAGTTAAGATGTCACTCGCCCTGGAGGACCATTGATGTATGGCCGTCTTGACATCTGTACTCAGGACACATTGATTCTGAAACATCGCAGCAGCCTGCCATATTGTCACCGTAGTAATTTTTCATCTTCAATCTTAGCCACACTATACTTTCCCAGCGTATGAGTCCTGGCGAATGGATAAGTTGTTCTTGACAACGGTCAGAGTGTGATATCCATGGCTTAATCTCGAAGACCCTGCCAATGCCAACTCCTTCGACAGGTTCAAGCCACTTTTGATACGAAGGAAGAATTCATCATTCACGCTACCCACTAGCAAAATCAAACTAGATCCTAACAATTTTGCGGGGAGAATGGAGAAATAATGGGAGCATTGCGAACAGGGGTGTGTATTAGTATTAGCTGAACCGCTTCCATGACCATTCAAAATCTCAAATCTTCACAAGCAAGCAGACAAACGCCTAAAAACACCAAAGAACTCAGTTTGGCAATGAGATATGACCCTCTGCCAGGGTTGCATCTTTCGATCAGTTTGTGAGTCAGGCCGTCATCTGTTGCGGCTTTTTCGATATAAACTCCGTCTAACTCCGGGCGTGGATTTGGCAGGTTGCTAACCAAGATTTGCCTCTTTCTTTCCGTCATGGAAGTAGCTATTATCAAGGCTTTCCGGTCCCTTGGATTTGAATGCATCTAGTCTTCGGATCAAGTAGTAACATCCCCTACAACAGGCTAGCCCAGAATCCCGCATATGCTCTCCAACATGGCGGCGATCAACCCCGAGGACCCCGAGTTTCCCCCTCCAGCGATTGATCCAAACATGTTCCATCGACTCCCGGAACTGCGGGCCCCAGATGATGACTGGACAGGCATGAGTAGCTCCGCGGAGCGCAAAAAGCTGCAGAACAGACTCAACCAGAGAGCTTGGCGTATGTCCCATGCCCGGCGTCCCATGGAGTTGCATGCTGACCCCACCCCACAGGGAGAAGAAAGAAGATGGAACGCATTCGAGATAAGATGCAATCTATTCAGGCTCTTGCCAACGAGCAGGATGTCCCTGGTGCCTCGCAGTTGACTATAGAGGGCGATCTGGGCCCGCCGCTTGACGTTCTTCAGTTGTTCCGGGGCTATGACATGTTCCCGAATACCAGGAAGAAGAATGCTGCTATGAATCTGGTGAGACGGGTCTATGAGGAATACACCCTCAAACTTCCTCGCCCAGACAGTCTTCCCTTCCTGATTAGACTGAATCTGCTCAATGCCATGGCGATTAATGCGCGCCATCTCGGGATATCGCCGGCAGGTCTGTGTTGCGAGGAGATCATCTCGCCATTCAACCTCGCCGGCCCGCTCCAGCCATCTCACGCATTGTCCCTGGCCAACTCACCGGCTGCCCTGGTCCCGACTCCCACACAATACCGGGTGCTTCACCATCCTTGGATCGACCTGATACCGTTCCCGGCGTTCCGCGACAATCTCCTCGAGGCCCTGGATGCGGGTTTCATGGACGACGACGACTTGTGCTTCGATCTGGTAGACATGGGCGGTGTAGAGACGGACATAGTAACCCGGCCTGCAATGATTGTATGGGGGGCTGCCTGGGATCCCGAGGGTTGGGAAGTGAACGCCGCGTTTCTACGGAAATGGGGATTTCTAGCGAGAGGGTGTCCCGAGTTGATCGCGGCGACAAATGGGTGGAGAGTCAAGAGGGGAGAAAAGCCCTTTGTTATGAAAACATGAGGCTTCTTTAATATCTGGTCGGGTGGGCAAAAGAATTCCGGGCAAACTTAGCATATGATTGTACTAGGAGTCATTCTGCCTCTTTCTTTAAATAGGGACATTCAAATGGAAAGTCACAGTTGTGTGATAAATCTCGTGTTTCTCGGTATATAAACTACTCTAGAGGGTTATAAATGCGTAAAACCTAACAGCGCTATTTCAAAGAGTCTTGGATGAGCTTAAGGAGATACGACTCCGTCCATGTCCAGATGAGTGTGCTGTCGTTGTCTACAAAAGCTGCTCCTGTCCAGAAAGTGTTCTTCTGGCCCTCCAGATCGTAGAGCTTACTGTAGAACCCTGCACGGATATCCTCAGGAGAGACGTGGATGTGATATGGCGCATGATTCCCGAAATACTTGAAGTCGGGCTCGCCCTGTCCAATATTTCCTGCCTTTGCCAAGTTGTCCAACTCGCCCTTGACCAAGTCCTTGATGTCCTTTTCGCTCAGATCGGTTTCCAAACCACCAAAATATGCAGATATTTTGTTTGTAGAGACATTGCCGGAAAGAAGAGGACCGATTGAATATGATCCGGGAAGTGTTAAAAGGTTGTAGGGAGTATTCGTGCCAATATTGCCGAAACTCCTCTTGGTGTCGATTCCTGGATGAGTGAAGACAGTCGACCCATACAGGAAACCGTTGAATTTGGAAAAGAGCTCCTTCTCTTCAGACGTGAGGTCCAGTCCAATAGATGTAAGGCTATCAATTGTTGGCGGGATGGCAAGCACCAGTTTCTTTGCTTTGACAACCACGCGGCCCTTTGGTGTCTTGACCACAACTTCGACACCGTCCTCGGATCTGGTGACCTTTTTGATGCGAGATTGTAGAACGACGCTCTCCTTATCATTCAAGCGACCCTGGGCAGCCCGGTATAGATCGAGGTTGTCTCCCGACGCAGCATTGATGAACCCGGCCGCAGCGGCTTGTACAAGCAGAGGGCTGAACACCTTGAGGCCGTAGATGGTAGGCCTCTCTAGCAGATTACCGTTGCATCCGGCGATAGAATTGACCTGCTGGACTATGTCTCCGAGGTCATTGTCCTTGATGAAGTCTGCGTAAGGGGCCAGCAGCTCCTCGGGGACTGGGTTGGGCACGTCGTAGCCGAGAGAGAGATACGGGTATTTCTCCGTGTAAATCCCAGCATACTTTTGAATGGCAGCCCCCAATGCCTCGCCGGAGACGGGCGTGTACCCGTCTACGGCGCGACCAGTGGAAAGATCGAAGAAGACTTGCTCTGATCCCCCTGAAAAGTCGACGTTGGCAAGCGGCACTCCGAGGCCGCCAAAGTAGTCTCGCACGATGGAGGAGTTGTGGTAGACAATGACTCCGAGGTTGAATGGCTTGTTGGTGTCAGGGTCCGTGTACGTGGCTGTGTGGCCTCCGAGGTGATCGTTCTTCTCAAGGACAACGACGGAATGGCCCTCATCCATCAGCCGGACAGCCGCGTAGGTGCCGGACGAGCCGCCACCAATAACGACGACATCTCGCTCCAAAACGGTATCATTGTTGGAGCAGGGTGTAGCTGTAGCCACCCCGGCGATTAGGAAGGGCAGAGTTTGGGTTAAGAATCGCATTGTGTCGATAGCTCCCTAGAGACATAGAGAGTTTGGTCTAAGGGAGAGAGAGGGAAATTGTCGCTATATATTGTGTTTTTCCCCATTTGTATAGTCGTATCGTCATCTCTGGGCATGTTCTCAGCTCTGGCCCGCCAATACGCGTATCTTCGCGCGGATGATCACTGTAGGGGTTTGTTTCGAGACTAATCCAGGCCATACATAATAAGCCCTAGGCTTGTTACATTGGACCTGGCGGATTTTCCATGCCGGTTTCCCATTCCAATTTCGCGGCGGCCGCCGCACTGAGACAAATTAACGCTAAACGCAGTCCGCTACTACGACCCCGCCCTTTGTTGGTTTGCGTGGCGTTGTCTGGGTGGTTTTGATGCTGAGTGATGCGGGATATGATGTCAACCGACATGTAAGAGGAGGGGCCCGTAGCGATCGGAAATTTGGGCAGGGGATTACCGCCTCTTCCACCAGAACATAGTTGCCGTCTTTTCAGTTAGGGAGCAATCTTCGAAGCACGTTTCAAAGCTCAATCTTTCGTGCTTTTGTGGGGACATGCAATCAACGCGGGACGCAACTGACATGCAAATGGGTCCCAATATCGACCTTTCGGCGAGTGCCAGATTCAAATGGCTTGTTGTCCCAAAAATAGATTAACTCTCCGGATCATCCGGAGCCGTTCTTAACTATCGTTCAAGGTATCATCATTTCACTAGGGGCTAGACTACAATTTTCTTGGGGCCTCATTGGGATCTCTGACCTCAACCAGGAGCTTCCCAGTATTAACACCCCTAAGCAGGTCCCGGAGTCCAGCTTCGGCCGCTCCCAATCCGCCCTTTAGGATGGTTTCCTCCTTCTTCAGTTTGCCCTCAGCCAGCCACTGGGCGAGTTCGGTTCGAGCTTGTGGGAACTGGTCCCTGTGGTCGAAAACAATGAACCCTTCCATCCGGATACGCATCTTCATGAGCTGGCCCAAGTTCTGAATACCCTTTCCTACGCCGTTGTATTGGCTGATCATGCCGCATTCGATGAATCGAGCGCGTTCCTTGGCTCTGGTGAGAGCCAGGTCGAGGATCTCTCCTCCGACTATACGCAGATGATTAGTTCGGGACTTTGGTCAAGAAAAGCGAATCAAACGGCAGCCTCCACTTCTCCGCGCTGGGGGTTTCGAAAGGGGACTCCTTACCATTGTCAAAGTAGACATCAATATAGTTCTTGGTGGCCTCGATGAATTTCTCCTTGAAATCCTCTGCCTTGTAGTTCAATGCAACATCAAACCCGAGCTCCTCCGTCAGCCAGCGGCACTTGTCGTCCGTCCCTGCAATCCCCACGACCGTGGCGCCCCTGATCTTGGCAATCTGACCAGCAACGCTCCCCGTGGCTCCGGCAGCCCCCGACACGACCACGAGCTCGCCGGCCTGCGGCTTCCCGATGTTGTTCAGGCCGATCCAGGCGGTGATGCCCGTCAACCCCAGCGCCGAGAGCATGTCCTGGGGCTTCTCGACGGGGGGGTAGCTGGCCTGGGGCTCGAACTGGCCGTCCTTGAGGACCGCGTACTCGGTCCATCCTGTGATGGCGACGACGAAGTCGCCCACTGCGGCGAGCTTTGACTTGGTGACGAGGACGCGGGAGACGGTGATTCCGCTCATTCTTGCGCCAATGGCCACGGGCGGCACATAGGATCGGCGGTCTGGGTTTGGGAATTAGCATGCGGTAATGGATTTCATCATCATCATCATCGGCTTTTTGGAGCGGTGGCTGATGGCTCATGCATTGTTCTGCATTCATGTGACAAGACTTACCCACTAGCTGTGCGCGCAAGGAGGGATCCAGAGAGAGATAGAGAACCTCGACCAGAATCTCCCCATCCTGCAGGTCGGCGGGTGACGGGATTGGAGTGGTCTGCTGTGAGAAGGTCTGCCCCGGGATGATCTCCCCCGTCGGGCGCTCAGCAAGGTGAATGGAAAGGTTCTCGGGCGCCATGGTGAGCTGTCAGTGGCTGAAGGGTGCTTTTCTTCGTATAAGTCGTGCAACTGGGGTTGGGGAAAACGGAGAACCAATCTGCGGCTCGTCTTCGATTCCTTGGGGACAGGAGAGTGGTGGCACGACAGGAGAACTTGGAGGCCCGTGAAGCCCGGCAATTGCGTCTTTTATAAATCGAGTGGAGTGTGTCGGCGCTGGCTACAGGATGAATATTGAGTGCATGTGGGCTGGGCACTGAACGGGCGCGGGCGCTCGCCTCACATTCGTCTGAATCCCAGGAGTCTCAGGCAACGGGGCCTGCGGGCAAAAGCGACGGACATTGTACGGAGCGTAACTGCTTTGAGAAAGTTTCGACCAAGAGCCGCCAACGCAGCCGAGAGGAGAAGGCAGTAAAGCGGAGGAGCGGGTGGGAGGATGCTTGGCCCGTGTTTGACTGATCTCAGGCATATCGCCGTGAAGTGGCGTTGACGGGCGCGGGCAGATGGCCAATTCTGGGCATGTACATACTGTGTAAATGGGATAGGCAGCAGCAAAACTCTTCTAGCAATAATGGATGGTTGGGACGGAGTTTACGCGTATAATACAGGGGTCGTTGGGTTAGCCCGGAGGGGCAGTTCATCATCCCCAGCACGTCAGAGACTCCAGAGCCCAATGCGACAAAACGGTAGGTAGGAAGAAGATGTGGAGAGCTCAGAGATCACGGCCCTGTTCCTTCAGGAAACCAGCCAACCAGCCTCTTACTCTTCAGCCAGTATGTGCCGAGGCATGACAAAGCTGTGGCACCTCCCGGAGCAGGCCTCGCTGATCCCGAAGACGCTGAGTTCGCTAGGCTATCTTGGGGACCTACGACCGTGCCGTTTCTTGGGCGACGCACCTGCTGGGAGCGCTGTATCATGTCGTCCTGTTGCATCATGCGGAGGCGGGGACGGGCTCGGGCTCGGTGGGCAAATCCGGTAACAGGGCCGGCTTGGTGGCAGACCTCAGCAGCGCAGAATGATTCCCTGTGGGTGTTCTCGGATATAGGACTGCCCCGGGTTTTGTCTCTGAACGGGGCATCTCCGCCTGGAGCTGGCACCTTCGTCCCTCATCCATCTTGGCCGCCCTGAGCCCAACACCAGACCGCTGGTGCAGCACATGACCATGTAGAGCGGTGGTGTGCAATCGCCTGGGTTAGCGTTTGCTCAACACCGATAATGCGCATGCATGATACAACGTAGTGGCCGATGAGCCAAGGAATAGTGGGCTGATGATGCCTGTCTCGAGGCTCGAGCTCCGCGAGATCTGGATGCATTGGGCGGGCCGGGATTCGTTCAAGTCCGACAAGCTCGACCGCCCTCTTGTTCCAAATATAACCCGGCTCGATGAGCTTCCCTTTTTGCTTACCAATCCTAGCAAAAATGAAATCTAGGCTGTCGATCAAAACGCTGAATTTGGAGAGGAACATAATACCTGGAACACAGGAGGGTGGCTATGAGGTTGAGCAACTCGGAGTCCGAAGAAATCGGACGAATGCAAAGTCCATGAGTCATCAATTGAATGTCTCGGCACCGAGATAAAGTCTCATCAGGCCCGCTATGAATGGTTATCATATTAAATAAATTGAATAACATAATAGCCGTGCTATAGACGCTTATATGAAATATAGATACTAGAGTATCACTCTCAAGGTCTAACTAGAGTATCGCATTTCGCCGACACAGCTAAAAAACTAGACATGACGATTTTTATATACCGTGTTAGTAGAACATCCGGGTAAGCCAAATATGGTGCCAGGCTTTGTCCATTGACAAACTCCTGGTGCAGCCTCAAGCCCATCCATGTCTTCGTAATGTATGTTTGAGCAAGGGAACTCAACACTACAGGAGATCTCTCCAAGCTTTCCCCCTGAAGATAAAAGATTTCCCGTAAAATTCCGGAAGACTACGTCTGAAATCTCCATCTTACTGGTCCCTTTTGGGCCGCCTTGTCGACCGTTCTCCTGTGTTATGAACGGGCCTCGAGAGACGTCTTGAAGATGAAAGTTCTCAAACAAGAGATTGCGGACTTTGCCCCAACCTCCACCACGAGGCAGTCCTCCACTTTCGTAATCGTTGTCACCTTGATAAGCTAGCTCTCCTATCCATGTTTTGATGTAGACACTCCAGCGCATGTCCCAGCTATACCGCCTCATCTAGCGTTTATTAAGTTAGTTATGGTGTGATGGAAGAATCGTAATAGCTCACCTCGGCATTCGTGATTGTCACATTTTCGACGCTGCTATCCTCTAGGTACTGTCCTAGGCTTCCAATGGCCACACCATTGCCACCATCGCAAGTGATGTTATTGATTCTGATGTCGTATGATCTAGGCTTAATCGCAATACAGTCGTCTCCACCACGATACAGAAAGTTGTTCAACGAAACATATCGAGCATCCATCGTATCTAAGCGGTGCGTCAGCCAATATCGCATGAAAAGGAACTGAGCAACAACTCACTGAATCCATCAGCGTTCTGGACCCAATTCTTCCCTGCTGGGGCATTGTTGGAGAATGCAGTACAAGTAATGTTCTCAAAAGCTAGATTGGTTCCATTCATAATGTTCAGGGACCAGAACTGGGACTGCTGCACTTGGAAATTATGAATTTTCGAGTTGGTGATGTTCCATAAAACGAACGGCTGTTGCAGCGTGTCATGTTAGCGTATGTGTCGTCTTTGGAAAGTCACCGCATACCATGGGACGTCCTTCAGTCGAGCTTCCTTTATCTTCGTCGTACCACGCGTCCCCATTGCCATCTATGCCACCCTCACGGTAACCATTGAGACGGATCTTATCTCCAGATAAGATGAACCCTGCGCGGTGATTCTGGAACTCGATTAAAAATGAGTTGTTTCTCCAATATGTAGTGTTGGGGGAAAACTAATCTGGTTTAGCACATCTCCTGTCATTGTACGGAATAGGTTGACTGACAAGCCACGTTCCATGCCACTTGATGTCTACGTCTTCAAGCCTTGCGTGTAACTTTTCTCCAATCCAATACTTCTCGCCCTCTGGGAAAATTATGGTGGACTTTTTGCTGCACTTCTTAAACGCCGTCAAGATGTTTGGCACGTCATTTTGCTCGTCACCGTGCGCGGTGACAGTACAGGTTCGATGACCCCGACTGGTAGACACATGGACGCTGCCCTTACAGACAATGAGAGGAAGAAAGAGACAAAATATGAGAATATAGCGAATCATTTTGTAAACTTAGGCTGCCTTGGTAGTCCAAGTGGCTTGCTCCAACGCCAGCCTTTTATAGAGCTCACACTTCGGCGGAACAAAACAACGAGGTTCATACGAATCTGTCAGTATTTCATGAAACCATGACCTTGTAGAACAAACGAATCCACAATGTAGTTGAACGAATCATAAAAGTTAGGTTAGGTCAATGACCCATGATGTACGCCAAAGAAGAAACATGAAGGGTGCTTGGGAGTCAATCATTCCACCATTCAGCTCGAAGAACGTAAACGCACAATAGAGGCAACATTAATTCGGAAACCTTTGTGGAATTTATCAGGGATCTACTTTGGCAATATCGGGGAGATGTGCCCCGAGGCCAGCATCTAGCCGTTCTGGAGTCTCGGGCTCGGTGGCTCGGTGTAAATTGAACGAAGCCGGAGCATGTTGCATCAGACATCTTGGCCACCTCCACACATTGATCACTACATTTTCAGATTGGAGGATACCATATATTTGGCACTTCCATTTTCACAAGTTGCTATTGATGCTCCTACCAGCTGAAGGCCTCATCTATAAATACAACGCCGCGATTGGATTTGCCAGAACTAGCCACTTCGGTGACCACTTTCCTAACATCATCGGACATACTAGGCGGGCCACAAACTACGACGCCTAGATTCCCCTTTACATCCTCCCGGAGTAATTCGGCTTTCAGAATCTCGTCCAAGTGCATACGGGTGCCAATGGTCGTGTGAAGCTCCACTTTCGATTTATATTGCTCGAGCTCCGGCTTGATGGAGCGCAAGATATCGTCATGCTTCACGCCCCAGAAAACCCTGGCAGAAATGCCACCAAACTTGCTCGCAATGGGAAGCACGGCAGTGATACCAACGCCACCTGCGATGCCGACAAAGCTGGAGCATTCTTTTAACTTTTGGGTGGAAGGAGTTGCATGGTAAGATGACTCAACCAGCACTCGGATGGATAGACTTCCCTTCTGGGCTCGAACTCGGGAGAGAAGGGTCGCAGTTGTACCGCCTTGGGCTCGTACTAGGAGGACTGCTTTGGCTTGAGCCCCGTTGGGAACAGCACTGGCTATTTGATGCTCTTCTGAAGGACTCGAGCCACCGACATCGACATCGACAGCCGTGACTGTGTTTCCATATCCCTTTTCACTATCAAGTCCCGTATCGATATTTATGCCAGATTCTTGTGGCTTTAGTTCGGTGAAGCTGGAGAGAACGGAGAAAGGGTGGTTTTCCCAGACACGCCAGCTCAGGGACGGAAAGTAGAGATAAACGTGCCCTTCCACAACGACGTCGTCAATTTCGATTCGCAGCAAATCACTGCTCTCATCCACACTCGTGACTCTCGCTGTACGGAACCCATTGGCGGCTATTCTTACCACTCGTAAGACTTTGTCCATGAACCATATGCCACCTGCAGCGTAGATCCAAATCTCATAACCCCAATTATACGAATAGAGATACCAGATATGAAGAAACCCTGCTATCAAGATGAGAGCAGCCAGGATCTGGTGAATGGCGAGGAACACCTCGTACATCTTCTGACGCAGAGATAACAGAGATAGCGGGTACATGAGGCATGTTGCCAATGTTGCAATGATGCCCCAGTACCAGTATGGCAGCTTGCTCTCAGTCGCATGATCCTGCCAACCGACAAAGTAGTGAAGAAGAAGGATCGAGTGCATTATAGTCTGGAAAATGCAGACATATGCCACCCATCGATGGAGAAGGAGGTATGTGCTGTGGCTCCAGTCTGTGAGCCAAAGGAGAATGTTGTTTCGACTCGAGAAAAGAAACAGAGCGATGTATAAACAGAATCCAAGAACTCCGGCACGATCACCGATCACCTGCACACGCTGCATATGGTGACTCTCCATTCTGACATTTGGCTGCAGAGTTCTCAGAGGTAGGCACAGGAGGATAAGATTAATGATAATGATGTATGCAATAAAAATGGACTGGCCTTGGGTTGGCATGTGCCCCGAATTCCCGTAAACAGGGACTCGGTGTTGGTGGCCCCAAAGAGGCTTGTCAAGGATTGCGTTGATACGGCTAGTCAATTTGGCATAACCAGGAATGAATCGACCCAGCGAAAGAAGTATGGGCAAGCAAACGAGCGTGATTGAGATGATCAGACTGGTTCGAAAACGTTAGCAAGGTTTCAAGTACTCGAGGAAGCCATTCGCACCTGTTGACACCATGATCGAATTCTCCCCATTGAAAGGATACTTGATAATTGAGAGTGGCAATGTATTCCTTTTCGGCAATACGACTCGTGACGTTCAGGGGCGCTTTCCCGGTGATGTAAGGAATATTTTCCTCGCCCACCTTCTTCACATCATCTTGCGCAAGTTCTAGAGCCTGTTGATATGACATGGCGGGCTCCATGTCCTTGCTCCAATCGCCAATCGATCCAGTGGCTAAATGCCCTTCCCACCATTTTTCAATAGTAGAGAGAGGCACATCGTCACGCGAGCAATACTCATTGATGCAGAGGGCAACAGTTCTTAGAAAGGCATCATCAATCAACCAGCATAAGGGGTCTTTAGTCGACGAGGTGTGATGGCTCTGATGAGTGCTGCTGCCGTCGTCCGTCTGGCAGAGGAGAGGGTTGTTGCGTACCATGTAGCGGCATGTGTGAGCACAGGTTGGCTTGTAAAGCCATTTCCCAGCTCCAAGTATACCAACGCCATCCGCGTTGACGAGAGGCAAACAGGTTGCCAAGAGAATGAGGCACCAGCGCCTCAGTGGTGCTCGTATGGCTTCGGGAGATCCCATCGTACGGCGTGCTGAAGGGGCACAATCAACTACGACACCGTGATATGTCCAGAAACAAGTCTGAAATCGGAGCACGACCCAACAACTAACTGATGCATTATTAATAAAATACTGGATGGTTGGTATTGTCTAGTCTTATTTTTAAGCTTCTTTTAGAATTCATGTCGCATTCAAACGACGCTGATAAACTGCCTCATACTTGCTCAAACCCGCTATTTCTTGGCAACGACCTGGGATGATCTGTGAGGGATATCCAAGCTATTATCGAAAAGAACTTTGGTTCCCCATTCTTTTTCAGGGTTAGAGTAGCAGTGGCCAATAGCTGGACAAGTATTACAGAAGTGTAGGACCTTAGATTTTGTCGGTGGTGTCACATTTCTCACAGGAAGCGGCCATGTGATCGGTAGGCTGCCCAGATCAGGGCCCTGAGCTGGAAACTCCGGGCCAGATCAGGGTCTTCGGATGGAACTTCTCTGTTTAGCGGGAAGCCAGTGGCCTCGTCGTATTGCATCCCATGAGAAGCGATATATCGACAGTCCAACCTGAAGCCATTCATCTGCTTGTTGTCAGTTGTAAGCTGCTTGACCCACACACCTCCCTTTCAGGAGGCACAAGGCGGTTCTAACTTGGGATTTTCTTTTTTGGGCGAGGCCAAATTTGAGCAAACTAACGGAGGCGGACGCCTCTTGGCGAAACTGTCTTGGTTATGCTATCTAAAGTAACTAAGGAGAAAGGCCGCTTTAGGCGTACGTAGATTCTTCTGTAAATGTGAAGATTGCATATTCTCGGCGATGCTTCTGTACACAAGGGCCTCAAGTGTCGGACCTCGGCCCTCAAAGCCATTGACTAGTCGATCCGAAGTAGGACACGCATGTTCCACCGTTTCCACCCTCAATGCTTGAAGCGTGCATGACCTTGAGAAGCTGGCGCGCGCCGTCTTCTGGGGGGACTGGGCCTGCGAAACGTGCCGAATAGGCCTGCAGTTTGGTCCCAAACTCGCCGAATCTGGCCGTGTCTTTTTCCGAAACTATATAGAGCTCGAAATTAGCCAAAGAAATAGAACATATGTGACATAGAAAGGCTTACATGAAGGCCTCTCTCCCTCGAAAGTGTCAACGCTGCCAGCACAAATGCCCATAGTGAGAACGCCCTCGCTCTTGTATGTCACATTATACTTTGCCACCAGCATATTCACCGCTGCTTTTGATACAGAATAAGGTATGCCGCCATCAATGCCTGAGTCATTAGTAAAGGCGCAACTGCCCATGCCACTTGTCAATGCAATGATCTTCTTAATGGAGCTGCGTTGGACCAAAGGCATAAAAACATTGATGGTGTTGATCAGGCCAACGACATTGACCTTGAATGACTTAGAGATTTCAGTCTCTAGGTAATCTAAATCATCTGGATACTCGGCGAGGTTCCGGAGAAGTGTTGCCGTTGTCTTATATACGGCATTGCATATAAGATAATCAATTCCGCCAACGACCTCTTCGATATTTGTACGAGCGGCCTGTTGAGCTTATGTCAGTATCTGTAAAACTTGAAAATGAAAATTCATAAAAGACAGGATAGAAAAGGGGGCTAATATGAATAGGCGCATACCTTGAGCTCTTCAAGGTTTGTAACATCCGCTTTGAAAACGCGAACAGATGTAAGCCCGTCCTCAACGAGCCTCTTTTGCACAGCAACGTCATCCCTCACAAGACCAATCACGGTATTATTTGGATCAGTGGCCAAGACTTTGAGAAAAGTATACTGTTTCGAATTAGAAGTGTGATCTTGTGCGCAATTCGGGTGAGGGTAACATACACCAAGGCCCCGCGAGGCGCCGACGACAACGTAAGATGGCATTTTGTAGAATGAGTTTAGAAACGAGTCTGGGGCGAGGAATAGTTAATTCTATCTGGGGAGAGGAAGAGTTAATTCGGAAATGAGACACGTCGACGCTTTATATATGTCTGATTTCTAGGATACATCATATGTGCATTTGGCGGTTTCTGTGGAAATGATAGCTCAAATTGCACCAGAAGTTGATGATGAGCGGTGTTGGTCATTTGACCCATGTAATATCTGCTGAACGCTATTCTAGTTCTAGATTAATTGACATAATCGAGAGCTCGATTGGGATATTCAGAGATCTATATTCAGGCAAAGAACTCGTTCCGTCATCCGTGAGTTCCGGGTGCCGAGCTGGCTGCAGTTTGCCCCGCAGATTCGAACAGCAACCTCACGCGATATTCCCAATATTGCCTAGACCCAGGCCCCTGGCTCGGAGTTCTGTGCTAGTTTCCCGCCGTGTTCTCGGGGTTCAAAACTCTCATCATCCCATCCGCCCAGGAAGCACGGGTTTTTCTTCACCAGTACAAACCTCACGCCGCGCGTATCAAGTTGGAGGAATGCAAAGTATGGAGTCACTGGGTGAGGTGTCCGGAGTTTCCTTTACGTGCCCTATTTGTCAGAAGGCGTTCAGTATTCGTAAGCATCCGACCGGCGACCCTGATGTAGCTTTTGTGGGCATTCTTTGCGACTTGATCACTGATATCACCAGGCTCCTCGTTTGGAAGGCATTCGCGGCAATGTCTTGAACGAGAAATCTCACGCCCGAGACGGAAGTCGTGCTTGCAGTGCTCTAAAAGAAAGCTCGGTTGTGACCGAAAGCATCCTACGTGTTCTAGATGCACTTCTCAGGGCAGTGCTTGTGAATATGTTACCACTGGCCGCACCTCGTCAACGGATAGAACACCTGTTGTTCCGCCCCTTCGGATCACACCTCCATCCTCGGACTTCGAGCGCGAAGACAGTGTTGCGACCACACTCGGGGCAGAAGATCCAGTTACTTCGTGCGAATTGACCCGGGCTACAACCCCATCTCGATGCACTGGTCAAGCAAGCCAGCAAGTGCGTGAGCCTCCATCACAATTCGACTCTGCAATCACTCACCTTTCTCGAATCTTTCGAACATATCCGCGAATGCTTGGAGCCTGCGATAGACTGCCGCCTTTTATTCACAGATCACAGATAATGACTTCGAATCCTGCGATGCCGCTTTCTAACTGCCTCGCGTTATGTCGAATGTGGGCAAATAACTCGCCAGTGGAAACTGGAGGTGACTTCGTGAAAGTTTCAATGAAGACAGAACTATCAAGACTACTAAATGAGGTATACTAAATCTGTGCTTTGAAATCATCAAGTTAAGATCTGATCAGGTTCAATAGTACCAGGAATACGATGGTGTAACTTTGGTTGCCGCCTTTCAGGCCGCCATCATCTACGCTATTGCGCTGCTTTTTCCTGCACCACACCAGCCTCCATGCAGAATGTTTGACCTCTCAACCCTGGCAGCTCTGAAAGAGTTTGGGCAGCACATAAGGTCCGGAGTCGGCATGATGCCTGAGGAGGTCTCTCACACTCGTCCACCCTGGCAGCAATGGCTGCAGGTTTCTTGCAAGCGAAGGTCGTTGGTCTGTCTCTACTGCTTCGAGTGGATGAATGCGATTTTGAATAACTTCCAGAGCTTCCCCTGCAGCCACGCGGATTTCATGCCAGCCCCAGCGGGCAAGGTGCTTTGGGAAATTACTGCGCAAGAGAAGTGGGAGGTCGTTTATGATCGATGGTTAGGAAGATGGGCTGGTCTGGATGTGTACACTTTAGGCGATCTCGAAAATATGCCGCCGGGGCCGACATTGGACCTACGCTCAGAATTGTGGTTAGAAGAGGCTGACGATCTGGGTATATTGTTGATGACGATGGGTCCGTGATTCTCCCTCATCCTTTATTCAGGAAGCTAATATCAATTACAGGCCATAAAAGATAAGTGCATGTCGAGAGACAAGGCAGAGAAAAGGGTCAAGCGAGAAGCTGGGCTCTCACACCAATTACGCGTTGGCCCGTGATAGGCACATCTGGCCACAAACTCGGTAAATGATAATACCTTGTCATGTGCGATGACGTGAAAGACTTTCCCTACCAAAATCAAGCGAGGATTTGCAGAATAAATTGGAGACCTAGATTAGTTAATGTGTGCGAGAAGGACGATGATCCTGAGCCCCTGTCAGCAGTAAGCAGAAAGGGAAGCAAGCTAAGCATCAAGTCGACCATGTGTGCATCTAATCCTGAAGATAAGAACTTGTGAAACCATAAAATGAATGTAGGCTGTTCGCGGATTATGATTTCGGGGATAGAATAGTGCGTATGATGCGAGGCGAGGCAAAATATACCACTCATATCCATATCGTGTTGACTTCATCATGGTATTCGGAGAACCCTTGACGTATATGAACTCATGATTTGTAATCACCATTCCAGAACATGACTCATAATAAGAACACGTCCCCTTATTGGTCTTGTGCCTTGATGTTTTAACTTTTATTCACCCAGCCTCGTCTGCTAATTTCGCGTATAGGCTCGGACACGCTCAGAACAACCACCCAAATAGACCAAAAATGGAGACTGAAATGAGGATTTTGTCCACTTCCCTGAATCGACACCATGGCAAAGCGATACACCTCCCTAATATCACCTCACAGGTGAGATTGCCACCGAACATGGAAATGAAAGAGACACAGAATGATGCGAGCCTGCCGCTCTCCGAATCAGCCTCTGATCCCAACCCAAGTGGCGGAAGCTCGGGACTGTCGATTTCCAAGTTTCGTGCCATCACCGTCATCACGACCCTCACAGGCATCAGCTTCCTCAACACCATGGGTTCGGGCATTCTCATAGCTGCCCTTCCCCGCATTGCAAGGGATCTTGACATTCCGCAAGCGCTCATTCTCTGGCCTGCCGCTGTCTATGCCCTCGCGGCAGGATGCCTGCTTTTGATCTTTGGATCCATCGCAGATGTTCTCGGCCCCAAGCCGATGTGGTGCACGGGGAGCTTCCTCTTCATCGCGTTTACTCTTGGAGTCGGCCTTTCCAGATCTGCTGCCCAGCTCATCCTCTTCCGCACGTTGCTGGGTGTTGCCATCTCCATGTGTCTCCCCACCGCTCTGTCTCTAGTCACAAACACCTTTCCAAAGGGCAGCTGGAGGAATGCTGCGTTTGCCATTAATGGTATGGGACACCCGCTTGGCTATGCGTTGGGGCTCGTCCTTGGTGGTATCTTTACCGACACAGTCGGTTGGCGCTGGGCTTATTACATGATGGCAATTATCAACACCATCATCTCGGTTGCATCTATCTGGTCACTCCCCAACGTCAACGTGGCCACCGAGCGCTCGAAAAAAGACAGACTGATGTATGATATTGATTGGGTGGGAGCGATCATCATGAGCGCAGCCTTGGGAATGTTGCTCTATGTGTTGGCCATGACGTCTTCGTCGTACAAACGTCTCGATGAACCTGTCAACATTGCTCTTTTGGCCGTCTCTTTATCTCTCTTGGTCGCATTTCCTTTCTGGATGGACTTCCAGGTGAAGAAGAACCGCCCGGCCTTGATCCCGAATAAGATGTGGCGAAACTGGGGATTCACCTCCATTTGTGTGGCAGTCTTCCTGTGCTGGGCTTCACTCAATGGAATCGAGTATTTCACCACGCTCTAGTAAGAAACATGTCCTGAGTACAAGAGCGTAGAAATTTGGCTAACAATTACCCAGTTTCCAAGAAGTAGAAAGCTTGCCCGCTCTACAAAGCTCACTCCGCTTCATCCCTCATGTCATTATGGGCGTGGCAGTGAACATTCTTACCGGCTACCTCATTTCCAGGGTCAATGTCCGATGGCTGGCTGTGACATCTGCTCTTATCAGCATGATCGCAGCCCCTTTGATGGCAACAGTTGCAGTTGGGCAGACCTATTGGTATGCTCCATTTTGGGCTTTGTTTCTTTCGCCCGTGAATCCAGATGGTCAGTGTGAAGCTCCAATTTCATTGTGATGATCTCTTCGGTGTTGATTCCTCACGTGCTAACTCGATCGCTCCTTCAGTCCTGTTTACGGTATCGAACCTCGTAATTTCCAATGCTTTCCCCCCTGAGGTTCAATCTTTAGCAGGAGGAGTCTTCAACGAAGTGTCCCAGTTTGGCAATTCGGTCGGTTTGGCTGTTGCAGCCGCTATTGCCGCATCAGTCACAGAACATTCAGGAATAGACGATTCGGCGGCTAGTTTGATGAAGGGTTATCGCGCGGCCTTTTGGACAATTTTCGCCAGCTGCGGAACTGTGACCATTGTGCTCTGGTTTGGCCTAAAGCGGACCGGCATTGTTGGCAAGAAGGAGGATTAAGAAGTGCTCAACCTGATTTACATTGAGGGAACGGGAATAGATTTCTGGAAACCCCAAAAAATTACCATGTGTATCTAGCTTCTCTACTGCAACCCGAGAGTACAACTGGTCATGAAACTGGTATATGCTTGGTCTTCAAACTCTCCCCAAGAGAGCTTCCTGAAACATACGTCTCATAGTCTATCAGCCATCGTCCTCCATGAATGGTCTTCTATAAATGCGAGGAATAAAGAAAAGTACCCGAAATGTATCTCGCCACGAAACATCTAAACCCTCTCTTTGTTCTCAACCTCAGTAGCAGTGACGCCCTTGGCCTCGGCAACCTTGTCGGCGAAAGAATTATCCATGCCTGTCCTCCAGGCGGGGAGATTCTCATCAAATACGCGATCAATCTCCTCAAGGGACTTCTTTGAAGTTTCGGGATACGTGAAAAAGATATGGAAGGTCATGGCAATACAGAAGGTGCCAAATATCATATATGACCTCCATTGGATGTTTGTGAAAGAAGGGGGGACGAAGAATGCAAGCGCAAGGTTGAATCTGTGGACTGTATCAGAAAAACAGTTTCTTCAATCTGTTGAAAGACCGAGGATTGAAAACTTACATCCAGTTACCGGCAGCGGACAGACCAACACCTTTGGCACGGTATTTTAGAGGGAAGACCTCAGCGCAGTAAATCCAGGCACCGGGAGCCCAAGTAAGACCATAAACACCGACGAATATATATGCCATGGCAATGACGGCCTTTCCAGGTGCACCAGAGATTGACCATCTAAGAATCGTGTTGCCTTCATAGTATTAGCATCGCTCTGATGTAGGGTTGTCTCATCTACTTACCATCGACGCCATCAACCGCGTGACCATAGACGGCCATGACAGCACCTGTCACGAAATGAAGGATACCACAGATGATAGCTCCGGTGATGAGAATCCAACGGCGACTCAGACGATCGACAATGGGCAACATAACGCCGGTGGTGACAAGGAAGATGACGTATTGAATGATGGACGACGTAAGAGCAATATTGCCATACTGCAGTTACAAGAATTAGCACTATCGAATAACTACTCGTCGTGGGCTTGTTTTGTGAACTTACCACGCCGGCCATGTTGAAAATATAGACAAGATAGTACAGCATAACATTGCCGCCGAGGAGCTGCTGCCAGACCTGGACACTAACACCTACAAGTGTTCGCTTCCGGATTCCGGGCGCAAAGAGGCCTAGGTAGCCGATGTCTTTTGACTCTGAGGCGAGCCGGACTGCCTCCCTCACTTCCTCTAGCTCAGCAATCACAACGGCGTTTTCTCTGTCACCCTTGGCATGGAGATTGGCTAGAATTTCATGGCACTCCTCCCAGCGGTCTTTGCTAGCAAGCCAGCGTGGAGATTCTGGAAAGAACCAGAGTGCGATAAAGAGAATGAGACCTGGGATGGCCTGGACGCCCCATGCGATGCGGAAGGCGGAGGGGCCCTTCACATGGAGGGAACAACCGTATGAGATGAGATACATGATTAGAATGCCTGCAAATCAAGTTAGCGATATGGCCAATGAAACCTGATTTAGACTCTGCATACCCCATTCAATTGACCACTGTTGAATTCCCACAATCCTTCCTCTAATCGCTGATGGGGCCAGTTCAGCCAAGTACACCAGGACCTGAGAACTGGTGATGCCAATGGCTAGACCACCCACGATACGACCGGCAATGAGGTGGCCAATATTCTGGGATGAACATTGAAGGGTAGCACCAACGACCCAAACAAGCGAGGCAATTTTGAGAGCACCCTTGCGGCCAAACTTGTCGGCAAACCAGCCGGCGGCAATGGCGCCGATGAAGGATCCAGCGGACATGGAGGCAGTGATGCCTCCCTGTTGGGTAGAATCGGGGTGGTTGAAGTACTCAAGATACTGCTCTGAGCCGATCCAGGCGCTCATGGAACTGATTTCAAAGCCAAAGAGCATACCACCAATCGTGCCCAGGGCGGCAAGAACTGGACAGACTTTGTGAGTGACTGAGCTTTACGATTTTTTGGTCCTTCCACTTACTGTAAATGTTCCAGATCATCATGCTGGGCAACCTGTGCTTCCCTATTCTCTAATAATGGGGAAAGGTGAGAAGAAAGTGTGTCTGCCTGAGAACCGGTATCCAGAGTATGAGATGCGGTTCTCCACGTCCTTTATATCTCTCTCCTAACCCCATGGCACAGCACTTGGGGTCAATGTAAACCCCCATCTTTCTGCTTTGGAGAAACGAGGATTGGCCAGCTGGATCCACAATACAATCACAGATATTTCCCTCTGTGACACCATCAGCGTGCTGTTTTAGGCAGGGTAGGCAGATGAGTGGGGATTAAGAATTCTGGCTGGTGGCGGCTGTGTAAGCGCACGTATCAGAACCCGAGAAAAGGCTGGAGACCAGGGGCTGCAGCATCGGGCGGTCGTCAAGCAATGATTCAGCGCAATGCCAAGAGAACGAGGAAAGGCGGCTCTAGATCGACTGTGTTGGTGAGACTTTTACGTCTGAGATCGCCGCGAGCTGCCGGTTATATTCTTGCGTAGCCTTGACGTGAAACAACGGCTAATTATCAAAGGCGTGGAAGACGGTCACAATAAGGTGCGGCATAGACGATCATTGGGCGGGTAAAGTGACACTTCTGTCGGGTCTTGGCCTGCCGGGAATTCCATACGCGCCATAGCATCCATAGGATGATATCACCAGTACTATTATAGTCTGGCAGAAAGGCGCACAAACGCCCATCGGTTACAGCGGAACCAGCAACCACACGTCCCATAATTTGTTCACGCCACGATCTGTTCCCGGGCCGAATAATGGATACCGGTTACTTATGAGAAGGCCAAGCACTCCAATGATTCTTGCGAAAGGGGCACTGAAACTGGGGCTCCGGATGGCCAAGCGGCGACTGGCTGGGGAGCCACAGTGATTGGGGATATTCCCTGAGTCCTCGGGGCCCCAGGGGGAGACTACTGGAGCAGGGCTAATCCTCAAAGCCAAGCAGCGTATTGTTATCAGGCGATGGAGCCGGCGAAGTAAGAAGTCAAGGGCCCGCTAATAACACGGCGCTCCACAGCTAAAACATCCACTTATCGAAACATGTAAGGAAGTGAAGGTCATCGAGCTCATGAATCTATGCTCATTGGGGCGCTTAGGACGAATTGGACCTTTTGATGGGAACGATCCCCCTTGCGGCTGGCTTGAGGCTGCTTGGCCAGGCTGCGACGCCCGATGTCAGATTTGATGATGCACCAAAGGTGATGTGCGTCATATCTCTTGGCAAGAACAGGTTCCCTGTAGTTATGCCTCATATACGGCCATGATCACTGTTCATTGCGTGATTCCGTGGCCACGCTTGATGTCCACGGCGCAGCAGCGGAGGCGGAAGCGTAGAGCGTCAAAACCACAGGACTTTTCCACATCGTGTCGATGCATAGGAGCGTCGACAGCTCCAGCCTCACCCTGTTGTATCGATATCCGACAGGGATGTTTGATGCCTGCTAGATAGAGGCTGTTCGTTCGGCTGTGCTTCATGCGAGCGATAAAGCTTGCATTGATGCTGCCCTCCAGCAATGCAGCATTGCATTTCCCTTTTGTCAGTCGCGGATTACTGATTCAACCGTTCATAGCCATATCGAGATAACTTGAGATTGATCTTGCGAAGACGACTGCGAATAAGCCAATTTCATGAACTCCCAGATATGTGCTGACGGGTGACCCGTGGACATGATGCATGCGCGTATCAACATGAAGCAATAAGGCAACTATGACGGCGTTAAGCCCTAGGGAAGCATCCGCTCCCATCTATACGAACTGTTTAGGATCTTCCCAAGAAATTACGGTGCCCCGCGATCAGAGAAGGCTTCGAAAATAAACACTTTGTCGTGTCTGTAACTGAGGTTTTGTCAGTGAGATCTTGCGAGATTTAAAAATGACGTCATCTCAATTCTCCGCACAAAACGTCATTTCATCCTTCACAAATTTGAAATGCTCAGAATTCTCGCCAGGCTGACACATTCACAGCTGGCTGCTTCGGCCGATTGAACACACCCAATTGATTGAAAGGCTGATCACATCGTTCTTCAAGTCAATATGCCCGGTTCTGTGGGCTGCCCTCCGGCAGTGAGAAGAATGCGAGAATGACTGAACCAATTGGTGACCCGATCGGCTCCGCCCGATGCCCGAACACTCTCTCGCTTTCACCACGTTGTGATTGTTGGAGATACGTGGATCTTATCTGATTGATAACCAGTGATTCGGCAGACGCTATACTGCCCTGGGTCATCGGGGGCACGATCCCATTTGCTAGCCGGGATATTGCAATTGCCGGCTTTTATCCAGGGGTGAGCGGTTTTCTACAATCACACTGAGGTCGTCTGGCCATCCCCGTCTTGCATCACCGTCTCCATTCACAGCAGATATAGATAAGCTACTCCCCACGGCTTAATATATAATGGACGGGCCATGGGTTGGGTATCAGCTCCCCGTGAGAAAGGTCTCGTGGCTGAAGCGTGATACTCTGCTCTTCAACATCAGTATTGGATGCAAAGCAGATGAGCTTCATTTTCTCTACGTATGTATATTAATGGCAGGTCGAACAAGGACGGCTTGGCAATCCTCACATATACTAAGCGGTTATACTGTCGAATAGGAACGCCACCCTCACTTTTCCACCTTCCCGACTTTCCCCCTCGGCTTAGGTGAGTAGCCTGCATTCTGTTCTTGGCTAGGCCGTGAAGGTGAGAAGCGTCGTTGCTCACTTCATTCCAGTATTCAAGCTCGACAATCAAGAAGTCACAGACTTCTATGCTTCACAAGGGGCCGTCAAGATACCCGGTGTCCCGGAGCTTGACCCGGTGCGACTCGTTGATGGAGACCGCACCATCGAGATGCTCAAACTTCTGCCCGTCACCTCCGAAGGCAGGCAGTTCGAATTTCGATCCAAGATCGTCGGTGTCTTCGACAAGGGCAAAGCAGGCACAGTGGTCCGGACTGAGCACCTGCTCGTTGATGCTACCTCGGGCGAGATCTACACTCGCAACGTGGGCAGCGAGTTTTATGTAGGGCAGGGTAATTGGGGTGGACCGAGAGGACCTCCTGCTCAAAGATATCCGCCTCCGGAAGGGAAAAACGCCGATTTGTCGTTTCAAGTCCACATCGATGCCCAGAGCTCACATTTGTACAGGTAGGATGTCATATCCATCGATGGAGTCTCAAGCCTCTCCAGCTAATTCCTTTGTGCAGGCTTAATGGAGACTACAATCCTCTGCATGCCACCCCAGAGCCTGGTAAACAAATGGCATACGGGGGACTTATTAGCCACGGGGTCTTCGCCTACAATGTTATTGCGCATGAATTCGTGCGGCGCCTGGGGAAATCCGATCCACTTAGCCTCCGACAACTATCCGCAAGGTTCTCTGGGCCCGTGAAGCCAGGTGACGATATAGATATCGAGGTCTGGAATATTGGGAGGAACTCAGAAGGGTGGGATCAAATCCGATGGTTTGCAAAGGTGGTAGGAAGCGACCGGCTGTGTCTGTCAGATGGAACTGCCCTGGTGAGACCGCAGTACGAAACTGGTAAATTATGAGTGCTAGCAATGCCCTCTATCTCGGCAAGAAGCATAGTCATTCAATGATGAACTTTGGGGGGCATTTCAGCTGATAAGTTGCCTAGAGCAGCTGACACACGAAGCTCGACGAGTGGGGAGATGGATTCGGGAGGCGGGGTGCACTGTTGGATGCCGCTTCGGCAGATAGACTGATGGAAGACTGCTTAGCCACGGGAGCCGCGTCTCTGCATTGTTGATTTATTATTGTCAAGTCAGATCGTCGCGCATTTGTCTGTCGCGATAATTATGTACACAATACCATGTCTGATAGGATTGCAACCCATTATCTTCACCATTGGCTACGCCCCGTAGCCAAGTAAGTCTGATTTTCATGTGCCCCAATCCCCATGTCATGTACGCTGTTAGAGGGTCAACGTGATCATTTGGCCTCTTCAAATTGCTCTCCGCCCATCTCCAATGGGCGTGCAATATAGAATAGTGCTGCCTAATAAGCCCTCCTAGATGACAAACTTGCCAGACCGTCATGCGGGAGGCCAGCCATTCCCCCACAAAATGGCGAAAGGTAACTGGAGCAGCCTTTGGCGTTGCATCCAAAAACAAAACTGATGTGATAGCCAAACATACGTGTTTGGCAGCTTGTCAGATTTAATATTGCACAATTTACTGGATTGGGCTAGAGATGATAGCATCGTGGCATTTGGTAGTTTCGCACTCCCTCTCGTCACATGCTTTATGCACTGAACTTAAAAGGACCGTACTGGCAGAATTTTCAAAGCAAAATCATAAATACTTGATGACACCCTGTACAACTCTGCCTAGTCTTCGAAATCTTAAAAAGCCAACGCATGGTTAAACTTTTCCTAGTACATTATTGACTTGCGCCAGTCCAGCCACAAATCTCTTCCGATGTCTCCCACTCAGACAAGCTCTTCTAGGCGGAAGGGCAAAAAGAGCCACTATGTCGTCGTGAAAGGGAGGGATATTTCCAAGCCAACAATATTCAGGTCTTGGTAGGCCATTTAATCAACCTTAGCCAAGTTTGGTCACTATGCTGAATATGACAACTCTAGGGAAGATGCCAAAATGCGAATAGAAAATTTTGAAAGAGGAGAGTGCAAGGGGTTCTTTTCTGAGGCCGAGGCGGAAGATTACATTTGCAGTCTACGCCGCACCGCCATCGCCGGAGACGTCGGACAAACCGAGACCAGATTCACGGAAGAGAAGCCATTTGAGGCCAGTGCAAAGAGATTTTACGCTGTTTTTAAGGGCCGCCAAACTGGTGTTTTCACATCTTGGGCGTAAGTCGTACCTATTATTAAAGAGAGCCAAGACAGAGCCACTGATAATTTAAAGCGAGGCGAGTGAACAAATTAATGGCTTTTCGGGGAATTGCCATAAAAAGTTTAAGACAGAGGAGGAAGCACGGCGCTTCGTTGATACCAAGTGTTCATCGAAGGGTATGGGCAAGATTTCAGATGTGCTCGGGAATACACCATCGAAGAACATTCAACGAGGGGATGAAGGTGATGGTGACAAGAAAGATCTGTCCACGATATTCATTCAACTCAATCTTTAGTCTTTATAGGCTGCAATTGATAGATTCTATATTTAGATATTTCCAATCCCTCGTAGCCTCTCTTCCTTCTCCCTAAGACGGGACGAGCAGAGTCTCCCCCTGGACAGAATTTAAGGGTAGATCAAGCTCGTACAACGTATTTCCGCGCATGTGCGAAGGTGGCCATATTAGGATTTAGCCATGTTCGATACGTAGATGTCTTATAAATCTAACAAACCAATAGCTGCAAGCGGAGAGTATGACAAGTAGGGATATGTTCTAGGCTCACCTCGTTCCGATATAGCAGCTGCCAGAGCTGTGGCCCGACTCGCCGCTTATATCAATCCATGCCACTCAGATATGCTGATGTCCGGAGGAGGCTTTCTTTAAGCCGCCAACTGGCTACGTCGGCCACATTGACATATTGCATGCCGTAGCCTTTCATTAAATCCTTTTTTCAGTCCAAAGAATCAGAATCTTGTAGTAGCATTCTATGTATCCCAGTTGAACCTTATTAATTAGTAGACAGGATGCCAATTTTCCCTCTGTACTCCCAGGCGAATGCGAGCCTTGTGGGCCCTTGGCTGAATACGACAAGTGCTTGTGGTGAGGATGAACCCAATATTGAACACCTACACGCTTAATGGATCGCTTGATATTCAATTTGTCATAGAATAAGCGAGTGTCCTTTTGTCAACCGTAGGGGGAGATTTAGTTATGGGCCATGTCGTTGTATAAAGCAACCCATCCGGCTACCATCTCGCAATCGAGATTGGGGTGTGCGAAAGAGAAAGACTTGGATCCCTACTCTGGGGCGACGTGATTTCCCAATTGTTTGCACACAAGCCGAAGCAATGGATGACCTACCCTCCAATAACGTATCATCAGCCTCCCCCGATGCTGGCTTAATGATGGACTACATGAACTATATGGCATCGCAGCCGCCAAAAGTCATTGTGTTCGGCCCAGGTTCAAATTGCACCCTCGAAATATGCGACATCAGCTGGAGCGTCTACAAATACCGGCCCTCGCTCCCTGTCAACGCCGCTTTTCTCGCCCTCTTCGGTCTCGCTATGGTCATGCATATTTATCTCGGTATCCGCTGGCGGAGCTGGTGGTTCATGGCTTTCATGATCTCTGGTTGTGTATTCGAGATGATTGGATATGGTGGTCGTATCATGCTCTACAATAACCCATTTTCTTTTCCCGGGTTCTTGATCCAGATCATCACCATCACTGGAGCTCCCGTCTTTTTTACCGGTGCCATTTATGTTACCCTGTCCAAAACGCAAGTATTCTCTTGTTCATCGATTAATCTTGAGCGGAGACTAATCGGAATTTTTTGCATGATTTGTAGGATCGAACATTTTTCGGCAGCACTATCACGGATCCGACCCAAGCTATTCTATTATTTCTTCATCCCTGCTGACATTATCTGCCTTGTTTTGCAAGCCGCCGGCGGCGCAGTATCGACTGTGAGTCGAGGTGTTAGCCAGAGGGGAATTGACATCGCCATGGTAGGGCTCATTCTCCAGGTCCTTGTCCTCATCGCGTTTATCTCACTTTTTGGTGACTACATGGCACGATATTTCCGGTCGCAGATCACACAAAGGTTTACAGTGAGAGAGACCTCATTTTTCACCTGCCTCATCTTGGCAACCGTGTTGATCTTGGCGCGGTGTTCGTATCGCTGCTATGAGCTGAAAGAAGGATATACGCACTCTGAGCTGATCACTAACGAGAGCCTTTTCATTGTCTTGGAGGGGGCGTAAGTCATACTTTGTTCTTGAGTTTATTTATAAACGATGCTAACCGTTATCAGTTTGGTTTATATATCGTCACTGCTACTCTGCATTGGGCATCCTGGTCTGATCTTTCATGACACAGGATGTGAGAAGCTTGAGGACGATGATGCTTCAGGCGATCAGATTCCGCTGGAACAATTTGTGTACAGGGAACCAGAGACGGAAATTGGAGTGGCCAAGTAGAGGAGCAGGAGAGAGAATACAGGGCAAACTGAGATAGGTCTTGAGTACATTTGTTGATACATACGGATGAGAGACAGTTCGAGTACAAGGTAGAAACAACAATGAAGATGCCAGACCCAACATTTTAACACAACGAATACGGTACATTTATTGATTACTACCACTAAAGAAGCCAACTAGTAGCCACACAAAGTTCAACCTCTAATCCAAATAATTCACGTCTTACGATTGAGTCGATGTCGTATTCTGGTCGATATAGGGTAGGCAGCTGAACAGGAGTGGAGAGCTTTAGTCAGCAAGCCCTGATAAGATATGATGCGATAAGGCGGAGCGATAACAAAAATTCCTTGAGGTGCCTCTCCTCATCGAGTTTCAGGCCTACGCACTCAACCACATCCGTTTGAGCACCTGCGATTAGGTAGTGGATAGGGAATATCTCGATAATCAATCCCAAAGACAAGACTGACGATGGCGACCGTTGTACCCCCACCCTCGAAGAGGCAGCGAAGAGAAGTGCTTGAACGCACAAAAGTTCAGCACCAGGATGACCCGAGTGCACAGGTCCAGGGTTCTTTCAGAACCCGGTTCATCGATGGCGATGGCCAACAACTGGCTGATGTGGTGGAAGTCAATTTCGCAGACGCAACAGAGAAGAACATGTCACAGCTCCTGAACACACTCCTACAGAACGACAAGGAGGATGCGGTGCCGTACAGATTCAAAATTCTCATCTCCGAGTCGAACAAGGTCATCAATTCACTCCCGGCCAGCCCAGCCGAGCTCCCTGAACTCCTGAAGTTACACGGTCTAACGAGCCCCGCGGAAGCAATCCTGAGCTTTGTCGCAGAGCCGCAAGCCGTCTTCAAAGTCAACGCCGTGTCGAGGTTGTCCCATCGAATCCCCGGCCATGGCCAGCCTATTCTCTGTGCCCAATTTTCTCCTGCTACGAGTGGTCTGCTCGCAACCGGAAGTGGAGATCAGACAGCTCGAATCTGGGATACCGTGACTGGCACACCGAAATTCACGTTGAAGGGACACACGGGCGCCGTTATTGTCGTATCGTGGAGCCCAGACGGAGAGTTGCTTGCCACGTGTAGCATGGGTGAGTAAAGATACAGAATCACACTACCGACTCCCTGATCTACCTGATGTACTAATCCATCATAGACCAGACCGCCAGGCTCTGGAACCCTCGGACAGGAGAGCCAGTGAACAAGGTCCTCAAGGGCCACCTCAAGGATATCAGAGCCCTCGCGTGGCAGCCATATCACCTTTGGTCCGACAACACACCTTACCTTGCCACTGCTGGAAAAGACACTACGTGCAGGATATGGAACGTAAACACGGGCCTCACAGAGCACACCCTCAGTGGCCACACAGCTGCCATCAGCTGCGTCAAATGGGGAGGCACAGGCGGCGAAAAGGGGTCGATCATCACAGCCAGTCATGACAAAACTCTCCGCATCTGGGACCCCGTGAAGGGTGTCTTATTGCATAACCTCAAGGGCCATGCCCACTGGGTCAACAGCCTGGCGCTTTCAACCGATTACGTGCTTCGGACAGGTTATTTCGAACCTGGGACGCAAGTCCCTGCCACACCCGAGGAGAAGAAGCAGAAGGCAAAGGAACGCTTCGAGAAGGTTGCCAACGTGAAAGGAACTCTAGTTGAAACAATGGTTTCCGCTAGCGATGACTTCACCATGTATCTGTGGGATCCAGTTCAGTCCAAGGATAAGCCCATTACTCGCATGCTTGGGCATCAGAAGATGGTCAACCACGTGGCCTTTTCACCTGATGGGCGACTTATTGCCAGTGTCAGTTGGGACAATCACACCAAACTCTGGAATCCAAAGTAAGCAAAGCTCATTCCCAGCAGTCAAGCACGTTTCTGATTCAGAGCGCTAACTAAATTTAGGGACGGTGCTTTTATCGCTACTCTGCGAGGCCACGTTGCACCCATTTACTTGTGTGCCTTCTCCGCCGACTCCCGCCTCCTTGTGACAGCGTCCAAAGACACGACACTCAAAGTGTGGAATTTGAAAACGTTCCAATTGGCAAGAGATTTGCCAGGGCATGAGGATGAAGTTTATGCTGTGGATTGGAGCGTCGACGGACAGCGGGTAGGAAGCGGTGGAAAGGACAAGGCCGTTCGAATTTGGGCCAACTAAGATTTTTGTGTTTATTTAAAAGTTGGTATATAGATGAAGAGGAAAAGTTGGTGCTTTTACGGGTAGATCAGCGAATAGAGAGACATGACCTATTGCCACATACCGACTATTTGTGATACCCAAGGCATTAGACGATTGAGAAAGTGACTGGGATAACACGTTGCATTCACAGAATGGTTGGGAATTCATTTGTTATCTGAATATGTACCCATTTAACCAGCAGCAATGCGGGGAATTGAACAACCCATTCCAGGCCACAATGTCCCGGACGAAGCATCAGCTGTTCTGCCCCATTGTAGAGTACACCCTTCACAACTTAGTGGCCTATCTTTCCATTCCAAGGCCGTAGCCTCACAAGAAGGGCTTCGTAGATTTGCATACTCCTCGGAAAACTCCCATTTCCCAGTGCCACTATTCTTGCGTATGTATCGGAATACGAGGGTCTCCCCTGCATCCTCTAGGAGAAACACCCTTCGATTGAGCCGCTGCCACTGTTCTTGAGGCGTCCCTTCATTAAAATTCTCCGCCTCAACCGTGCGGTTCTTCTTGGCAATCTCAACGAGAGCCTGACTGCTCCAAAGTCCATCCTGTCGAGGATATGTTTCCAAGATTCGGATTGCAGTCTCCCTGGCGATGGGGTCGCGGCAGTTTATAGCGACGAAAACCAAATGCCACGATAGCCCGGTATGCATAGAAAATGTTGTTGAAAAGCGTTTTGCGCTGGCTACTCGTTTTCGGAGGAGAATCTCGCATAGTTCTAGGAGCTCTCGGCACTCTGGAGTGATTGACGACACGTACTCATAGTCACAAGCTGCGGAGAACATGCTGTATATCGACATGGTCAAGTATTCGATGCGAAGGTTGACCAGACACAAGTATGAAGGGGACTCTCCTGGGGAATGTGTCAGAGTTTGTTGATAGAGGGGCCAAAATGCTTGGTGCCAGATCTGTAAATGGGTTTTCACTTTGTCCGTGAAGGCATGAAGCTCGGCTGAATTTCGAAGACGCTGGAGGTATTTTTCGACACTCATGTAGTCTCTGGGATCTTGAAGTAGCAGATCATCAATGAGCTGTACGGCGCTTGGATCCAGTATCTCAATTCGGCGGACAGTTGCATTCCAGTATTCGGCTGCCGTATCGGCATCATGAAAAAGTTCTGGCTGCCAGGCTAACCCAGCTCGGGGGACCATATATGGAGTCAACCCTGCGCAAAGCTGTTCCCTTTCGTCCATCTCCGAAGTCGATTCTGCTTCAATGACACGAGAATGGAGATTCCGCTCCTGGATTGTCCCACTCATTACAGTTTGTGCCTGCACAATGAAACGGTTATACAAGAGTATGACCTCGTGAATAAGTTCACCAGGACTTGGTGCAAGCTGAGCCATCTTCGAAGAAGCCTCAGGGCCTAAGCAAAGCTCTCTTATGATTAACAGACCATGCGAGACATGCCTCAGCGCAGACCTGATGTCTTGACGAACCCCCTCGAAGCTGGTAAACAGTATCGAAAGGAGAATCGCCTCTTGTAAGCCCGTTGATCCTTGATTCGATCGGCTAACTGATCGCAGGGCCCGGCAATAAAAAGCAACCGCATGTTGATAATGAAGACTGTCCGATTTAGACCGAGTTAACTGAGCATGGCTTATGGCTCCAATCGCGAGAGCGGCATCGCGGAGGGTTGTGTTTTGTGCAGTGAGCTGAGGCAGGAAAGTTGACCAAAGCTTGTTTGAACTATAGCCGGAGAGGAGGTCCCGAGAGAGATACATCCATTCTTCGAAATAAAGCTGCTGAAATTTATCCTCGAATTCTAGGCCAAGCCTCGGCCCCTTGATGGGATGAGATGATCTGGGTGGGCCGTTGATTATCGGAAGGTTAGGGCGTTGGTGTCTTCGCGTACGAATTTTACGAGGCCTTATCCAATAGCCACCACATTCTCCGCTCAAAGATAAACAGTTTAGGCATGCAGGCTTCGTTTCATCGCATTTGATGTGCCGTTTTCTTGGTTGTTAGCTAGGCATGGCACAAGGGAGCAGTGGGGGTCTACTTACTTGCCTGAGAACGAAACAAGGTTAGCAAGCAGAACATGAATCTTTTGCAAGAGAAGACTCACAAGTTACACAGCCTGTTCGGACTTTGGGTGCCCCGGCCCTCGATAGCTTCAGGGGGACGCTAACCGGTTTTCCTCGCGGTGTAGGGATTGAACCCTCGGCCTGCTTCGGCTGTATCGGTCTTGGAGCCATATGCGAATGGGCAGAAAGGGAATGGACTTGGGTCATGTCTGATAAAACACATCACGGAAATCAGATATCTGGCTCCACTAGAAGAGCGTTGAAGACGAAACTCCTCGTCGGCATCGTGGCTTGGCCTCGCAATAATCACGGCGAAGAGGCGAAAAGGCGAAGTGGGGTAATTGATTGATTGATGACGAAATGAAATAAGCCGAGAGCCCGAATTTACGACGCTTGCATCTGGCCAATCACGAACCGGATCCCAGGCGGAGTTTATGGAGAATAAAGCCGGTCTAAAGAGCTGACAGCTTACTGATCAGCGACTGGCTCCGCTCTGGGAAGCAGAGAACAGCTTGTGTGAAGCACCTGCGCCCCAGTTGGATCATGGACATGGGACTCATTGTTGGTGAGAGGAATCTCGACGAGTCCTTGATATCTAATACTGGAAGACTTTTTCTGTTTCAATGTTGGATGAAAGTATGAAATAGTATGAAGACCTTCCTTTCTACTGTGTCCATGTTGTTTTTCTGATGAGCACAAGTCTGGCCTTGATCACATGAGAGGGAGGTGCTGGCTAACTGCCCGTGGGTAAGCTTTTTTACGTGTTGGCATACCCCACAATTTTGCTTCAGTAGGAAGCTCCGGAACAAGTAATATCATGGCGAGGACGATGGTATTAGGTTCTTGATCCTATTGCTGGCTATTCGGGGTGTATACTGTTCGTAATGTGCCGCATTTGGTCCTATGATCATTTGTTGTGTCAAGCGTGTATGAGGTTTTGGTGGATCCATGGCCTGGGAGAGATGAGCAATTTCCAGCCAATCAGCGATGCAAGCCAATTTACGATGAAAGATACGATTGAACTTACGACATGGGTGTGATTGGAGTCTTGGTCAACCCTCGCTTATGTAGTCGGGATATAGGCATAGGGAAGTAGAAGACAAAGGAACATCGCAACATCTGAATGGCCAAAGATCGTCTATAAAAGGACCAGAAACTGCACTTGTTTATGAAAATCAAACCATCAGGAATAATAACTTCTCCATTCTGCCCATTAGACTTCATCTTCCCACCCATAAGTTGGTCTAGCAAGTCATATATACAACACCCTATTCACGCGTTTAGCCACCACGTTCAAACAATTCTAAATTCGCCATCATTCAAATAGCTTCAAAATGGCTATTATTGCTGTCGCCGGAGGAACTGGACAGATGGGTCGCGCCGTCGTTGATGCTCTTATCGCGTCCGGAAAGCACAAGACAATCATTTTGAGTCGCAAGGTTAGTAGGAGGAAGATCTCTTATGTTAATGAAAAGAATTCTAAAACCTTGATAGGAAAACCCGACTCTCGAAAAGGAACTTGGGGTTTCTATTATCGCGGTTGATTACAACAACGCCCCAGCTCTTACGAAAGCTCTTGAAGATAACAATGTGGATACGGTTATTTCCACCATCTTCATGATGCCAAGTTTCACAGGAGATCTGCCCAAGGAGGTTGAAATTATTCGCGCCGCGAACGCTTCTAAGACAACAAAGAGGATGATCTCCAGCGATTTTTCTTTCAATCTCAAGCCCGAGTATGTCTTTCCATTCCCGATGGTGAGGGCTGTCTAACTAACTCTGTACAGACATGTCGCTGCTGGCTTCCCGGCCACCCCCTTCAAAAAAGCGGCCGAAGCTGAACTGGAGGCTTCCAAAAACCTCGAATCAACCCGCATCATGATGGGTCACTTCATGGATTACTGGGGTGTTCCAGGATTCAAATCCCATTTTGCCCCCATGGCCACTTTTATTGACATTGAGAATGATTATGCTGCCATCCCAGGCAGCGGCAACGGACGTGTCACTATGGCTCACAGCACCGATGTAGCCAAGTTTATCGTTGCGAGTCTAGATTTGGAAAAATGGGACCCAATCCATTACATCATCGGCGATACTCTTACAAGCAACGAGCTTCTCGCCCTCGCCGAGAAAGCCAAGGGTAAGCGCAAATCGGTATTTCGTACCCGCTTCATTGAAGTCGATGCTAATCGATAACTTTAGGTCGCAAATTTACAGTTGTTCATGATAGCGTCGAGGATCTCAAGTCTGGAGTTATTACAGCTCTCCCTGGTCAGATTGCAGCATACGATTTTATGCCGAAACAAGTCTTTGATATGGTTATGCCAATTCTCGGGCTGTGGTTTGAAGAGGGCGCATTCGACTTGGGGGATGTCCCATCTCTGAACGATAAATTTCCCGAAATTAAGACGATCAAGGCCAAGGATATGATTGAACAGGCATGGAAGAAGTCTTAGGGAGTCTCCGCCAGACTGCACCCCACTCTGCACTACTTTCAAGACGATATGCAATGTAAGGTTATTATCTTTATAGTATATCAATTCAACAACTAGCACACTGTTCTGAACTTATTGACCACCACGTGATGAAAAGTTCGACATGCATTTGGGTGCGATATAGGCTGAAGAATGTAAGCTTCTTGTAGGGTTTAGCTCTATGAGGCGTAAACCCCTGGGGAAGTTTTCTCGGGGTCTACAATAGTTTTGGCCCGAAAGTTCTTTCAAAACTCGATATCTTCTATAATAGAAACATGAGAAATTTCCTAAGATTTCCCCTTTGAGGACTGGATCGTTTATCTTCTTGTCAACATGAATACAAGCGACCAAGCAAACTCTGTCGTCCCTTATGCCTACTAATATAAGACAAAGAACCAGATTCACATTGCTAATTTTAACTCTCAAGCTTAGGATAGAGTCTGCTTCCCACTTGTTCTTCAACCAGCTTTGTAGGTGTTTTAGGAGGGAAATAGGCACTGAATGGGTGTTCACGTGACCAAACACGTGATGGTACTCTCCACCTGAATTCCATGAGCCCCTGGCCTCTTGTTCTCTTCACATCCATCTCCAGTTCTGATAAATGTGACTCTGCGCCATGAGGGCCTCCAAATCATTCAGGCAGATTGATAGAAGCTACAAGGTAATTTCTAGTCTTCCACTCGCGGTTGGAGAATTGCTAAGCTCTCCTAGAGCGCGATCGAATTGCTCAATAGCCGTCGTCGTTCACAACGACCAGACGCCAATTTGAAGGCCAAAGGGGACAGTATTCAGCATGCCACGAATACTCCTCCAACGCCCGGCTTGAAGGGCACCCCGAGCATTGTTGGGATGGAAGATTGGTTATTAAAGATTGGCCACTCGGTATGAAGAGCCCACTGGGACCGCATGCGCAGAGAAATGGATGTTTGCTAACTGCTCGTAGCCGACAGACATTGACAAGCTCAATATAATTCATGTGGCAGGGACGAAGGGAAAAGGAAGCACTTGTGCATTCACCGAGTCATTTCTACGAACCTTTGGGGAGAGAACAGGTTTTCCCAAGAGAACAGGTCTCTACACATCTCCCCATCTGATGTTCCCTGAAGAGCGTATCCGGATCAACTTCCAGCCACTTGCACGAGATCTTTTTGCAAAATACTTTTTTGAAGTATGGGATGCAATTTCATCAGATTCGCGTGTTAACACGAACATCCCTCGCACCCTTCAACTCTTCGCACTCATGGCATTCCACGTCTTTATTAGAGAAGGGGTGGAGGCTGCCATTATCGAAACGCACCATGGAGGCGAGTATGACGCAACAAACTTCATACAAAACCCTGTCGTAACAGCCATCACTACCCTGGGGATGGACCACGTTAAACAACTGGGGCCAACACTGGGCAACATTGCATGGCATAAAGCCGGCATTATGAAGCGTGGCGCCCCGCTGATTTCTGCCCCGCAGGAGTCTGCGGCGGTAGATGTGATTCGAGCGCGGGCGTCGGAAAAGGGTGTTGACGTATATTTTGCAGACTCAAGCCCGGAGCTGCCATCAGAAGCCGTGCAGTTGAGGCTAGATGTCCAGCGAACGAACAGCTCGGTGGCTTTAGCAGCTGCCCGTCGGTTTTTGGAAGAAAGGGCTCCCAAAAATACTCTGCCACTGGCCGCCTCTGATATTCAGGGTGCCATTGATCAGTTCTCTTGGCCCGGTCGTTTCCAGTATCTTCGACAGGGACGCCACCGTTGGTATTTAGACGGCGCACACAACGAGATGAGTGTTGATAAGGCGGCAGAGTGGTATATTCAGGGCTCAAGTGGTTCCATGTGAGCACCCGCCAGACGTGACAGGCTGCAGCCAATACGCAAATTAACACTTGGCAGGCCCTCTACTCGTGTACTCATTTTCAGCCAGGCATCCGAGGCGAGAAATGCCACCGAGGTTCTAGATCAGCTTGCCACTGCACTTCGCGACGTAGCAATCGACCACGTCATTTTCACGACCTACTCGCCAGATCAGGACCTTGATATTGGATCAGGTAGGCCAATCACTCTTTTCCAGAGTGGTCCCTTTGTTAATCATTAGTCTGCAGCCCCGGTCTCAAATCCTTGGCACGGTGACAAGAGCCAGGCGTTTGAGGAGATCTGGAAAAAGATCCATGGCACGACGAAGGTGCACTATGAGGCTGATATTCCAACCGCATTGGACGTGGCCAGGCAGATCGGTGCCAAATCTGAAGAGGTGCATACCCTCATCACGGGAAGCCAGTACTTGGTGGGGGCTGCTCTGTACACTCTCCAAAAATGAGCGTTTATCTACCAGACACAACACCTGGACCTGTTGGATAGAGCTACGTGGTACAAATAGTCGATGGTTCGGCGCCGTAAAATGGGCCGTTGGGCTCCGATGGGTCTTCCTACGGTGACTGTACAGCCAGTCAATGCTCAGGTACATTTCTTCAAATCTTGCCCAATGAAGCTCAACCCAATAACAGTCCGAGGAGTCTAATGTATGTATTTCGGGCAGACAATTGTATATAGTCTGTTGTTTTGAGGTAGAAGGCGATTGTGTGAGTAACTCACCTCACCCACTGTGACCCTCAATCTTTTCAGCAACATGTCGTTCCAATACGTGCCTTTGCCTGGAGATCAGGAAGGGAGTATTCGGCTAATAAATCTTCTACCTAAGAAGGAGCATCCGAAAAGTTGCGAGGGCCCTGACAATAGCGCTGCTATTAGGCCGCCACCGGCACGAGTTCATTGTACCCTCTCCGTCGCCAAGTTGGAAGAGCCACCCCCATATGCCGCCTTGTCGTATACATGGGGGACCTTAGATCGCAAAAGCACCATCATGGTCAATGGAATGCCATTCCTGGCCACAGAAAATTTAGAAAGTGCTCTCTATCATCTCACCCCCCAGGACCAGGCCCTTGTTCTTTGGGTGGACGCGATTTGCATCGACCAAAACAGCGAGGGCGAACGTCCGCAACAGCTTCAGAAAATACGACAGATTTACAGCGGTGCTACATCTGTCACGGCTTGGTTAGGTCCGCCCAGAGATAATAGTGATATTGCACTGGGCTGGATCCAGTATTACGGGTCGTTGGCTGATAGCCTCGGGATCGGCACCAAACCGGATCTTATGCTGCTCTCACTCTTACAATCACTTAGATTGAGCCCGGCGAAACTGCCCGAGAACAACCGCCTAAAGACGTTTCTGAAAGAAATCTCCAACGAGGTAACATCGGATTCTGGTCAGGCAGAAAGCATCAGGGTATCTCTGGCGAAGCTATTTGACCGGCCCTACTGGAGCCGTGTTTGGGCTGTTCAAGAGATGGCACATGCCAAGTCTGTTCGGTTTGCTTGTGGTGACAAGTCTGTGTCTGATGATGCCCTTCACCATGCCCTTAGACTCGTGAGAAACCTAAGGCAGTTCCAAAAGCTAAAGCAGGGCCACTATGTACAGCAAGCCACTGTTAAGTCAATAGGATTTCCCACCAACACGCGCAATGCCATCAGTCTCTTGAAGGTTCAGAGAGCTACTGAACCCCTGCCACTCATCTATCTTCTTCGGACATTCCGGTTCTTCAAAGCCAGTGATCCGCGGGACCGACTTCTTGCACTTCTGGGATTCGCTTCAGATGCTGATATTTTGGGGCTTTCATCTGACTTCCGAGACAAGTCTTATGAGGAGTTGTACTGCGACGTCATTGTTGGCCTTATAACGAATGGATTCTTTGATGTGCTGTCACTTTGCGATCCTGATATCAGGATCCCAGGATACCCATCGTGGACACCGGATTTTACCAGGATGCGAACACGGGTTCCCTTGCAGCAAAGGGCTTTGGAGCGGCATAGCTCCCCTATGAAGACCAGTCTCCGGCCAAAGTTCTCAGCTTCTGGGAAAAGAAATCTAGGAAGCAAGAGCTGTCCACTGCCTGTCTCTTTAGGTTCACACCTGGTACTTCACGCTAAGCTGATCGATGTCGTGGATCACGTGGGTACACAGTGGAAGGCGGGATATTCTCGTCGGTGGCTGGAGGAGCTCAGCCAATTTTCCTTCCCTGATGGTGCCAAGACTCTCAAGCCTCTCCCTCCTGCATGCTTACAGGCCGTTCTACGTACGGCAGTTGCTGATCAAGAGGGATGGCGCGCAGCCGTTAAGCCTCGACTGAGTGATTCGATGGTAGTGAAAATCCAAGAAGTATTGGAGAAGTCAGGTCTACCCGACGATACCGCAACACTCACTTCATTCGGCGTAGATGACTACGTGGACCAGTTACAAGACATTGCCAAACATAGGTGCCCATTTCGAACATCCACGGGCCGCATTGGAATTGGTCCACACCAGATGAGGTCTGGTGACCGGATCTATGTACTCGCGGGGGCGCCGGTCCCCTATGCTATGCGTGAGGGGACGGATCGAAAGCTGAGGCTCCTTGGGGAGGTGTATTTGCATGGGATTATGGACGGTGAGGCGCTTAATAATGTCAAATCACTGGATAAGATTAAGTTGTATTAAGCCATTATACGTTATACTCTCTCAACCAATTTCAATCACTCCACAGATCGTCCAACTTACGTTTGAGTGTTCCGAATTACAAGATGTCTTATTACCACTAGATGAAAGGACAGCATAAGAACAAGATTCATCGTGAGCTACGACGTAAGCCTATATTCCGCAATCGTGACCCTTATCCAAGACCTTTCTTGCAAAATGGAGACATAGTTCGCTTGTACAGTCCTACTGAGTACTCAATTGTAGTTTCGCTTCTGACAACCCATCGGCAGTGGCTGTCACCTCAATGCCCCCCGGGGAGCCTGCAGTGCCGCCGATAATTGCCAGTGCCAGTCCACCAACCACCTTTCGTTCCTTAGAAGGAAAAGCGACATAGTCTGATTGCCATCCATTATCGGTTGCCAAAATTTCCCCAGACCCTGAGATTCCAAACTCAACAGTGACATCGGCATCACGGACCACATCCCCGTTCTCATCCACCACTTCGACAGTCACAAACGAAAGGTCCTTTCCATCAGCGGAAAACGAGCTTCTGTCAGCACTTAGTCTCAGACTCGTTGCTTCTCCTGTCGTTCGTACGGTATCTGTAGCCCACTCTTCTCCGTTTTTGTAGGCGACAACCCTCAGCTCCCCGGGTGTGTAGACAACGTCGTCCCATCGAATACGGTACTCATACTCGCCCTTCTTTTTCCGGCCCAGGGACTCATCATTCAAGAACAACTCAGCTTCGTCACCAGAGGTGAAGACATGGACGGGGGTAACCAAGCCCTCGCGATCCGGCCAGTTCCAGTGTGGGAGGATATGAGCCATAGCATGGTCTGGTCGCCAGTGGGCCTGGTATATATAGAAACGGTCCTTCTTGAACCCGGCGAGATCCACAATACCAAAGTATGAACTGCGAGCTCCCGTATCCCCGTTGGGCTTTGAATCGTAGGGCGTAGGTTCTCCAATATAGTCAAACCCTGTCCAGACGAATTCTCCCGCGACGTAGTCATATTTGTCTAGGACGGCGAAGACCTTGTCAGCGGATGAGCCCCAGTCAACTGAGTATAGCTCATACGCATTTACTTCCAAAGTAGATGAATTTCCTCCGACACCATCGGTGACGGGAGAACTAGAGACGTTTACTATGGGAAACAAGTAGGAATCTCTTGAGCTGATGGCGGAGGCAGACTCAGCACTGAGGAGCAGCTTTTCAGGGAACGCTTTGTGGAACTCAGGGTGTTGCGGGTAGATCGGAGAACCGAGATGGGCATATGCAGGCGTGTCGTATCTGCCCTCTCCCTGATAGTTCAGCGCGATAACGTCAACAAGACTTGAGACGGCATGATATGGCTTAGCGCTGTTCTTGGCTATGGTAAATGGTCTAGTCGCGTCTTCTTCTCGAACAATTTCACCCAGCCCGGTGAGAATGGGTGTTGCTTCGTCGTCGTGGGTCTGTTCCCCAACTTCGTTTCCGACGCTCCAAATGATCACAGATGGGTGGTTTCGATCTCTGCGAAGAAGGGCACGGAGGTCAGCCCCATGCCAGTCATTGAAGAGAAGGTGGTAATCGAGGCTTTTCTTTGAACGGAGCCACACATCGAATATCTCGTCGATGACCAGGAAGCCCAACCTGTCAGTAAGCTGCAACAGCTCTGGTGCGGGAGGGTTGTGAGACATCCTCACGGCATTTGTGCCAAAATCACGAAGAATTTCCAATTGGCGTTCTGCAGCCCGTAAATTGAAAGCTGCTCCCAGAGCCCCTAGATCATGGTGCTGATCTACACCCCGAAGATGAAGTCTCTCGCCATTGACAAGAAGACCCTCTCCATTTCCAATAACGGTGCGAATCCCAAATTCTGTTTCGTAGGAATCAATTTCTCTCCCGGACTCTACCAGTCTTGTCACGGCGAGGTACAAATGAGGAGTCTGCGTCGGCGGTGGCCCCCATAGCTGCGGCTGAAGGACCTCAGTCTGGCCTGTAATTGATTCCTGGGAATTTGGTTGAACCTTAACAGTTGCCTTCTTGAAAGAGGCTACAGGCTTTCCTCGTTTTTCAGAGCCTGCATCAAACTCGTAGACATCGGTAATGACATCGATCTTTCTCTCCCGGGTATCCTTGTTTTCCACTTGTACGGTCAGATTGAGAGTTGCAGATTGCTGGTCATCTGACACGTCGGTCGTTATTTGGGTCCCCCAATGAGCTACATGGATAGACTTGGTTTTAGTCAACCAGACGTTGCGATATATACCGCCGCCGGAATACCATCGTGATGATGATGGAGGATTTTCAACTCGGATCGCGATCTGGTTTTCCTCTCCCACGATGATTTGAGACGTGATGTCCGTTCTGTATGAGGTATAACCATATGGCCACCCGCCAACGAGCTTTCCGTTAACCCAGACTGTTGAGTACGACATTGCACCATCTATGTCGATGTAAAAAAAGGTGTTCTTCTCAGATGAATCGACCGCCAACTTTCGGCGGTACCAGGCCACGCCCTGGATAGGAAGACGACCCATTCCTGCATCAATGGGGGTTTCCTTGTCTGTGTAAAATGGCCCCTTGATAGCCCAGTCATGTGGGAGCGTTACGGACTCCCAATCATTATCATCGTAGGATGCATCCTTATATGGTACACTTGTGTTGGGCTGCTCATCAGGAATTTTATAATGATTGCTCTCGTCCGCAATGAATTCATTGGCTGAGGGCAGAACCCAGTCCTTTAGAAGCGTTTCGCCTCCTTCGTTCCAGCTTGAGCGGTCCTCGTACGCGAGGCCATCGGGGATAGACTCGGAGCGCCAGAACTTCCAGTCTTGGTTCAAAGAAATGCGCTGTCGGCTGATAGAGTCGACATCCCGAGGGAGGGTACGAGCCTGGACGTCAACATTTGAAGCTTGAAGAAGAAGACAACCCCAAGATAGTTTCCGGAGGACTTGTGAAAGATTCATTGTATCAGACTATTCATCGCATACCGAGAATGAATAACCGTATCCCCCTTTGCATTGTTGGAGATTGAACAGGACAGCCGCCTTTTGTAGGCTACACTTTGTCACGTCACTATTTCGGATAAATGGAGGCCTAATTTCTATGGAAACAGCCTCAAACCCCGGGAAAAGCGTTATTCAGAGATGCGCCCTTGATTGGAGCGGAAGTAAAGGTTAAAGAGTTTAAGAAACTTTCCCCACCGATTAATGAAGGCCGATCAATTAATTTATGACGATGATGTACCGAGAGCCCGAACTGGCATGGATACTAACCCATTGACCATATCTGCGCGGTTTGAGAAACAAATTGTGAACGAGCTTAACTGTAGAGCAAATATCACGATTAGCCCATACATATAGATAGTTCAAAAATGTATTTTATTAAGGTGCATTCTATGGATGCAGTCGACATCTCAGGAATAAGCATCATCTAACGTGAGCATTGGAGCGAGCGAATTCTAGTGTATTGCATACGCCGAACATCCGGGAAAACAAATGACGTTGACTCTTTACAAAATCCACTCTATACGATCCAACCTTCCTTATCTAGTAGTGATGGGATGCGGATGGGATATAGTTGCATCGGAGAGCGACTCCGCATCGGGCGAGAGATAGTCCGGGCACCAGATGATGCAATTCCAATTTCACGAAGACATTAATATGGATGAATTGATCATAATAGAGCAATGAGGGGAAGACCGTCGATCATCCAAGTGATAGAGATAAAGAATTGCTCGGCTTTATCCTGATTTGGGTCATGGAGGGTCGTGACATGTGCAATTCCATTAAAGTCTAACTTCACAGAAATATACGAGCGAAATACTTGCCTAGTTTCTTTCCAAATTATAACTGACAGCTTCTATGAAATTGATTTTCATGATTACTTATCTCATTGTCTTTTCAGTTAACGATAGGTAAGATGATAGAACATAAGTCAATAGTATTTCGTCGGACTGAGTCATGTTTTCTGGGCTCGTGAGTTTCTTAACACGTATAAAGATTAATGAAGTAGAAGACTTAGATTCTGCATCTATACCGTAGTGCCAGAGTACTAGTAAGCCCCGAAAGTGAGATGGTCTGATGAAATAAATTAAAAAATAGATCGCATCAAGGAGCCAACACTTGCAAAATGGTCATGGCGCTGAATACCGCACTCATTGGCTCCCTCTCTTGACGAAGGTTAGCCTTTTGCCGGGTCTATTGCGCAGAAAATGTGCGAACCTTGTGTGCAATTGTCGGAATCGCTGAATCTAGCGGGATATTTCGTGCTGCTCTGATCAAACACACTCCCCCTGGGTCGAGCCTTTCTTTATGGTATCACCTCGAGCATTATGACGAATCATCTAAGCATATCAGGCATTGCAAAATATTTGTGATTTGGTCAGCAGGTTGGTGCTGTTGATGCGCAAATGTCTCGGTTGAAAGATAGCCGGAGGTGTATCAAACTGGATCGCATTGGGACGACACTGAAATCAGGATTTCGGTTCATGATACAAGACGGAAGTGTTATGCCGATTTGAGTATCCCGGAGTTTACCTTGGAAAGTGCTGAACCTGAGCCAACCGAGCCGTCCACTTCGCATTTGCTGCCATGTGTTAGCCGAGACAGTTGCGAGGGATGACTGTCATTATGACCCCTTTTGACGCATCTTGCCCCCCTTCAGCTTTCACTAGAAATTCATCAATGTCAGTAATGCCCGCGGATTTTTTCAAGTGACCTCATTGCCTGGTACTAGCATTCCAACGAGCCACCTCCATGAATTCATGTCTCAGATGTTAACCAGCCTGGCCAAATCAAATCTTTATCTCTCGATTTTCCCTTTGATTGATGGCACTTCATTTCAAGTCGCCTAAAGAATGTATATTTTCTGTAGGCTGCAGAACATGCCACCGATATTATAGGATGGCAATGTGCATCATTAGCCCTTATCAGTCCTCCCTGCAGCAACGCTGAGATCAAATGATGAAGGGTTGCAACTTTGATGTCCACAATAATCAATTGCATCATGAGACGTTACATGGTGTTGGATATGGAGGAACAGAGGTGGCAAGTCAGCGAGAAACACATCATTGTACCACTACTGATATCGATATGAGACCAACAGTGTTGGATTGTCAGACCGTTGACCCAAACGGCCGAGAACCTGCCCCTGATATACTGGCCGTCCCCGCCACCATGATTCCCCCATCCTACTGAAATGTCTGAATGTAAATTCTACCTATTTATTTGACTGGGGGCCGACAAACTCGTAAAGCCAGCTACCACGAGAAGCTTGCCAAGAAAGAGTTTCTCTCTTTTAATCTTTAGAAAACATGGAGCGCCGAATCAGCGAAGACACAATTCAAATTGTTGCAACACACAATAGCCTCAAGGGGCAACCTAGCTGTCCTCTGGATCAGGATGAAGCGACCACAGCACCTCTAACGCCGACAGAGCAAATAGTCGCAAACAAGCTCCGGCGCAAGATAGATATCAGGATTCTACCCGTGGTATTCATTGTTTATATTATGAACTTTGTTGATCGTACGAACTATGCGTCTGCGAGGCTCCAGGGTCTGGAAGAGGATCTTTCTCTGTCGGTAACCGAATATCAGGCTGGTAAAGTCACAGCGCAAGCGAATTCGTTAAAATAATTAACTCACCAAGGCGCTGACTTTTGACAAAAGGACTCTCGGCGTTTTTCGTTGGATACATGATTGGGCAAGTTCCTGCAAACATGACACTTGCTTGGTTTGGACGGCCGTCTGTGCATATGGCGATAGTCACTTGTGCCTGGGGTACCGTTTCGGCACTCACGGCCTTAGTTCAAGGTTTTTCGGGCCTCTTAGTTTGTCGACTTGTTCTTGGCTTCGTTGGTGAGTCTCTCCTGTGTACAACATTTAATTACATGCCCACTGACGCAAAGTGATACTGAAGAGGCGCCTTTCTTCCCCGGTGTTATATTCGCCTTGTCCAAATGGTATACTCAGGACGAGCTGGCATTCAGGATGGCTATTTTCTTTTCAGGAAATCTGTTCGCTGGAGCCTTTGGCCACCTCTTGGCTGCTGGTATCCTCGGCGGGATTGGCCACGCTCTCGGGCTAACGCCCTGGCAATGGCTTTACATTATCGAGGGCGCAATCACGGTAGCTCTTGGATTGGTAGTGTACTTTGTTCTTCCAGATTTCCCCGAGACTTGGAAATCATTGTCCCAGGAGGAGTATGAGGTTGCTACACGTCGTCTGGCTGCTGAGGCCACCGAGGCCGACGTTGACGAAGCGGGCTTCGGGGCTCAGATAAATGGTCTCAAGATGGCCCTGACAGACGTGAAGACCTACCTTTTCGCACTTGCACAGATGTCGGTTCTTGCATGCGGTGGATTACTCAATTATTTCCCTTCAATCACAGCCACGCTCGGGTACAGCCATTTCACTACACTTCTCCTTTGCGCCCCTCCACATATATTTGCCATTGTGTGGATTTTGATACACGCGTGGCTATCTGACAAGCTGAGGACACGGTTCTGGTTTTTCATCTATCCCGCACCGTTGATAATCATAGGTTTCATTCTCCTCTTGAAGACGAACGGCGTTGGACCTAGGTATTTCAGCCTGTTCCTCGTCCAGGGCACAAACCTCATGGGGTCAACAACATTTGCATGGGTAGCATCGTCTATTCCCCGACCTCCAGCGAAAAGGGCGGCCGCCATAGCAATTGTGAACAGCTGTGCTAGCTTAGCGAGCGTTTGGACCCCTTTCATATACTTCGGACCAAAATTTGAACTCGCGATGGGGGTGAATATTGGACTGGCTGTCCTGGCAAGTATTTTGGCCGTTGTCCTTAGGTTTGTTCTTGTCAAAAGCAACAGAGAGCTAGCTAGGATCGAGGACCCAAAGATTTCACTTTCGGAAAAGGAGCTTGTCAAGATTCAGAAGATCGCCGACGTTGAGGGCGTCAGCCTTGATACTGCTAGAAAGATGCACAAGGGTTTTCGGTATATTGTTTAAAATCAATGCTGTCCTCACTGAGCACTTAGCCAAACATTAGCCTATGGAACCATCAAATGTGCTAGATATCTTTTGGCATATGATGCGACATGAAGTTATTAATCAGCTCTCAATTGAAAGCCACAAATCACGAAGCACCTCTTTCTAATCTAATGCAACCAGGTTGCCTAGCCCACCAAACTTCCTCAGTTCCAAAATTTTCATTCTCATAACACGACAAGTGGAATATGCGAGCCAGATGAGTCATGGTTACTGCACGGAAAGTATGCACTGCATCATCGTTCGATCAGTGCGCACGTACTAAACCCTGTGAACTATGTCACGAGTGTAGAGTAGGTAGCTGACGAGGAAGGGTATAAAGAGAAAGAAAGCTGAGAGGCTACAGTCGTGTCTGAGCAACAAGAAAAATTTCTTGGTTAGAGCAAAGTCTTAATCTTTATGAGATCACGGGCTGGCTGGCCGCCATGTATATCAACCCCAGGCACTTATTAGTAAGACTGGATTCGACAGGAAAACATAAATATATCAATCAGAATCAATTTGTATGCTTCTTTTTTGTACTCTATTTACAATTCTATTTTCATGGTTCGTCATCATCATGGGGATAAAACTGAGGATAGATTGGCAGGGGAGGCCACTTGGGTGCTCGGTAGTCGACCACGAAGTGATGTGTGCCTGAAGTGACGAGGTGTGGGTTATCGTCTTCCTCACTCTGACCAGGTAGCTTAATTTCTGCTTTTGAATTGGGAGGCACCTTGACAGTCATGGAGAATCTAGTTCCTTCTGCCTCCAAAGTCCACTCAACAGAGATGAGTCCATACGGACTCAAGAACTTCCCACTTGCGCTTGTAAGATCACCGCCAGGAGCAGGAGCAACAACGAATGTTTTCCATCCCGGTTCCACCGGTGCCAGACCGGCGATGTTACGATGCATCCAATCTGCTACAGAACCAAGGGCGTAATGATTGAAACTGGTCATCTCGCCCGGGTTGATACTGCCGTCGGGAAGCTTGCTATCCCAACGCTCCCAAACTGTTGTAGCGCCCATGGTTACCTGGTAGAGCCAGCTGGGTGCCTTTCGATGATAAAGCATCCTGTAGAACAGTTGCGATTCGCCAACTCTTGAAAGCGCGTGGCCCATGATAGGCGTACCTGCGAAACCCGTTGCAATCTTGAATCGCGAGCTGCGAAGAATGAGATGTTTCAACCTAGAAGCAGCGACTTTCTCTTGCTCGGGAGTCTCAAACAACTGAAAATGAATACACAGAGCAAGCCCTGTCTGGCTATCACCAACAACCCGACCCTCCGTTGAGATATATCGTCTTTGGAATGAGGCCCTGACTTGCGCCCAGGACTTCTCGTAGTAGGTCGCTCGTTCTTCGAGCCCAAGGACCAGACATATTTTGTGCATAAGTAACGTGATATGCACGAGATATGCATTTGCAACAAGCTGTGTGTCGGTGACAGAGTTCCCAGGATCATCAGACGGCGCCAGCGGGTCGAGCCAGTCCCCAAACTGATACGAATCTTCATCCCAGAGGCCAGTTGTGCGGTCACGAGGGATGCCCTCGCCCAGCCATTTCTGCATGCTCTCGAGCTGTTGGCTAAGAATGTCCTTATCAGAAAAAGATGTGAAAAGACTCCACGGAAGTCCAACAAGAACATCACCCCATATGGCGGTTGGGTATCGAACGTCATCGACCGGGACATCTGGGCAAAAGAATGGAGGAGCGCTGCCGTGATCCTTGATCTGTTCTGCTGCAAGATCGCGCAACCATCCACGGAGCATACCAGACGTATCGTACAAATAATTAGCTGTAGGGCTGAATACGTGAATGTCTCCAGTCCAGCCGAGACGTTCGTCGCGCTGCGGACAGTCCATGGGGATGCTGAAGAAATTGCCTCTCATTCCCCATCTGATATTTTCTATTCAGCATGATTTCATCGTCAGCGATTCAAAGACATAGACCATGAGGATGTAAGCACGGGTAATCCCTACTGTGTAGTTGGTTTAGTAGGGGATTGGAGCATTCAAACCAACCAGTTTGCTCCATGTCGGTGTGAGCAATAACGCCGGTCAATGATCCCAATTCGAGATCCTCAACTCGGCTATATAGCCCATCTACCTGGACATAGCGGAATCCGTGAAATGTAAACTTGGGCTCCCAAACATAGTCAATCTCTTTGCCTGAGAGAATAATTGTGTCCCTCGCCTTGCAAATTCTCAATGGTCGCGTGGCTACCTCGCCATCGTCAAGTTCTTCGGCGAATTGTAGAGTCACCTGTTGCCCCTTTTCACCACCAGGGATCCGGATCCGCACCCAGCCAACAATGTTTTGCCCGAAGTCAACCACAATCTTGCCCTTTGGGGTTGTAATGGCCGACTTAGCACCTATGGTCTCCGTCACACGAACGGGTGGCCCGTCAGGTGCTCTGAGTGAGGCCATAGGGAGACCTGCGACCTTCACTAAGTCCCACGACGCATCATCAAAGTCTATCCCATGCCAGCCAACAGGTTCTTTCGACAGGTCACAGACCTCGCCATCATATATCTCTGATGTTATTATGCTCCCCGTGCTGCACTTCCACCCTTGGTCGGTGTTAATGACAGTTCTGGTGCCATCCATAGCCTCGACGACCAACATTGCTACGAGTCCCATCTGGTTGCCCCAGATGTTTCGTGAACCTCCCAAGAAACCAAGACGACCACAAAACCAGCCCTCAGCTACCTGCGCCGAGATCACATTCTTCCCGGAGCGCAGAAAATCTGTGACATTAAAGGTCTGATATGTGATGTGGTGCTTGTACGAGGTCCATCCCGGGGCCAAGACATGGTCGCCGACACGTTGGCCATTGATGCTTGCTTCGTAAACACCCTGTGCCGTCACATACAGCCTGGCCTTGCGGATCGTGCTTTTCCTCAGCTCGAATAGCTTCCGGAAAAGAACAGGCTGTCTGGGAAGTGAAATATCGATCTCCTGTGGGCTCGACGCAAGCGAGCAGGTCCATCTGTTGCGATCCAGGATTCCAGTTTCGACGGCAGCTGCATCAGACCATTGGGTTGGCTCGTTATGATGAGGCGAGCGTCCGGTAGCTCTGACACGCACCGAGGCGGATTGGCCAGACGATAGTGGGCGGCTAGGCCAAGGCACGAGGACTGAGTCGTTGGACTGAACCGAATAGAGCTCGGGTGATGATGCTCCCGCGTGTACGACTTCAATCTCATACGACTCTTGGGTCCAATCCACCACATTCTCGCCTGCAAAACGCCAGGATAAACGTGGGGTCGATTCTCCAATTCCTATGGCATTTCGGTGGTGCTCAAACTGCACCCTGTCGATGCGAGGAGGCCCCATGGTGCTTAGGGGAACTGAAAGAAAAAGTATATCTGAACGAAGTTATTTCGATGATTTTAGGGGGGATCTTGCTTTCCAATATGCCGAGAGGAGAATATGATAGTTGTTCTCCCTTAGCCTCCGCTATTTCCACGAGCTCCATGACCGGCTCTACTTAGAGGTGGCATAGTCTAAAATGTCCTCGCATCTCGGTCGAGGATTACTCCGAGATATACTAGATTAGATGCCAATAGGGGGTCCATCCACAGGACCGGTAATGGCTCAGATGATAAAAGGTGGAATCCATGGTTAGATTTTTGCGCGTTTATGCTCTCATGGATGGAGATTGTCCCAGGATGCCCAGTCAGATGCTAACAAGGATGACGTTAGTGGAGGAAGCAATTTCCCCATAAATATGATGGGAGTTCTACTCAGGCTTCGGGGGAGAGCCGAGCGGAGAACTCCGTTTAAAAAGTTATCAGGTGACTCCAGTATCCACTGGACGAGCAAGAAGGATCTTCGGATCCTTAGTGCCGACTAACCTGGCATCGGGGGAGGGCCGAAAATCTCCAAACCTTTGGATTTGGATGAGATGAACTGCCTCGGGGCTCTCCCGATGAGCCCGCGTACACGTCCTTTCCTCTACCAACTGAGCGGAATACTCCTTCATCCAATAGGCAGGGCCTGACGAATTGTTTGAGATAACCCTGGCTTGACGATGATGAGCAGCGGGAGCAACAAGCGCCATCGAGTCAGTGGAGACTCCTCGTCCCCATTGCGGACGGCCATAGCTTGCCGGGCATGTCGTGATCGCAAGACTCGTTGCAGCGGCCATCAGCCAACCTGCACGTATTGCTTCAAGGCGGGCGTGCCTTGTGAATATGGCCCCAGTGTGGTATCTACGTGAGAATCCTCTCTCCACGAGTAACAGGCAATACATGAAGTCGATTCGCTGACCAAGACCATTATATCCAACAGCTCATCTTCAAACCTCGATGAATGGGGTGCGAGAATATTGGATGCCATTGACAGTATCTCCATACCTCCAGTGTTGCCTATCAATTCCGTCCCAGCTGTAACCAGCGCTCCTGTCCAAGGGTTGACTCTAAGCCCCCAGTGCATTCCCACAGGCTGTAGCCCAATAACAGGTGTACACTCTATTCTTAAATGGCAGGTATTCAATATACAGGGCGACAGAGGGCCTGTAGCTCGCTACAAGCAAGCCCTGAGTCGCCATGCGGATCAACGCCCCCTGGCTCGAGCAATGGGGAGGGAAAGTGCCACTTGTGCCACAGAAACTCTGCTCGGGCTGGTAGACATCTTCCAAGCTGGCTTCTTGCCTGCCATCCCCGTATTAGACGCGGCAGATCTTCGCCGGTATATTCTTCATATTGGGGAATATGGAGACATGTGGAATGTAGAGGCATGCTTGGTATTGATAGTTGCAGCTCTGGCGAGTATGTTGGCACCGACTTCAGCTTTCGCTCAGCATGCGTCATCTACAGTCAGTATGGCATTGAGATATTGGAATATGGCGAAGAAACGGCTCGCCTGGGCTTTGGAGGAGTCGGGAATTATGGCGGCTCAATGCCAGCTTCTTGCAGCGTATGGGCCTCCTTTATTCATTTTCGATCCACTTTCTGACTGAGCAGCCAGCATTTGGTATATCCATACATCGGAACCTACTGTAGCTTTGAAGATGCTCAACGGCTCATTATTGGCCATCGACACAAAAACTCCCAAGCACGGTCCCTCCATTGGCGAGGAGGCGAGCCACCGACGGCAACAAGATAAACTATGCGACAACATCCGGTACATGTGTATCAGTTTGTTATGGTGAGTTACTCTGGTAGCTTGTGCACAAACATCTATGAAAAACCCTCACTTATCGTCGTATTTCTCTGGCCTTCCAGCCGACTACAGTGCGAAGTGACATTTTCGCCTACTTCCACCTCATACAATCTACAAGACAGAAACACAAGTCCCCGGATACAATTTACTATTACTGAATTACTGAATTCCCTTCTATTAATCCGCCAAAGTATAATGGATGTCTCCAAAATGCTCGGTGGTGAGATGTCTATTCAAGAACTGGGCACACTCCACCAAAATGTACTTACGACAGCTCAATCGCTCGATGATTGGTACACAAGGCTACCCGATAACCTAAAATCTTTATTAGCAGATCCTCTCATGGGTTCTTCAGAAACAACTGACGAACGGTCAGAACTTGAGGCACAGAGCAAGCTGCTACAATGGCAGTACCTGGAGGCCCGAGAGCTCGTTCTACGCCCCTCGCTCTATTTAACCCTACAACGGCTGCCGTCGTTACAGCTGTCTATGGCCCGGGGGTCATCCGACTCTCATCAAGGTCTGTCGGATGTGGTGCAACAATACTACATTACCCAGTTTCACTCCATGATGATACAGCATCGCAACCTTGTCGTCAGCCGGCTTAGATTGTCTCTCAACCATGGAGATTCAGACCCACAGACATCACGAGTGATGAGTCTTGACATGGGCTGGTTGAAAACACAGACATATTTAAGCCTAGGGCTAATGCTCATTGCTTCAATGCAATGCATAGGTGACACAGAGTCAACAAACGGTCGATCAATACAGTGGGGACCGGACGAGGAAGACTGCATTCTGGCGTTGGAGAACTGGTCAAGAAATAATTCAGAGGCACCAGGGTTGGGTGTTGTGCACGCGGATCTTTTGCGAGATCTCTACGCGACTCTTTGCAAAAGTTCTGCTATTTTCCCTTGAAATGCCATGTAACTATATCCGAAACTCTGCATGAAGCTCGTAAAGTAATGCTAAATATTCTTTGCAATCGTTTGACTCGGCCGACCAATATTTCAACCCTTGAACAAGTCTCCGTGCACCATCCGTGCACGTCGCGTCATCTGGCACTTCTAACCTCTCTAGCCCAGGCCTACGCTGGGCCTTCAGTCGCCGTGAGGCGATGAGGATCAAGGCGCTTCGAACCCCTTTTCTCAACCACAGCCAGGTGTTGTACTGTCTGTGAGGAGTGACTGCGGTCTTGAGGAAGATCACATCCAGCTTGATGCATTCGTTAGCCAGATCAACCAAATCATTGACGAGGTTATGCGACCATCCAGACACATCGTTATGGAGTAGTATATACAGCGCCGGTATGTAGATATCATGTTGGACACAATATATGCGCCAGCGAAGCTGATTCAGGGCCTCATCCTCGCAGGGAATCAAACCCCCCATGGGAAATCGCATAAGAGGAGGCAGGGAGTTGTAGTATGATGAGAGCTGGTATCTAAACTCCTGCAGTGCCTCGGTCATGCTGCGGAAGAAGACCTCTGGCGATCCTCCGGCAAAGTGGTAGGCCTCCCTTCTCTTGTCCTGGCAGTAGTTGTCGATGCGCATCTCAAGCTTGCAAAGCATGATATCGGTGAGAAAATAGTACCATGACTTGTCTTGGTAGGTCTCCTGTATCGTCGAGGTCGCAGTTGGTGCACCGGGGCTCACTGTTTGGCGTGCGGTGGAATCCTCCATTTCAGAATTGAAGCCGTTCGGCGGCGTTGGCAGTGATGTCGAATATGCAATGACATTCAGGCCAGATGTCTCCATTCCAAACTCACAGGCTACTTCGCTTTGAGGGGGCACAAGGTTAGTTCCTTGTCGAACTAATAGTGGGTTGATCTCTTACCGTTCAGTTTTGAAGCAGCTCCAACAAAGACGCTGTTCCATGCTTCTCGATCTACTTGCTTGTCCGTTCCTACTCTCTCGCGCCATTCTCTTTGAGATGTAGGTTCGACAAGCAATGGAAGCTACATTCAATAATCTCCACCCTGCCACAGGCTTTTGCTGATGCAGGAGAAAGATGCCAGCCATAAATATGCACTGAACGGCAATGATCGAGGATTGTGTTAGCAGGGCACCCAGTCGCTTTTGGCCAGCCGAAAAATACTCATTGGCCAGTGCCAATCGTTCTCTTGAAGGTTTTATTCGGTCGTAATTTTCCAAATCGGCAACATCCCACGGACATGAAATAGCGCCGAGAGCGCAGGCGAGCAGCTGACCCGGGGCATCATCTGTTAGTACTTTAATCTGTGATAATCTGGGAGTACAAGTCTCATTTCTAAACTCACAACTTGGCAGGTTTCGCCATCCCAACCGAGACCGCTTTCCACGAGGTTCTCCCCTCGCTCTCGCAGCTCTTGGGGTTCGAGAATGGGAAACTTGGTATGGATATTTCTCAAAAAGCTTTCGACCAATTCCGAGATGGTAGCACCATCATCAAGTCCAAGTGTAATTCCAGAAGACAATGGCTGTCTCCGTTTTTCCTTCATGGACGGACCAGTGTTGTCCTCAGCGTCATGGCCAGCACCGGTGTCCTCGTTGCCAGGCTCATCATCAAACTCTCCCAGAACGACATCCAAACAATTGTTTATATTGCCTTGATATTCTAAGATCGGCCACAAGAGCGTCTCTTCGACAGTGTACGTCCACCAGGTACCAAATGGAGGGTTTTCCGGATGAGATAGATCCCGCCTTAGCGACAGTGAGCCCATCACATCATCGTGAGTCTGGGTGTCTCGATGGCTGTATAACGGAGCGCTCTCCCCTGGGGAGAGGCTCATCTCGCCGGATGGGTCCCGGTCTCTAGGGCTCCCATGCATCCCTGGAGCGAGAAGGGAGCGAAGGGCGGCTATGTCTGCGACTGCATCTCTACTACGGTGACCGCGATGCTGAGATTCGTTGATATCCAGGTTCAGGATGCGCTCTACATGAGACAGACGAGCTAAAATATCCGGAATATCGTCTTGATGGACGTTTGATGTCGTATGCGCCCTTGGCAGCTGCGAATTTGATCGTACCATGTGTCTTGTCGCTCTATCGTATTAGCAAAGCGTTAGTTCTAGTAGATGAATCTATGGAAGATCCCCATCCTCGGGTTCGCAATAACATCACAGAAACATAGGGTAGTACCTACCTTGGGCGAGATGACAGGGGGCTTTCCGGCATCCCGGCACCAGACTCTGGCTCTGACTCGCCATCAGCATCCATGATTTGTTGCCCGCGCTTAGCCGAGAAGGTTATTCTCCAGCTCGGAGCATCTGCCTCACCATGAGTTTGAGTGTGACGGCTCGGTGGAATGTGAATGGCAGAGAGATCCCTGTCAGTCTGGTGATGTCCGAGAAACTGAGCCCCAACCCCAAATTGCGGAGCGGAGCAACTCGTGCAAAAGCAACCGAGTTATTTGCAGTCTTGGCATCGGGGGAGGCCCCCGAGTCCCACCTTGGTGTCATCGTGATTGGAGTGCGAGCCCATAGTGCATAAAATTCTCTCTCGAAACTCCATCCGGCAACGCTTGGAGGTGGGTGCGTCAGAGCCATCAGACCCCAGCTTCCCCAGTCATGGCAACCAATGCAATCCCCTTTCCCCAATCTGGGGTATTCTTCACCTGTGAAAATTGGAAGTCTGGGACTGATGGAGAGCAACTCTCGTTATTCATCGTGTCATGTCTTGGTCTAGACTCACGTCTCGGCTTGAAATACGCCGACAATAGTCGCTTCCACCGCGGTCCCAAACTGGCCGAGTATACGTGATAATATCACGGTATATCAGGGCATCTAAACCCAGTCGATATCCTCATAATCTCTTCCTGCCACCTCAGCCATCGTCTTCAGACATACGATCCCCCCCATTCCCCTTTCCCATTGTTCTTAAACTCCAACACCTGGCCTTCGCCATGTCGTCTGAATTGGATCAAGACGATATCCGGCGCTTCATGCAAGATCTGCCACCATGGTACAAAACACCCGGCCTAATACGGCTGTACTTGCTTCTTTTGTCGCCCATGGTCACATCCGCGGCCTGGGGCTTCGACCTCAGCATGACCAATGGCCTGCAGGCCGTCTCAGTCTTCATGGATAACTTCGGCAACCCCACGGGTGCGACACTGGGATTCTACGGCGCCTCCATGACCGTAGGTGGCATCGTTGCCTGCATCATCGGCGGACCCCTCAACGACCGCTTCGGCCGAAGAGCTCTCGTGTTCGTCGGCGGCCTCATCGTCATCGGCATGGTCCTTATGGAAACGTTTGCGACTTCGTTCAGCATGTTCTCCGGCGCGAAGCTTGTTCTCGGCTTCGGGAGTAACCTGCAGCAAATCGCCGCACCCGTCCTCATCACCGAGCTCGTCCACCCGAAACAGCGCGAGACCCTCACCTCGATCTATAATACCTGCATCTTTGTTGGCCTGATCATCGGTTCTTGGGTCACGTTTGCCACCTTCAGCATGGAGACGCAATGGGCGTGGAAGCTCCCTTGCATCCTGCAGTTGATGCTCCCGTGCTTCCAAGCCTTGACTATCTGGTTCTGCCCCGAGAGTCCTCGATGGCTCTGTTCCAGGGGTCGCATCGACGAGGCTCAAGCGATCCTAGTCAAGTATCACGGTGATGGCGTTAGAACTCCCCTTGTTGAGGCTGAACTTCAGGAGATTCTAGCCGGTCTGGAAGCAGACAAGACGCAGATCAAGTTCAACAAGGAGGGAATCAAGACCGTGCTCGGCTCCAAAGGCAATCGTCATCGTCTCTGGCTTGGCTTTTGGACCGCCATTGGCTCTCAGTGCTTGGGTAGCAACTTCGTGTCCACCTACCTTCCACTTATTCTCGACCAGGTTGGTATGACCAGTTCCAAGGAAAAGACGTTGATCAATGGCCTCGTCAACATCTGGCAGTGGGTGTGCGCTGTTGGTGCCGCCTTCGTCATCCCTCGCGTCGGGCGGCGGACTGTCTTCCTTACCTCCTCCATCGGCATGACTGTGACGTTCATCGTCTGGACGGCGCTGACGGCCACGTATCTACGCGACCCCAAGGATGGATACGGTATAGGACTGATTGTCATCATATTCGTGTTCAGCTTCTTCACCGCGATTTGCTGGATCCCACTGGTCATCGCCTACCCGCTTGAAGTAGTAACCACGAAGCAAAGAGGTGTTTTCTTTTCGTGGACCATGTTTAGCATCAACGCTTCCGCCTTCGTGGCCAGTTATCTCAACCCTGTCGCACTTGAAAACATTGGGTGGAGATACTACATTGTCCAATGCGTCTTCAACTCCGCATTCGTGGTGCTCATCTACTTCACATACGTCGAGACTCGCGGCTTCACGCTGGAGGAGATTGCCGGCATCTTCGATGGCACAGATGATTTCCAGCATGCTAAGGCAGTAGTGAGTGTGGGATTAGAAAAAGAGACTGAAATGACGGTTACTACCCATGAAGACCATGTTGGCAATAAGCCAGCTGTAGAGTCAAAGGCGGTTTAGGAGACCTAGAGCTACACCTGCAAGAACGGCAGATTTCTATCGTCCTTAGTTTTCAGAGTCATTTAGAACTACCGGTAGCTAGGAGATTGAATTTAGGTCTTCATCTTGTAATATACTGCTCTTCGTTGGTCCTTGATTGATCGTACAATTTGCCCCTCCTCACCACACAGTCCAGTGCTTTGTAGTGTCGGCCTTTGCCCCCTCAAACTCTTAACCTAGGCTCAGAGAGCTTTCTCTAGGGTTTTCAGAGTTCATAGTTTACCTTATTTAGATGATGGTATCTAGTTGTGGACTTACAAATCGTCAACGCCAGTCATACACGGATATCTAGCATTTCCGACATATCCGATGTCTGGATATTGCTCTGCGATCCAACGATTATGGTAGTCGGAAAAGGGCCCAAAACCTCCCGCATCAAGGAAGCACACTCAAAAACCCAGTCCGGTAGTCGAACACTCATTCTAATCGGAGCCGCAGAATTCCGTAGTCAACGATAGGGCAGGCTCAGGGCCGTTACAGACAGGAATCATGATAACCTGTTAAAATATGAAGCTGCCTTCCGTTTTTGACCTATTGAGCTTGAGCTAGTGCCTATTTCATCGTAATACAAGGGGTGGGAGGCCTTGAAAGTCCATGCCGGCAGCGGGTAAGATAAGACTCGCTCACACGAGAGACGGTATGAGCATGAGGGCAACAACCTCTATCTTCTCAATTGAAGCAAATTTGGTCGAGGTAACCTATCGATCTCGAATAAACTACGCGAGGTTCATCGCTCCAACAAGAAAATATTAAAATCCATATTTGAGGGAAACATGTAACTATCGCGAAACTTACACTACTAGACTAAAAGAGAACATCCTTTCATCTCGCTAAGGGGAATCCTGCTTTATATATTCTATGACAATGAATACATTAAGAACTATGTAACGCACTTACTATTCAGCAAACGCCGTAAATTCCTGTATACCGTATGCCAAGTCTAATGAAATGATAGGACTAGCATATGCTCAGTTATTGATAACATACAAACACACGATCAAGAACTTCGGGCGGATTGCGAACTATTGCGCGCATCAGTGTATGGGCCGATGCTTCCAACAAAGATAGCAGACACATCGTCCTTAACCACACTAGAGTCGACAATATCACTAATTCTTGTTAGTTTTCATCGAGGGTTAGGGCTTCAACTTTGAGGGAGCATGCTCACAAACCGTCATCTTGTCCTATATCGTCCAAATACTTTAGGTATTTGCTACCGTCTTCATCGGTCCCGAACTGCAGAAACTGTATCATGACTTTGGTTCTGTCCACTCCTTTCTTTTCCATGATCGAGACAAGATTTCTGATTGTCCTTTCCACGCCGGTTCCCTTTTCCAGGCCAGTCCCCCAGCAACCATTAGTCAATATAATGACGCTAATAGGCTTGCTTCGTAAGAAGAGGTTGAGGGACCGGGGGACAGGGAGTTTAGGAATGACAGCTCTGTCTATAAACATTTGTAGTTTATTTTCCATCATCTCTGGATTTTGGTCGTAAGTGGCCTTTCTGAGGATATCGATCAAATCGCTAGTGTTTTTCTTGGCGAATACAAGGTCAGGCGAAGATGCGAATGCCAGTTCAATGGCATTAGAGTCGATTTTCTTCGCAATGTACGACAAGGCAGTGAAAACCCTCACCACCTCACCTTCATGGGCTTCCATCGATGGTGAGTTGTCGATGAAAAAGAGGTGATCTCTGCTCTTCAAATTTTTGACAAGGGTTTGGACGCGGTTGTCGACTATTGGGTTTATGGCCTCGTTTCCTTTGCTCTTTTTCGCTCTTCGGTACTCCAAAACCTGGTCGATCGTCAGGTACTGATCAGGTGGGCCTCCTAAAGTACGTTCAGTGGCCTGTATTGGGTGATAATGACGTTCAGTGGCACTATCTCCCTCACTGGCATATTTCTTATGCTTGTCTATGGCCCGTTCGATAGCGGAGTGAAGCTGCTTTGCTCCCGAGCGGTCATTAGGATTTGGTCGAAGCATCTGCTCTTCCACAATGGTCAAGATTGCCGGTGTTATCATGTCATACCCGTTGAGCTGCTGCCGAAAAAGGCGATGTGAATCACGGACCGACTCAATCAGGTTATTGCCGTCATGAAAACACCGGGTGTGGTAACTGCTGAAACTGTGATTGCCGTTGAGCTCTTCAGACCGCAGCTGACCAGCCGTTTCCATGTTTTCTGGACCTTCTGCAACCCAGGCCACCAGTAGACTCGTGATGCATCCTAAACTCCAAATATCGGAGAACCGGGTTACCACATGAGGGCCCTCGTTCAGGGCTGCCATATGGTGACTGGCCTCGGGGGGAGAAAAGGAGGGATGCCCCTGTCTGTCAGGGCTTGCGGGCTCATCCCCACCTCCAACAAGATCGACAATGGAGCTATGTTCAAAGTCTATCAGTTTTGCGACAAAGCTATAACGCGATACCGAGTCTGGAATCTCCGTGACGAGAATATTATCAAACTTGAGGTCCTGATGAATAACGGCCTTGGTCGGCCGCTGAGGGTCGCCATTCATCTGGTGGATCTTGAATAAGCCTGTAATGATTCCAAGATAGCTCTGCCAGAAGTGATAGATGTCGCTTATTGTTTGGGGTTGTTGGTTACGTGCCAAATATTGCTTGAGGGTCTCTCCTTTCACAAATTCCAAGACGAGGTGGCCGGCCCGTGATTGCCGAAACCCGCCATAGAATCTCACCACATGGTCAGAGTGTCCCATGGATTCAAGAAGAGTATATGCTTCAGCTTCGTGATCATAGGCTGCTTGTTGTGAAGGGTCATCGAGCTTGTAACTTTTGATCATAAACGTATTTATCGCACTATTAGAGCCTAATTTGTTGCAAGACTTGTTAATGGTGACTTTGGTGAGCAATGGGGAATTCGGATATTCGTCTCTGGGAGAATTTTCTTCTTTTTCTTCGATAGGCAATATACGTTGATCGGGCAGTTCTTGGTGAACGAGATCGTCTCTATCAAACTCGAATGGAAAGAACATCCATTTGTTGTGAGTGAATTCCTTCAGGAAGCCATCGCACATTGCGTCGCTCCAGGCTTGATCGGAGTGTCGGTTAGGCCAATGCTCGTCACTCAGCGAGTATCGAGTAAAATATGACAGATATTGAACTTTGTTGGCGAATGCAAGTGTCGAAAATACGCGAAGGTATTTGGTCTTGATTGTGCTCTCCAGCACCTGTCCTGACAATCCAACTTTGATGAGAACTTCCCGAATTCTTGGCGGTTCCCAGAACTGAGTAAGATCCTCGTAAAGCAGATACTTCTTCGCTTCTTGGGAGCCGTTAATGCCAGTCTTTGCTCTACTCTCAAGCCCATCCCGAATGCGATCGTAGAGATTGGCGGGAAGGCCAGAGTGCGTGTTGCCAGCCATTGTTGGGTGATTGGAAAAGTGTAACAATGGACGAGAAGCCGATATTTTTAATGTCACCAAAGAGACACTTCTAGGATTTGAAAAACGACAATAGAGGATCCAAACGGCTCAAGGCAAAGTCAGGTGGCCGGCTGAAAGTGTTGCCAGTCCTTCCTCTTACCCATGTTCCGCGAGGTCTCAGGAGAATAAGGCTAGCAAGGCGTATTTTGAAGATTTTGGAAGCGAATTGTTTTCGAAAGACAGAGGAGGTGACATTGAATGGGGGAAGGAGAGCAGACCATCCATGATGCCCCGGGGTTCGGGCGAACTGGTTCGCTCGTATATGCGGCGCCTTGTGTCTCAATCAACTTTGCCTTGCATAATGCCCCGTCTGATTTGGACCGCTGACAAGTGTGGGTGAATTCGGCACAGCCGTAGGCAGGATTGGTCCAGCCGTGATCGGAGGCATTGTTGTATCTTCATCGATAATCGCTACAGATTAGGGGGTGTTCACTTGCGCTCGCTTATGCGTGTTTACCCAAAGCTATCAAAGTTAAATAGCTAATCCATCGATATGAAATTGATTTGCCAGATGATAGATTAGTAGTAACTTGCTCCAGCAGCCCACCTACATAGCGATCTGACTCCAAAACGCTCACAGGTGTATGATTTAATATCTACACCCCCATCCCAGGCACACCGCCCGCTCTCTGTAGACAAATTCAGTGTTCCTAAAAAGTATTACATAATAATACGGGAAGTGAGATGAAGGGCAAAAGCCCCCGGTCACGATGGTGATAGTAATGGAAATACGGCGCAGATGGACAACATATGTCCATTTGAGCCCAGGTTAGTCCTTCCATCGACCATATACGACGCGAGCCTTTTCAAGAATACTTTCCTCTTCTAAGAAACTCATTTTAAAATCAAATCGGCCACCTGTTTTTGTTGCCATCGTGAGTACCAAGAAATAGTGGCCCAGATGGAGAAAACCAGACCGCTCAGAGGTCCTGTGATGACGCCGAAGAGAGCCAAGCCTGACCAATCAATGATCCAATCTCCTATACGACCCGATGCCTCTTCACCTTTGAAAGTTATGATGTTGCTACCCAAAAATGTCTAGCTTTCCTGTCAGTACACCAAACTACGAAACCAAGGGAGATTGTATCTTACTGCGACGAATGTAGCAGGGAGGAAGAAGAGTGTCAGTATGGTAATGACGTGGATTGAGACTGTCTCGCGTCTTGCCTTGATTGTAAATTGCTCCATCTTTTCTGTCGAAAGCTGGGTAAGCTCGGCGTATAATTCCCCAAATCTCATGTTGTTATATTGGAGTATCCCATTGAACTGCTCATCGGTTAGCTCCGGGATTTCTGCTTGGGGAAATCTACAACGAGGCAAGACAGATACTAACTAAGGATATTTGTCTCTCAAGACGAGCTTGCAGGGTGTTGAGACGAGCCTCCTGATTGTCCAACTCGCGTACGCAGCGTTTTGCCGTGTCAAAAAATATGTCAAACTCCTCAGGATCTATGTCAACATTCCGGCTGAAGCTTTCTAGCTCCTTAAAATGCTCGAAGCGCTCAATCAGATCGTGCAACACCACCTTGTTCTGAGCCAACACAAGGGATCCGTCATTGATACGTGTTGCCATCAAATACAAGTCCTGAAGCTTCTCAAATTTGAAGATCTCCGCTATTTCGGGAAGCTCAAGCCGTTTTGGCCTGCTCGGATTTTGGTTCGTGGTATTCCACTGTCCTGCATTATCGCTTCGTTTTAAAGAGACTAGCGTCATAAAGGCTTGGTTGATTCGCTGCCTGAGTCCTGAGTGCTTTTCTCTTCTACCCCATGACTTTCGTGCCGTCATCTTTCTCTCTAGGGTCTGTTCCAGGTTCGAGCTGTCAGTGATGGCAGAAACAGGTGTATGATGTATAACTTTGGCTGTTTCGGAAATCTGAGTCTCAAGAGTGTTGAAATGGGTCGTGAAGTTTTGGATGGACCATTCGAAGATGGCCAGGTGTGCAGACATGGCAGCAGAAAAGGAGGACTTGGGTGTCAACGTCTTTCTGCTTTGGCTCTCTACTAGCTCTAGGATCCTATCCCTAATTGCGGTGTTGGCTTTGAGGATGATCCATGCTGTTTTCCCGGTTTGAGGTTCAAAGGAGAAGTAGGCGGCAGTTTGGCGATATTGATAAGGGAAAGCGTGCCCCAAACCGATGTCATGCTCCACACCAACTAGATTAAAGCAATGCTGGAACTTCATCGGGTTGCGGTCGGTAAAGTCTTCAGAGCGAAAGGAAGTCGTCAAAATGGGGCTATCTCTCTTACAGAACGTGAAGACGTGCTCAAGAAATGCAGCCATGACTTGATGATGAGAAAGTATATACTGCAGCTGTTGTCTTGAGCAACACATTGGTGATCTTGAGTTTCCTGCGTGTATGAAGCTGCGAGTCCATTAGCACGTTTTGTTTTGGTGTGAGATAGAGCAAAAGAATGATGTACATGTATCTGCAGATGGGCTCCTCGGTATTTTGGCTCATGAAGTCTTTTAGCGTATGGAGCTGCTCGAATCTGTGTAGACTAGGGCTGGGGTTTGCTACATGTCAACGCAGAGAGTGTTAGATCAGGCAGGGGTCCATTCTATATAGAATTCAGGGAAACAAACAGTTGATTGCTGGAACCTTTGACTCTAGTAGCACGATTCGTTGTACATTTGGATCAAACAGATCCAGCGATCCGTATGGTGAACCGTTTGAGCCCCCAAGAGTCTCATGGTAGACGCCCAGCACCTGTTTTGATAGCCGTGTTGATGCAAGAGTGCAGGGGTATGATGGTTCCTTCCTGCACTCGCTGCATTTATTCGACACTTGAATGGTTTTGGTCATATCGAAGATTGGTCTGATGTTCAGCAAACAAAATGGCTCATTGAAGTAGGACTTGGGAGGGGAAGTGCCATGATATAGTATCATATATAGGATTTTTTCAAGTCTTTAAGCCTTGCCTTTTGATGGCTGTGCTTTGCATGTACCGAAGAGTAGCATAAACAGTTATTGTGCGAAAACAAAGGATCACAACATGAAGAAATTTGTCAACATTTCTTGTCAAAGGAGGTACGGAGGCGGCAACACCCAATTTGTGGTGTCAACAAAGCTCTGAGCCCCCTATGACCCAGGGCACATTTGTAGAATTTCATAGATGCCAGCCAGCGACTTCGGAGTGGGAGGGGGCGTGAAGATAACAAAAACAATGAGGGCAAACATGTGCAAGCGCCACCTCCCACAACAGCTGAATCCTACATGTACTTCCACCAGCCAAAGTGCACAACTCGACCAAATCCCAGCCACAACAAAAGTGCCTTGCTGCCTAAACTTGGGGTGGTACATTCTTAAAATAATCATGGTGGCGGTTTCGCTCTACACGAGGCTCTCAGTTTGCCCACTATGGTATCATCTGACCCCTTTCTCGCCGCCCGTTCATGGCAAGAAAAAGCCCACGGGTGGTATCCTCTCCTTATCAGCCTACCTCCTTCCCTCACGTACGCAACGCTGGATCAAATGAAGCACAGCCGTAAGTCGTCGTGTACCAGGGTAAGGCTTAGATTCCCTTGCCACGCGGCCTTTCTCACATGGCGACTGCCCCCCTCAGCTTGCCGATTGTGTTAAAAGCTGTACACCTTGTCCCTTCGGTCCTCGATTGCCGTCAGTTCGTCCTGCGGCACACAATGTCAGATCTTCCGTCCGGACTGAGGCGTATTCTACATAGACCTACGCTAGTCAATACACGAGGCAATATAACCTGAAACATATCATCCTTTTCCTATTTGAACGTCTTAGCATTTCGGGTGCCGTCGGAAGTCATATTCAGCACGTTTTACACACCTCTATTTGAATCACAGGCTCGCCAGGGAAAAGTTGCTTGAGGTATTCTTCCAAGACTTTGCGACGCAGACGGTAGTTCTTGATGGCCACCGATACATTCATCATGTATGGGAGTCTCTTCACACAATACGATGTACTCGATCTCTTGCGGCTGACTAGGTGATGTAAGGAATAGCGAGCAGTAAGGTTCTTGGCCCGCGGGAGAGCCTAGGGAAGTATCTCCTGGGGCTACCATCCCGAACTGAGGGGTAATTGAGCCTCAACATTCCACCCTTCCATCAGCGCGGCTGGAAGGCCCAGTGGGGACTCGTCACACAGCACGTAAGATTGCTACTGCTTGGCGAAAGGTGAAGCCACCATTGGTCTGCAAGTGAGGGGCTTTATGCAACTGATGACTTTGTGGCGTTGCGGATCTTTCAGCTGATGGAAGGCTTCCAAGGCACAACTTGTTCAGAAACCAATGGCAAGACGAATGATGTGGTTGTACCAGTCATGCGAAGAAAACTGCCGCATGAAAATCCGATCAAACCAAAGCCCCGCTTACTACATCCCATCCATAGAAGGTATCTGGTCCGGTTTGGTGTAATGGTAGAGATGTTACCTCACCGGACTGTGGCCATGCAAGAGGCAGTCTACCGGTTCGGCTGCATGTACGCCACCCGCAGCAAATACGAGGTCAGACAATGAACGGCTGGCAATCTACCTTAACACGTTCCACCGCCCTGAGGCCGTTTTCAAAGTAACAACACTCCCTGGCAGAAGTAGCAAGTTCCAAATGGCAAAACAAAAGGGACCAGGAAGAGTGTAAGTTGCCACCCTCGTCAATGAGCGCGAGCCGTCTACCAAACTGAACAAGCAATTCAAACAACTTACGAACAGTAAATTCGCAGATCAGATGTTGGTGAGACTCCTAAAGGGGGGCCCGTTAACCACCACGCCCGTTGGCGAGGGCGCGGCAACTTATGCAACGAAGACGAAAGCCGCTAATCGAGAACAAAAGCTTCAAGTAAAACAAAATTAGGTAATTAAAGATTTTGCCAGCGGTTGAAAAGTAATAATCTTTATTTAACAGTATTAATTTACTTGGTTTATCCAAGGTTCAGAGCTCGGTGTGAGGTATCCCGATTCCCCGCACGATGCCCCCACGGTGTAAATCCGTCACTTCACCCGCACCACCTCCGCGTTTCCGTTTTCCCCATCTTTGGTTACCTACCTTACTTTGAATCCCATCGCACCTTCCCAAAAACTCACCCAAATTATAAGCAACCATGACCGGTAAAAGACCTACCTTCGACGAGCTCCCGCTGCTTAAGGACGGGCCCAGGGGCAACGCATGGGGCCTCTGGGGCCCCGACGACCAGCTCGGCATGCTGAACCTCCTCACCCCGGAGGTCACCGCCGCCGCGGCCCGCGAGATTGTCGACGGCGGGCGCGTCTCCGTCAACCTGCCCCTCGGCCACCTGACCCCCCCTTGCTTCGGCCGCGCGCCCCTGGAGCACAAGGTCTGGCAGAAGACGCCGAGGATCGTCTTCGACGACTCGCTGAGCATCAATACGCAGAGCAGCTCGCAGTGGGACGGGTTCAGGCACTACGGGTTCCAGAAGGAGGGGCTCTTCTACAATGGGAAGACGCCGGATGATATACGGGATTCGAATGCTAACAGCATGCACGGTATGTCCGCTTGTCACCCATCTCAATGGCGAATAACTTCTCACTGACACCTCGTCTGTTAGCATGGGTTGAGAGCGGAGGCATAGTCGGCCGCGGTGTCCTCCTAGACTACGCTGCCTGGGCGGATTCACAAGGCCTCTCACCTGCTATCTTCGCCCCAACTTCAATAACAGTCTCGACTCTGAAGCAGGTGGCAGAGTCGCAAGGAACCACCTTCGGCCGCGGAGATATCTTGTTCATCAGGAGCGGATACGTGCGCGCCTACAACAAACTGCCCGCACCGGACCGGTTGGCCCTGACGGAGCCAGCTGTGCCCAGCGCCATCGGCGTGGAGAGCTCGGAGGAGACACTGAGGTGGCTGTGGGAGAATGAGTTTTCCGCAGTGGTGGGGGACCACCCAAGCGTCGAGGCGTGGCCGGTGCAGAACCGCGAATACTGTCTGCATGAGTGGCTTCTGGCTGGCTGGGGCGTCCCGCTGGGGGAGCTGTTCGACCTGGAGAGCCTGAGCGCCGAATGCAAGAAGAGAGGGAGATGGAGCTTCTTCTTTACGAGCATGCCGTTAAATGTGAGTGATTTCTTCATCGAGTGATTTATAGAGGGCCATGCTGACTTGAGACCGTCATAGGTTATCGGAGGTGTCGCGAGTCCGCCCAACGGAATAGCAATTTTTTGAGTCAAATAGAGGGCAGCAGTCTAGATTTCTGATAACTCAATTTGTCACTGATGTGAATTGGTGGCTTTGGTCATTGGAAATTGTCTTTGAGAACCTCTGCCATCATCACTGAGGCACCATACAAGCTCATACTCTTCATTTTACGGAAATTTCTAGATCTCTTGTCTTATAATACGCATCAGTTAGAAATGTTCTCCTCCTTTTCAATCTGTTCCTTGCTAGGGCACCACTTATCCTGCAGCTCCTTATCCAGTGACCCAGCATACACATCCTTGGACCACCACTCTCCCCAGCTAGTAAGGAAGATCTGCTCCGGGTCCGAGGGGAAATCGGTCCGCGTGAACGCTTCTAGAAGACTCTTGGCACCTAGGAAAAAAGATTGAGTCAGCGCATTTACGAAAGGGTATGACCAAAACGAGATTACCTTCAGGGACAGTCTTCGCGTCCGCCATATTCACACTAAGACCCAGGCCAGCAGCAAGGTTGGTAGCGGGAATCAGGCCGGGAGACACGGCGACGACGTGACACTGGCCGGTGAGCTGGCGGCGCCACCAGTGTGCGCCGAGCAGGCCAACGAACTTGGTCTGCGGGTAGGTGGAGGACCGGGGGGCGCCCGAGGCTCCGAGGAGCTGCTTGTCCAGGACCGAGACGTCGGGGACATTGCGGACGGCGCCTGAGGAGACGAAGACGAGGCGGGATTTGGACTCAACGAGCTTCTCGCGGAGCAGGTGGACCAGATAGTGCTGGGCTGGTTTAGACTCGAAGTTAGGATGAAATAATTTCCCAATGGAAAGAAACGAGGCGGAGACTGACAAAGATGGTTCACAATGAAAGGCTCGCACCACTTGGAACCGTGTGGCCCTGGCTTGTCTGCGCCTTCGCTGATGCCAGCACAGAGGAAGAGGTAGTCAATCTTGTTCGAGCCGACATGGGTGAGGGATTCGGCGGCGAACGACTTGACGGTCTTGAGATTGTTCAGCTCGAGCGGCAGGATGCTGAGCGAGTGCACGTCGCGATCGTATTTGAGCGCGTCAAAGGCATCTTGAGTGCGCTTGAGGTTACGGGCACCAACAATGACCTTGTACGGCTGGGACTGCTCAAGAAGCTGCTTGATCACCTCAAAGCCCTAGACTTGGCGTTAGCGGGGAGTTGATTCCGTAGAATGGGGCAACGGCTAAAGATACCAGTCCAGAGGAGGATCCGGTCGCAATGACGGTCTTGGCGATGCTGGACGCCATTTCTGTTGCTTCTTACGAGGTGGTCGTGAGGAAGAATGAATATCTGGTGAGAGGGGTAAGATTTCTCACGGGTGACGTAGCCAGAGGAAAGTTTCCATAGCAGGTGCTCTATGCACAGCTCTTTCCCAATCAATCAATCAATCAACATGAAGCCTGAGAGCCACCAATTGAGCAGCCTGTCTCAGTGGTTTCAGTGGTCTCGGTGGAGGCTCTTGCTGACATATGCTGCATGGCATGAGAAACAGCGTATTATTAATGCGCGATGAAGAGAGAGCAGAGAGAATCTAGAGGCGCTAAACTAAGGCTGCTCGGATTTCTACGACAAACAGAGAGACATTTGGGGAATTGGCCGTGGTTCGCTTGGGACAACGCACGGCAGGCAAATGCACGGGAACGAGCGAGCAGCGCCTTGGGCATTGCATTGGTATCGCCGCTGCACAGAAGATGGTGTTGGTCCAGCGTCGCATCCAAAAGACCCTCGATGGAGTAGACGTCACTGAGTGACCAAGAGAGACGACGTCCGGGGAGGCTATAGCAGGACATGGGGCTGCTTAAGTCCGGGAGATGAGAGAGAAGCCAATCTGATTTCTCCTTCAACTGGGGGTGCTAGAAGCTCAACAAAGGAGAAAACACGCCAAACCCCAGCAGGAAGTCATTAAGAGATCAGTTGCTCTTGTGGGTCGGGGCTGGCTGGGTTCAATCACAGTGTCAGGCAGTCCTGGTCTCCCCGGCCGGATCACGACGTCAAAATCGGTAGATCCACCGCTAGCAAACGAATGAGTCGAGCAAGGGCGAGGAAAGGGGCAGCCTGGTATGTGCTCTGCTGGGCTGCGTTGTCGGCGCACGAGTCGATCATTCCCCAATGCCCGCCCAGGCCGTCAGCGTGTGCCATGAGACGAGATGGATGCCCCTCCTCCCAATCCAGCACGAATTGGTTCATATCTCCGTTCACCGATGTGATCGTCTTGCACCAAGTCGTCAACAGCCCACCCACCCTGGCACACTTGAGCCGTCACCTTGCTCCTCCTCCTGCCTTTCCAACCGCCCCCCGGCCTGGGTCCTGGCTACTATCCTGTTGAGGGGTGATCGAAACTCGAAAGGAAGAGAGTCGAAGCCTGAAGGACTCGTAAAGGAAGATGAATCAATCGACCAACACTGCACCGCCGGGCGGGTAATTAATTAGAATCATCACCACGCGTAGCACTCGCTGGGGCCACCGCAACGTCATCGCGCAGGAGCCCCGGAAGAACTAATAATACTAATAATACTAATTCTCGTCTACTTCCTTGTTACGCTCTTATTTAATCGCCCAGCCTGCCTTCCCGCCTCGAGACACCATCTGAGCCTTGGCCGGTCGTCCCCGACTCTCCCTCCCTCCCTCCCTCCCTCTCTCTCTCCCCTACCGACCAACCACACCGCATTTCCCGTCCCTGTGTGTGGTTGAGTTGTGCTCTCTCTCTCGCTCTCTCTATCTCCGTCTCTCTCTCCCTCGTCTCCATCATCCCTCTCGTTCCGGGGCCTCTACTCGACTCGGCTTCCCCCATCCTACACCGCGGACTCTTGGCCCCCCTTCCCCCCACCCCGAATCACACAGTCTGTCTTTTCCTCCGTGCGCTTGTGCTTCGACACACGTTCCACTCGCTTCTTCCTACATCCTATTATATCGAACAGTTGATGGACTCCCTTCGCCCCTGATCGTCTCGCCTCGATCCCTTCGGATGGCTCACCCGCAGATCCAGTCACCGCTGTGACACACCACCTCCCTCTCGCTCTCGCTGTCTCTCTCTCGCTCTCACTCTTTGACTCTCTCTCATCCCCGGCATGAGCCTCAACCTCTCGGCCAAGTGGCGCCAGTGGCGCTGGCAGATGGAATTCTACCACACGCCCCTCGAGCTGCGCTACTCCTACCGCCTCCTCTCCCGCATCTCCGACCACCCCCTCCTCCGCCTTCTCCTCCTCTTCCTCCGCCTCCCGCGCTTCTTCCCCTGCCGCCTCCCGCCCCGGCCCCGCGACATCATGGCCTACCCCCGCGAGGCCTACATGAACCAGCACCACCCGGACGTCTACGAGACCCGCCTCATCCCCGCCTGGCGCTGGCGCGACACCCTCCAGCGCGCCTTCTACCGCCTCTACGAGACCGTCTGCGCCTACGACGAGCCCCTCACGGGGTACGAGGCCGAGTACATGTGGCGGCGGAGCGCGGGGTCCGCTTGGGCGCCCGGCATGCTGCGCGACCCCCGCGACGACGGCTGCGACGACCGCGAGCAGCTCGCCGTCATGGCCTCCCTCGCCGACGCCCTCACCGACGCCTTCAACTGGCGCCTCGAGCTGGGCCTGCGCCCCGACGGCGAGCTCGTCGAGGGCGGGCCGGGCGCCAGGTTCGTCCCCTACGCGCGCCCGGCGTGGACGGCCGCCGCGCCCAGGCTGCAGAGCAGGCTGGTCCTGCACGACTACGGCGACAGCAGCATCGCGGGGTCGAGCGAGCCGTTTGACAGGAGGAATATACAGGCTTCCGCGGCGGCGCTCAGAACGATATGACGATATGAAGCTGCTCTTACCAAGAGACAGAAAGAAACATCAGAAAGAAAGAACAGAAAGAAAAGGGAGTTGGGTTCCTCGTATATTCTCTATTTTTTTTGGAACTGTTAATTGCAGATAACCTCCCCGCCCCGGAGATGTGCCCAGACATCTCGAGGGGCTTTTTTGCCTTGCTTTTGTATTACAGGTCTACGTTGCTTGTTTTGCCCGCTGACCGAAAAGACCATGATACCCTCCCAATGCGCCATTACCGCTCGCTAGAATCGTGTGTGTGTATATATGAATGCGTGGATGCCCGTTGCCCATGCCGAACGGATGACTCGACGAAACAAACAAGAGAGCCGCAAAAAGGAGATGCAGGAAGATGTGAGTGGTGTGGCATGACATGACAGATATTACCAGCCCAAAGACTATTATGAGGCCAGCATGTAGGAGAGATAGAAAAAGAAAAGAGAAACAACAGTGTCTAGATAAAGACAGCCTCGTTATTCAAGTTGTGGTAGCGCGCGCGCTGTACGAGGGGATCCCACGTCATCTCGACAATGCCCTGGGTGCCGTACACGGCCAAATACTCGCGTGCTGTCGCGTCAATGCCGGCGTCGCCGACGGGGAGGCCCAGGCCATTCTCATCCAGGCTCCTGACGTATGCAAGGCTGAGGGGATGTCCGTCCCGCTTCAGCCAGTGGACAAGTGTTACGGCATCGGAGAGATCGAGCTCGCGGGGTCGGCCGAGTTTCTCGTTGAGGCGGCGGAGCTTGCGTTCGAGGGCGAAGTCGAGACGGCCGGCATATATGGTCATGTTGCGGCCCTTGTAGGCAATGACACCCTGCTTGACGGACTGGAGGAAGAGGTTGAGGCGTTTGGTGCCGCCAATGAAGATGCGCAGCTCGTCGTTCATCCAGTTGTTGCTAAAGCCGGACTTGCGGGCAACGCCGCGGATGACCTTGAGGACTTCGGCGCGGTACTCGTCGACGGCATCAACGCTCGGGTCGAGGAGGAAGTCGATGTCTTTGGTGGTGGAGCGGTTGCCAAAGAGCGACACGGCCAGCATGCCTCCGATGGTGATGAAGCGGATCGGCGCAACGCTCATTAAGAGCTCGGAGGCCTCGATGGCATCATCTAACTGTGATAGTGCTGTTGTTTGGTGCATCGCATGCAGAAGTCAGCAAGGCGAATACCCTGGCCTTGTCCGTCGCACGGAGCGGGAGCAAGAGGCGAGACATGGCGGGAATGATGGGCGTACCTTGATTGATATCCTCCCTTGTAAGCAGCCGATCCCTCCTTGGCGTCGGCATTCTGTGTGAAGGAGGGACTCATTGGACGGCGTGGATAACCATGCCTACTGGAGGGGAAGAAAAGAGACCACGGCGCTCAATGTGCAGATACAAGGTTGGCCGGCAGAGAGAAGAGGGACAGAACTGCCGGGCCGAGCGACGGACACGGCGTTCCAAATACAGGCAATAAGGAGAAAGGAAAGGATGCAATTTGTTGCATGCAGGCCGCGATTGGGGTCGAGGCGGAGACCAGGCGCGCCGTAAGTCGGAGAGCTGACTGTCAAAGTCGAAAGGGGATGATGGATGTCTGCTGGTGGTGGAGGGTGGGAAGGTCGGCAAGCCAAGTCAGGCTCCGTTCCAATCCATAGTAAATACTGACAGGGTATGTAGATAAAGCCGCAGCAACAGGTGGCTGCCTTGATTGCGCACGCACGCCGATGAGGAAAAAGAAAGCCTCGAGTCTATGTGTTGCCTTGGAAGTGTGCCCGCCCCCCTACAGGAAAAGGAACAGGAACAGGAAGAGGGAACGGAGGAAGAAAATGAGCAGAAAGCGCCTGAGGGAGGGGGAAGGCTAATAAGGTAAGGCTGCTAGAGGTGGATCGCCTGGGAAGGTCGAGTCCAGCCGAGTCCAAAAGCCACCGTCACGTCGCTCTGCAGGCGACAGGTCGCCTTAATCCGAGTGAGCAGATGCGGATAGTGCACAGCAGGTCGAACGGGACAGCCGAGCAGACCAGAGCCACGGCCGCAGGGCAGAATACAACCAACCGAACAGCCCCGACGGCGGGGTGAGCCGATCAGGGAAAAGGATGGCAATCAAAATCCAGGGTCCAAGGCCGCGTCGTTGAGGAGCAAAGCCAAGGCGGTAGTGAGTCTTAGTGAAAAGCTTGGTCGGGCGCAGTGTGGAGAAGGCGCTGCTCGGTTCGCTAAATAAGTGGTGCCCCTCGCTGCAGGCCCCGTAAGCAGGCCATAAGCACTGAAGCAGCGGCAGCGTCGGCGGTTTCAATGGGCAAGAGCCAGAGGTTTTGGGGGCCTAGGTGCACCTGCCTATGTTCCAGGCACTCAAATCGTTTTCAAATCGTTTTTGGGCAGAACCGGGCGCTGGAAGTGCGTACGGGTACCTTGGCATCTGGTGGAAGGCACCCGTACCACCAAAAATAGACCCCTGCAGCGCTCTCGCCGCCCCAACGACACCTGGAGCCACGCTGCCCAAAAGCCACCTTGCCCTCTGCCATGGAGCCCCATCCCTCATCCTCCCGTCACCAACAATCCCTTCCCAAGGGATCAGCCCGTCTACCAATCGAGGGGCCTCCCCGTCGATCACAACCAGGCCCCTCCATCCCAAACGATTCTTTTGTCGCTCTGCATGCAATCCATGCGACCTGTTCTGCTTCCGGCGCCCACAACGGGTCAACCGACCAGCCACCGACGCCACTGTCTCATGATTGCATCCGCCTTTTGTCCACGTATCCCACGATCTTCGTGCCGACCCCTCGATCCCGTCTAGACTACTGCGAAGGTGACACTCATCTCGAATGTTTAATCATACCCAGCGAAGCACGACGAGCACGACGAGCACGACGCGACGCGCCGATCCATGATGTCCCAATTGACTACCGTAACTGCCTCGAAAACCCCTTTTCCGCCCGACCATTCGCATTCCACCCCGATCACGCATCCCACGACTCGTTATAATTTCGGCACTTGCTTCACGATCGAGGTGTATGATTGCAAAAGATCAAGGACACGGTGACGATGGACCTACAACACCGGGAGCATGGTCGTGACCCAGCACTGATGGAGGTTTGGATCTCAATCTCCACTCCAGTTCCACCCAACATACAGAGCAGTCTTCCGGGCCTTGCTTCCTTGCATGCTACCAGTATCAGATGACTTCTAGGCTAGAAGCTTCTTGATCGAGCGACGGTGTACCGCCATGTGCCAATGATGATGCAGCATACCACCGCTCTTTTACCGTCTCCAAGGGCGGAGTGGTTCGGTCTGTGTGTGAATTCATACCGCCGAATATGTGTCGCGACTTCGAGCCCCCCTCTCTAGGCTGAGAATGTGTCGGCCTACACTGAATATCCCTCGTATACCAGTTATGGCCGCCATCTGTAGGTAGTATTGTGCGGTTCAAGAGCGTAGACTGGTAGAATGGTGATCTCTAATCGTAGACTGCGCCCTCCGCCATCGCCAGCTTACCCTACACCCCGCCTCATTCGTGAATGTACCAGCGAGCCCAGACCTCAGATGCCCAAGTCCATTGACACTGACGGTTGATCCTACACATCCATTGACTTCACTGTATGTAATGAAACGCTGATGCGATCCGATGACTTGGAGATCGGCTAATGCATGATGCCAAAATCGTATTATCTGCCCTGCGTGACATATCACTTCTGGAGTCATCCGTGACCGCCTGGAATCAGTGATCGACCATTGTCTCAACCCCTAAAATGTCACACCAGGCCGACAAATTCTCAGGTCTCAAATTTACATTCAAGCCCTGTGGCACGTTAACATTGCTGCCCACATGGCCAAGTCAAGAAGAAGGATTGGAATTATGTGTGATGTGTGCGAGTACAGGGTAGCTGGCGTGAGCCGATTGAGATGGCTGGCACACGGACTCATTTGCGTCAGTTCCTCTCTCTAGCTGCTGCCTGCAAGTGGATGATGGCTCAGTGAGGACCCGCAGCCATTGGCGATGACATTGCAATTACTCTTTTGACATTAAAGATGCAAATTTATTTGGTTTACCAGAGCCTAAAGCAAACAGGCGGGTTCGTTTCATACGTAGCGCCATCAGGAACATGCACATTAAGGTACCTAGGTGTTTAAATACGGAAGCCGGAGACGCTAGAAGCCCTTTCACAGGGGATTTCTGGCCACAATATCTAATGAGATCTGGGCGAATACGACATTGTGTTTGGCTGTGCTATTGGCAAGTCGCCTAGTCAATGCTGGTGCAACAGGACTTCAAGAGCATATTTGATGCCTGCAGGTGGTGAAATGTGTTTGACCTGGCTGAGAGTTTCCTAGATGAACAACGGCTGTCGGTTTGTGTGTACCACATGGTATGATAGAGTCTTTTGGAAATAGAATCACATGCATTAATGAGTTGCACTTTATCTATTATTTCTGGGGTCTATTCTATGTACACAAACAAGGGGAGGGCGTTCTATCTCCGAAAATCAACAAAAACGTGCATATCTAGGCGAAAATGGCCTTCGGGATACTTTTCATCTGGGATGCTCCAAACTGACGACAGATACGGCTCTGTCCGACTTTAGAGAGTGCTGGCGTCAAATTTCTTTCTTAGTTTCTCTCCGTAGCGCTGGATAATGAACGGAATGGGAATCAAAGCCACGCTGATGAATCCGAGTAGTGAGTTTCCCCAGCCAAGCCCAAGATGGTTGTACATTTTCAGCGCACATAGAGGAAGCACCGCACCGGCGATGGACCTCATGACCGTGTTTGCCGCAAGTGCCGATGCTGCATACCGCTCATAGGCATCAACCAGGTAGACGGAGACTGCCATCATGCTGAGGATGTTTCCTATTTGATATTAGCCTCCTGAAGATGTAATCCCTTATATGTGGCTTAGACCTACCGAGGCCGATGATGAACAGTCCAGCTATGGGACCCATCCAGTGTGTCTCGAAGTGTACGGTCCATCCGTAGATAAAGAAGCCAACAGGGTAAATAATGGCCCCGACTGGAAGCAGTCTCAGTCGGACTTCCGGTTTCGCCTCACTCTCGCTATTCTGCTGCTTCATCCTCTTTATCGCCAAGCTGCTGTCGACGGCAAACCAGATCATACCCAGGAAACACCCGACGCCTGCGCCCAGGAACACCAGGCCGCACTTGCTCGATGAGAAGCCGTACGTCTGCTTGAACACGTATGCAATCGTCGTGCAGAGGAGGTACTGGTACCCGTACACAACCATGATGTACACGGCGAATACCGTGCAGATTGGGGAAAAGACGAGCAGCTTCATTGGACGGACGATGGACAGCGTGAAGAGCTGCTGGCTCGTCAAGCCCTGGTCAAGCTTTGAGCGGAGCTGCTCGTTGCCCGTCTCCTTCCGCAGCCTCTGGGTCCTCCGGTCCAGTATGACCGGCGCGTAGCTCTCTCGCATCACCAGGGCCATGGCGACAGAGACGGCGCCCCCCATGACGGCAACGAGCCAGAAAACCCATCTCCAGCCCTTGTTCTGAGCAAGGACGCCGCCAACAGCGGGACCGATTATCGGACCGAGCAACGGGCCAATGCTGAACGCAGCCATCATGCCGGCACGCTCCTCGGGGGGAACATGTCCGCGATGCTGCCTCCCCCGTTTGTGAGGGGGGCAGCGCCGAAGCATCCTGCGAAGAATCGAAACACAATGAGGGAGTCGAGGGTAGGCGCCACGGCGCAAGCCATCGTGAATATGACGAAGATGAAGTTACAGGCGTGATAAACCGGTAGGCGGCCGTACAGCTCACTGAGCGGCGCGAAGACGAGCGGCCCGCAGGCGAACCCGAGCACATAGACCGACACGACGAACGATGCAAGCTCCGTGTTTGAGCTCTTGAAGTACACCATTAGGTCGGGTATGGCGGGGGCGAAGACGTTTGACGCGAGCGGCGTGATCAGGGTGAGGAGGCTGATGAGGGTGCTGTTGGAGTACTTGCGCCAGATGGGCCAGTTGTGAGGGTCTTCGGGGTCGTCGTCGCCTGTCCACCAGACCGTGTTCTCGTCGCTGGTTTCCACCCCTTCTTCGGCCGAACTGTCGTTGATCACCGGCGGATCCTTGAGGCTGTCGGGACTCAGAGTGTCCGAAGAGGATGCCGCTTTCTCGGCCGTGCTGGCACCGGCATCACGGTTCACATTACCGTCGACTGTCGAGCCGGCCATGGCCTTTGCGGTGCCTTTTCCCTCCATGATTGGAAGTCTATTATGTTGGATGTCAGAAATCTAGAATCGCTCGGTCGAGGTAAAATTCAGAGAATGGTCAACTACGTGGAAGAAAGGGAGCCAGGAATGTAACTTTGGCAACGCGCCGCTCCACTGGACCAGCTGGAACTCTTGAAGCAAAAGTCATCGGGCCGCGCTGCTATAGCACAGAGTTTCACTCAAGTAACCATGACGTTCTGGGATGCATAGAATCTCTGCAGACTAACAAGGCCGGCCGCTAGAATACGAAGTACGCGTACTGATCGGGAGAGATGGGTAATTATGACGGTTTGAATCCGAGTCCTCTCTGCAAACACATATGCTAATTACTCCACGGTTTAGGTTCATACGAGATCCGGGGCACAAGATTGGGCATTCAGGATCTGAGGAGGATAGAGGTTCCTTTCTTTGAAATTATTTGGAAGAGCTGCCCCCAGAAGCCAACTTGGGATGCAGGTACTTGCTCTAGGATGGGGCAGTTTGAGAAGCATACTAACAAAGGTTATACCGATGCTGTCGTCCTGGCGACCACTAAAAGTTTATATATAAGCCAATCCTGCAGCCACAAATTTACTTTTACCTTGGTCCGTGGGCTTGAAGCAAGGAAGCTTGCGGGTCAATGATTTCCCCCCGATCGTACAGCCTTGCCTGGAAACCCTGAGACGGTACTGGAGTTTGTAAGACCTGGGAGCAGGTATTGGTGAGAAGGCTCAATTGTACAGAGTCAGGCACTCTTGGAGTATGACATGGAAGCCGTGACTACCTCAGGTATCTTCCACTATTCACCTGCTATACCAAGCCTGCTTTCTTGTCCCACCTTCCGTTCTACAGCCGTGTCGTTTGCCCGTCCACGATTCTTGGTAGAGTCTTGCTTAGAAAACCGTGTCCTATGTCACTCTCTCAACTCGAACCTGAGCCTGGGACGTCTGGGGGTTTTAAGACCATGAAAATGACGAAATTCAGCCGAAACTGAAATCCCACGATATCTCTCCAACATCTAACATCAAATAGGTCTCGTTACTTGATCTGAACTGGGATATTGATCTCACTGTCTCCGGCCATTGCTTCCAATCAAAAGATCCATCTGCTCTGTCATTTCAGCGTTTCTATCCTCATAAGGCCAAAAGAAGTGATTCTATCGTGAGAGAGGTAGAAGAGATGATAATGCATTAAATCTTGATGGATTAATACCATTTGAACTCAAGAGGCTTTACTACAACACACGCAATATCCCCGTCCTTTTGAGTTCCTTGTTAAGTGGGTGGCCACAATTGGCGACACTGCTCAAACTGAGTTACCTTCCAGCCTGTGATGTTTATGTTACTTGGATATTCTTTGACTAACTTATTGACGGCTTATTTGGTCTTCGACATTATACACCCAAATTTCGAACTGAGCTTCGCGGAAAAACGACAGGGCCTTCGCGTTGGTCTCACTGCCTACGCTGGTCTAGACTCTGGTGGCATGTTATTGAAGCCAGCTGAATTCGTTACATTAGGCCGGTGGGCTCGATTATTAGTGCTTTGCGGCCCGTCTATTGGCGTGTGACCCCTTAACCCCTGTCTTTAATAATCGACGAATGGCAGCGCTATTGAACTTCGCCACTCACTAGGGAGTTCTAGATGCAGGGCTCAGCTTGTATTGGGATCAATAAATAAATATCTTGCTTTGCCCAATTCGATATCTCTTTTTCTCTATCCCTCATACTTCAATGATCTATACCTCATTACCGCCCTAGCAAACCCCTGACAATATGAGATTTTCCAAAGCTTCAGCACCAAATCTGGATGTTGAACCTCAAAGACCGCCCCGAACCTTCGCATCCAGAATCGTCGTCAGTCTTCTCGCTATAGTTACCATCGCCTCTGTACTTCTCTTTTTGATGCCGGGCCGGTGCCCCAAATCATTGTCCTCTGACGCGCATCCCGAAGATAACGTTGTTAGCGAGATTACAGTGTTGGACAACAAGGCACGGCCGAGATGGCTGCTGCTAGGCTATGAAGGAGGAGAGACCTGCAGCTCAGGGTCTGTCTTCTCCAACCAAGGAGACAAGTCTACTTGGTGTATCAATGTACCGACGGAACCACGAATCCCCGAGCGTGTGAACTGGTATCCTGGGCAATACTGGAAGCTCTGCACCTGGAATTCAGCCAACTGCACTGGCCAATACAGCAGCGCCTTGACTGGACAAGGGAGATGCCAGAATGCTCTCACACAATCTTATATGGTCATCGACGCGAAGAGAGAATGCATTGGGCTGGAGGATGATTAGATTCCGAGGCTGTCTTGAGGAGCCATTCACAATGCCGTCTATATCTGGTGACAAAGGGCTGATGATGTTGGTCTTTGCTTATAAATACATTTGAAGGATATGTCTCGCAAGGACCGCAGTTACGAAATCTGATCAAGCCAAATATTACATCTTCGAATCCTTTGAAAGTTCCTTAACAGATCCCTGTCTTCCGCCATCAATCCCTTCGTATGTTTCTATCTCCAAGTTTCGTGCTTCGGTAGCACGATGCGCCGAGTCGGCGGTCTTCAAGAACGTAACACGACCCTTGATAAACCAGAATCCAATCGAAAAGATAACCATAATTCCAAACACGGCGATGGCGTAATTCATGTCGCTTGGAGAGGGATTCGGTTCAGCAGGGAAAAAGAAGAAGACGGACGTGATGACGCAGTAGACAAGAGATATCCAGTTGGCTACCGTACCGAACCGGCCAAGTGAGAATTCTCGTGGGGGAAGCTTATCACGTCCAACTACAAGTAGAACGGAAATAGGGATAGCGTAGGAAATGGTGAGGGCTATAGTGCTGACAGAAAGAATAGCAGAGAGAACAGTGTTGGAGAACAGGTAGAGAACTCCAATCAGGGAGATGATGACGCATTGAAGCCAGAGAGCGCGGGCTGGAACTTTCCACACCGGGTCCACGTGCGCAAAATATGAGCCCCATGGAAGTCCACCATCACGGGCAAAGCCCCATGTCAGCCGAGAGGCTGAAGTCAGAACACTAATGCCTTGGCCGAAGCCGTTGAAAATGAAGAGGGCGCTCAGTACAGCAGCCCCAGTTAGCCCAAGAACGCTTTGCATGACCTCCACAAACGGAAGACCTATGGGGGAGTCGAGGACAGCATCGATGTCTTGAATGCAAAAGAGCACAGCCACCATGAACACAAAGCCGGAAGCAGCGCCACAAAGAACCGAGAGGTAGATAGCCTTGGGTGCATTGCGCCCAGGCATGGGGATTTCCTCAACCATGTGGATTACAGCATCGAATGCCGTCAGACCTAAAAAAGAGTCAGTATAGTGCATAGAATTTGGATAAATTGAAAAGTTAATGGTGGATTAACCTACCATAAGCGGCCTGGACAAGACCCACGAACCAGACGACACCATCAGACCACCCGGAATCGTTGATCCATGCCCCAAAGACAAAAGAAGGTGACTGGAAACTCAAGTCAGGCTTTTCACCAACAGTGGCTAAAAGGGCTACACTGATGGCTATGAAAAGGCCCCCAAACCCAACACCAACGAAGTTGTTGAACCATGGCAGAGTCTTATCACTGCGACACGCAATAAGGTTGAAGGCAGTGAAAAGGATGGTGATGCCAGTGTAGATCAGAAATTGAACCCAACCTTTGCTAGCACCGGACCACTCATTATCGAACATGACTTTCATACCGAGGAGAAACTCGGTCATAAACGCATTTTGTGAGGCCGTAAGAGCCCACCAACCAAAGGTGTTAATCGAAGCACAAATATAGGATAGGAGGCGACCAGAAGGCGTATTCCAAAGACGATAGACCCAGTAAGCTTGACCCAAGGCGGTCGGCATGCTGCTGCAGAGCTCGCCCAGTGAAACGGCGACACAGAGGTTGCAGAGCGTGACCAGCAAAAGGCCCCAGAAGATGCTCACTGGACCTCCGGTGGTCAGCGCGGCGGCCAGATTCTGAGCAAAGACAGCCCAAGTGCCGAGGACGCAAAAAGCCATGGCGAGCATGCTCACAAGACTGAATTTACGAGTGAGCTCCTCTTGGTGGCCCAGCATGGCGAGATCCTTGGCATCGTTTTGTCCTGAGTTGGCTTGCGCCTCTGCTCGGGAAATTCTGTCTCCCATGTTTATGTGTAGTGGAATAAATAAAAGAGATGCGGTGAGTTTGTAATCAAGTTGCAAGTAGTTCAAGAACCACCAGTGTCAATAATCGGGGCAGATGGGTGTAGGTGGGACAATATTGTACACATTCTCTGCTGTGAGAGTTCCTGTTCGAAACAATGAGCACAGGTGTTAACAAGAAGCAGTCGAGGGAATCGAGGCATATGATATACAGCAACAAACACCACAATAGCCAACCCAAGCCAACGCGCTATGCCGATGTCCAAGATAAGCGGAAAACGTAATGGGCCAGAGTGGCGTGTGGGGAGGTGGAGCCATCCCCAGGTTTCATCTTGATTGCCATTTCGATAAGAAGGGCACTAGGACTAAAGAGACTAACTTGCCGGTGGTGTTGATATGGTGCCGCCCAGAGGGGGTAAATAACCGCAAATTGGTCACAAGCATTGCCACTGGTATCTTTGATGATAAACCTGACACTCCTTGTGCTCGGAGTCTCTTGCCTTGGAAAAAGCACAGCTTCTCATTCTGGATGACCAGTTTAGACTCCTGATATGCCCACTTCGACTGGGGAAATAAGGGGCCATCGTTTACCACTCCCTGCATATCGGAAGAGTTGCAGCAAGCTTTACATTGAAATATACACCACAGAGGGCCTACCTCAATTATGTAAGAAGTAAGGAGCCATGCTGGCTCTGTTAGTATTAGGTATATATTGACTCCGTAGGAGTTAGAAGTAGCTGAGAACATAGCATATCAAGAAAGTGGCCGACATCTATGTTCATGCTTGATTACGGAAACCTCTCAACTCTGCTAGGTACAGGTTTCAAATACAGTGCCAGCCTTAGAACTTAGAGAAATGGACTAGTACGAGATGACTTTCTGCCAGCTCTCACACATGAAGCCAATTCCACTCGGAGTCTCTATCCTGGTCCCGCCCTTCGGACCATTAAGATGGAAACAAACTCCGGGGAAATCGAAATGATCTGGAATGGTTTGGTAAATCAAGATTTACTTCTCCGATCTAGCCGAATAAAAAGAGCATCTGATACATTGACGAGATAACTTCTTAGATTGGCAAAATAGCCATTTCCCGCTGTTTGGAGTGGGCTAGCCTCAATTACTATTCCCAAATTGGAAATGTATCCGCAGAGGCAACTAATATCTCCATTTTCAGGTTTGTCAACCAAACAGAGATACCTTGTAGGAATGGGTTTCTCGTGGTTCCCCCAGGTTTCTTGACTTCCGCGGAGCCCGTTGCCGTTGTGAGGCAAATTTTACAAAGAGATAAATTGGGCATGATTGCTCCTTTGCGACAAAATTTCTCCTACTATTGCCGTGGCTAATAGACGCTTTGAATAAAGAGGCTATTTTGTGTCTTACCGTTCGCTCAAAATGTTCAAATATTCTCCTCATCCTCTATCTCCTCTCTCTATAGAGGAGACGAACCTGGCTAGAGATATCATCTTAGCAAACTCATCCAGCCAAGAAGTGGTCCAATTTCGCATGACATATACCCAAGAGCCCAAAAAAGCCGAATTGATCCCATTCTTAGAGCTAGAGCACTCTGGCCAGTTGCGATCTGATACACCAAGACCAGCGCGTTGTGCTCGCGTACACTATGTCTCGACAGGCAAGACTCAGAAGGATCGGCGCGCGACTGAAGTTGAAGCCACAGTTGATCTCACAGAGAAGAAAATCATCTCAAAAGATGTTCTTGGATCTGAATTTCTGGCAGGACTCAGCACGTAAGTAAAAACTAGAAACTACCTTGGCGCAGAGCTGGCTAACATATTTTTGCAGATGGGAGTTTGACATTCTAGTCGATGTCTGCAAGGCGTCGCCCATGTTCAAAGAAAGAGTAGCCCAGTTCGAGTTACCTCCTGGGTTTGACATCATTGTTGAACCATGGCCATATGGAGGAATGGACCGGCCAGGCGAACTGCGACGATACTTTCAAGGCCTATGCTTTGCAATAGATACAAGCACAAAGAACCCTGACTCAAACTACTACTCTTATCCATTACCTATCATTCCCGTCATGGATTTCGAGAAACGAGAAATTGTTCGGATTGACGAGCTTGCAACCGGCGGCGGCGATGATGAACTGGTCGCCAAAGCACCTCGGACCGGCCCCATTATTCAACACTGTGCCCCGGCAGAATATGTGCCAGAACTTCTACCAGGGGGGACGAGAAAGGACCTCAAGCCCTTGAGCGTTGTCCAACCTGACGGGCCGAGCTTTTCCGTCAAGGACGAAAGCCTCATAGAGTGGCAGAAGTGGCGATTCAGGGTCAGCTTCAACCCTCGTGAAGGGGCCGTGATCCATGACGTCCATTACGATGGACGAAGTGTGCTATACCGTCTTTCCTTGAGCGAAATGGTAATATTGTGTTTTCTTCTGATGCTTCGGACAAATAAAACTAACTAACATCTCGCTAGACCGTTCCTTACGCTGATCCTAGACCGCCGTTCCATCGTAAACAGGCTTTTGACTTTGGAGACGGCGGTATCGGACATGCGGTGAATAACCTCACTTTGGGATGCGACTGCTTGGGTGTGATCAAGGTATGGGATGGTTATCTGAATCTTCGTACCTAGCTAACATCTTGTAGTACTTTGACGGTGTGCTCGTGGGCGCAGATGGAACAGGAGAGAAAGCGAAGCATGTCATTTGCCTTCACGAACAAGACAACGGTATTGGCTGGAAACATACCAATTGGATGACCGGTCGCGCTGTGTCCACTCGACGGCGAGAATTGATAGTCCAATTCATCATTACCCTCGCCAACTACGAGTACATTTTCAACGTAAGTTGTCGGCACACTTTCCCACTGATATCTGAAAGATGTCCTTGACTGAAAAACGAAACATGAGTAGTACAAATTTGACCAAGCTGGTGCCATATCCGTGGAGACACGAGCCACCGGCATCGTCTCCGTCGTCAACATCGACCCAGGCAAGACCAGCCCCTGGGGCAACGTTGTCAACCCAGGAGCCCTCGCACAGAACCACCAGCACATCTTCTGCGTCCGAATCGACCCAGCCATAGATGGACATAAAAACACCGTCGTACAGAATGAGTCCCTCCCTGTCCGCCGAGATGCTCGGACCAATCCCAACGGCAATTTCTACCAAGTCAAGGATACGATCCTGTCCACGTCCACATCCGCGGATGCGTGCCCAGAGAACAATCGTATATTCAAGATCCAAAACCTGGACAAGAAGAACCCTGTGTCGGGCAGGCCAGTTGGATATAAGATCAATCCTCCGCCAACGCAAAAAGTCCTCGCCGACCCCAATAGCATCCAGGCACAGCGTTGCGCTTTCGCCACACACCATCTCTGGGTAACGAAATATCGAGATGGGGAGCTGTACGCAGCTGGAGAATATCCTCTCTCCAGCAAGAAGGAGAGTGGTGGTGTCGCGGACATGGTGGCCCGAAACGACGATCTACTCCAGGAAGACGTCGTTGTTTGGAGTAGCTTTGGCCTTACGCACAATCCTCGTGTTGAGGATTGGCCAGTTATGTAAGTCCCATATTCCCCCTAACGAATCATCTTTTTTTGTTTCATTCGTTACTGACGATTGGTGTCTAGGCCTGTGGAAATTTTGGAGCTCAATATCGTGCCCGTGGACTTCTTCACGGCAAATCCGGCATTGGATGTGCCCAGTGACAAGGACATCACTTCAAAGCTTACGAACGGAGCTTGCTGCAAGAGCGAGGCCCCGAGGCTCTAGGGGGAGATTGCATATTAAAGATGAACGGAAATTAGAGGGAATGTACCACTATCCTATGGGATTTCGTCTAAAATGGTAGCATTAGAGCCGAAGGATACATACTCATAACGATCAATGTAAGGTCTAGCTGTAGATTTTGAAAAATCCAACGTTGCTATGAGATGCAATAAATAATAAATGAATATTCATTATATCCTGTGCAGAACTTGCTACATAAGACAGCTAACTCGATAGCGTGGCTCAACTGGAAGAAGAAAACATTAGGTTATCAAGGTCAATAATCTAAGTGGGAAGGGGATCAGAATAATTATACGTACGTTCATCAAGCCATTGGGGCCACAAGAGACCTGGACGTAAATCCCTAATCTCCCATATATGATCCAACGCACCGACCATATCTCCACGGTCATATGAAACCCCCTGCGGGTTTTGTAGTCTTTCTCTGATGGCCATTCGCGCCTGTGACTCTACAGCCTCGCAACCGGCGACAAACAGGGGGAAGACAATGGCGTAGGAGACCCGGGACTTGACGTCTATTTTCGAAATCTCATCCACGACTAGCTGGGTCTGCCGGCGGACAAATGGCGCAGTAAAAGGGAGTCCGTGGATCCGGGCGTATAGAAGGATCGCGCATGCCGCATACATTGCTTCATTCAGGGCCAACACTTTGGCCGGATCGCCATACCCCGGAGGAGACTGCAGTACGTTGACGTCGCATTCACGCGCGTGAAGTAGCATCTCTTCGACCTCTGCCACCTCAGTTTCCCATGATGGGTCTTGGCCTTGGGGATGTGGGCTGTGAAGTCGTAATAGCTGTTTTTCAAGCAGCCGTCCGATGCGGAGCAGTGGGTTGATCAAGCGGGGAGAGAACATGAATATGGGGTGACTGACCCAACTCTCAAATGCCTGTGAAAATTTTTGATTAATTTCTCTTTCGCTCATTTCAATCATCCGGTAGGTCGAGTCATCAAGGGGAGGCCCCGGTTGCTGCAGGGAACACAGAGAGGTGATCAAACCCCAGCGAAACTCTGTGAGAGAGACTTCCGGGTACGTGGTAGGCGCGTTTGGATGAGGTCTCCAACTTGAGAGGAATCTAGGAACGAGGTTGGATGCTATCCGAAGATAATTGTGCCTCTCGGGACCAAAATAGTGCAAGATGCTAGCTGCAAAGATCATGGAGAGCAAGCTTTGCTCATCATCGGCTCCCGTTGCTATCTGATGTCGCATAGATTGAACAGCTTGGGAACATGCCAGCGTTTTTGTTCGTTCAAAAGCCTTTTTCTTGTGCTTTAGCTCGTACTGTGAAGCACTGAAACAAAGAATGGCACCTCGAAGGGCGGCGTTGGAGAGTGCCATGCCTGGTAGAGTGGTGGTGTATGGGTGTTGAAAATTGTAGAAGTGTCCAACATCTTCCCAATCTGCGCATAGATACTCGGATTCAATTATAGATATAAAATACCTCCAGAGAAAACGCCTCTCGGAGGATGCAAGCATGTCGTCTGGCCAGGGCACTAGATTATAGCTACTGGGCGCGAAGGTCGGATTCAACTGTCCCATCCTGGCTCGCAATGCTTTATTTGATGAAGAAACAGAGGTATTATGTTCTTGTGGTAGAAGAGAAAATGATGTGTTGTTACTTAGAAATGGCTGTACGGCTTCAAGATTGATGCCCGGGTTTGTTGAGACATCACCATGCTCACGTGGGCTTAAATCGACCGTCGTGGTGAAAGAAGATATCGCTGGTGGTTCTGCACACTGTTCATCTGAAATAATCCCAAAGAATTGCGTTGAATCCTGTGTTCCGGAAATGATAGCGTCCGACGCAGGCTCATAGCGTGGAGTCGGTACTGGCTCAAGGGGGTTGGGATTCGTTACGGATTGTTGCCCGAGGAAGGCACCAGAATGACTGGTTTTGGATTGGCATTGGACGAAGGCTGATTGTGTCGAGTTTTTGAAAGTCCGGGGCTGGCATGTCTCGTTATGTTTGATGCACTGCGAACACTGGGGATGTTTTCGATCACACTGCAACTTCAAGATTTAGAGCAGGCTCTCAGTTCCTTCTTTGCTTTAAGAGGATAATTTTGAGAATAGACAAGACCATACCTTTCGTTTTTTTCTTGCGCATTGCTCACAGGCCCCTCTCATCCGCCTTTTGGGGCCTTCATTCATATCTGGAAGGTCGAGGTGATACGAATCCTGGTTCTCTCGGAGATGAAATTACCAATTCCGACAATGAGCGCAGTGAGACCCGTATTTCAGAACCGCAGCTCACGTGATCACCCGATGGGAAACCGCAGGAAACCGCTTACCCTATACTCAAGAGAACAATGAGGACGAGTTCTGCCCAAGTAAAATTAGCACGCCTCGTAGACTACTCACCATAAGGGCTAGTTTATATACCCTAGATATTCAGTTACAATATATATATAGTTGTCTAATTTACTTTAGATAAATTCGCTATAGAATAGTTCGATTGCCTGGCAAGATCAATTGGTTGCTCCGTTTTCATATTTGCTACTACAGCTCCAGGCATCGTTCATATGACAAATAATGTATTTTGAGAACTAATTGTTCTTAGAAGGACCGCAAAGCTTTTTCCAGCATACCTAGCTGTAATAACACCATGCTCGGGTCGATGGTTTATCTTTTTCTCGGCAGTATTACGTTACGTTTCATCAACATGCGAGGTCGGCGACCATAGAGGAGCCAAACGGGGACACAGCCCACATGTGGCTGTCTATGCCCAGGCCTTGCGAACAGTCTTAGATGATATACAAACTAATAATAGTTGCCTTTACGATGAGATGAGTGTTCTTGCACATTGCAGCCTCCCTAGAAGGTTCATTAACGGTTGAGCCATGCGCCGGCAGGGAACATTCCTTGTTGATCTGCGCACCCACGGGAAGACACCTAAGAAGACAATATACGGTCGAGAGTGCGAATATATGCACTGAGAGGCAGAAAAGGCCAACGTTGGTCCTAACGGGTTCAGCAATTCAACAATTCAATTTGCAATTTGGCTCAATCTCGCAACTTGATTCTTGAAGGCGAATTGGGGAATGTAATTGATGGTCCCTGCGCCGCGAAAAGCATTGTTCGGCGAGCTGAATCCCTGCTCTTGGAGCGTGTGAAAGTGATTCCAACGCTTACATTGGCTCATATGCCCATTCCTTTCGGAAATGTGGGGTCTCATGGCCGGTAATTCTCTCCGAGTTGGCCTGTAATCCATCCTTCGAGCATGTATTATTGGGCATACGACAATGTCTGATATTTTCTTTGCTGATGGACATCGGCACAAGTCCTAAATGGAGATATCTCCTATCTCAAGTTACTCAATGCTTCTCGAAGATGTATATAAGACACATCTTTCCCTCCTCAAAGTTCTGTTGCCTCATCAAACCAAGACCAACAACACACCCACAACAAGTCAGCCGCTTCTACTTCTGGAGATTACTCACCAACCCATTTTCATCATTTTCTCTCTCTCAGCTGATTTTCAACATGGTCGCTATTAAGCAACTAAGCGTCGCTGCTGCTGCGATGCTCGTATTGACTGGCCAGGGGCTCGCCCAGGGATTCGACGGAGCGACTGACGATCTTGAACTGGCAGAGAGAGCCGAGTTGGATCTAGGAGCCCGTGGACTTCCTCCCTCGCGACCCATGCACGGGTCTGGGAGAAGAGCCGGCTCCAATGTTATGACACGGCCGCGAGAAACTGAACCCCGCGGCCGCGGCCACAGGTCTCTCGGCTATAAAAGACGACAACGAGGCCTGAAACTCCGCTCTGAACCCTCGACCCCCAAGGGGAAGGGTAAGCCTCCACCATCACCCAAGGCTAGCCCTAAGAAAAAAGACACCCAGGATCATTTGACTGCACTTAACGCGCTTTCTATGGGTCGCAAACTTGGCTTTAGACGACGTTCCGAACCTTCGACTCCTAAGGGGAAGGGCAAGCCTCCTCCATCACCCAAGGCCAGCCCCAAGAAGAAGGACAGCCAGGATGCTTTGAGTGCACTTAACGCGCTCTCAATTGGTCGCAGAATCGGCTAAATAGTGTCTTCAGGAATTGAAATGTCTAGAAGTCCTAGGGCGTCTAGTTACCGCTGATTAGAAGGATGAGTATCAAGGCAGCGACGGGGAGAGAGACTAGGGGTTTTTGTTTTCGTTTAACGCTTTCATTTTGTATTGTAGAATCAATTTCGGGAAAACTTCCCCTTTATCACTTCCACGAGCATTCCGCCCATCGATGCGTCTATTCAACGGAGCCTTGACAGTGATAAGAGGTCGTTTTTGGTAGGGATGCTAGGAAAGGTCATTCTTTTTGTCACTATTAGCTAGTTGTAGGAAAATTATTATTCTGTTCTTTTGTACCTTTTTTTTCCCGATTAATCTCGGACCAGGTTAAGTTTATCAATGAATAGCAGCGAGAGGGACATAATTCCATGAAGCGCTTATGCTTATATTAAAATACCTAGGTTTAAGTATATAAAATACACTACTCTAGTAGATATAAATATTTCTACTAAGCTTCCTATGATTTCTATTAAGCTTTTTAAAGCTCAACACTATTATATAAAATAATCCTATTACAGTCTACTTTTATTCGTAAAGTTAATAACAATAACTCATGCAATATTACGCCAGATGTGGTCCAGACCGCCTGTTTCCTCCCGGTCGAGATCCAATCTGCAGTATTGCTCTCGAACAACTAGGCAGTGTTCCTACGCGTCAACTTGCATTATCACATCAAGAGTGAGGCGGAAAGTGGGGCAAGTGACTCTTTCAGCCAGCCATTCGGACTATCAACTACCCTTCAGAGCCATGTATTGATGACTGATCCACTTCAGCAAGCGCCTTCATCTTTCAGCTATAAGGCAGAAGGCAAGCTAATGCGTTTGTAGACAGGGACTTGGGTGATATACATGTTTCTACCCCAGCTGTTTCTAGAGCATGCACCAGTAAGGGGTCATCTGTGGTCATCTTCGGTCATCTGCAGTCATCTGTGGTCATCGTTTGTCATACGTATTACAGGAGGATTGGTTGACAGTGCATGTCTCAGACGTAAGCTCATGTATCCTTCTATTACCTATATCCAATTCTCCATAATCCATTGGAGACCCAAGTGAGCGCAGCGTTAAATCTTCTGCCTTCCTAAAGTCGAAGAATCGTGTTCAAAAGTAGCATATTCAACTAAACAAAGAGCTACACCAAGAGAACATGAAAGCTCCGGGCGCACTCGGCAATGCTAGGAGAACACAGCTTGGCTTCCAAATCAGCTCTAAAACAAAAAGTGCTAAGCATGGAAGGGAGGCATGCTTGGCGTGCCTCGCTTTCGCGGCCGGGGCTAAGATTAAGCAGTCAGGTGGAGCAGTAACGGCGGCTCGGCTAGGGACGAAACAATACCAAGCTATGGAACGGCCCGAGACATACATAGTTCCCCTCCCAAAGACACGTTGAATGCTAACTCCTCTCAATACTCGCAAGGATCCTTTGTCCACCTTTTCCCTAATGGATGAAATTAGGTGGCGGGAAATAAGCCCTTCTAGCATATCTTTGCTTAAACGAGCTGGGTTGCTTAGGTGCAGCAGCCATCAGCCGACACTCGCAGACCTCCCCGCAATACTTCTTATGCAGACTACCGCACCTCTGACGTTGACTGAGTCTTGTTATGAGAACCTTATCACCGTTATAGTGGATGTTGACTATCCCGTAAGTATGTATAACCCTTGAGGGTGTGGAGCCAACACTACGATCCTACTTCAACAAGATGCCGAATCCTTTCGGGCTATTGATTGACGGCATTGTCGATCTGCGAGTGGCTGGCTGAGTTACGACGTAGACCTGCAAGTGATGAGCTGATATCCGCCGCAGGTAAGTCTCAAGTGGCTAGCTGATGTCTGCTATCGGTAGGCCTATAGGTCACGGGCTGTAAGTTCTCGGCCGCTCTAGATTTGTAGATCTGTGAGTACCTAGTAAGCTGATATTTGCTATAGGTAGGTCATCAGGCATCTCTTTGAAGAAGTACTGCTCAATCGTTTGGCCATTGCATGGCGACCTAGTCAGTCAGGCATAGACTGCCCGTTATACTAGTTCTTGACCCTTGTAAGTTGGGTATGAACTGACTACTGTATGTGATTAAATGCTAGGAATTTGGGGTAAGGAATCACCCACTTCACGGTCTCATTAGTTGGATATCTGTAGTAAGGTACCTGGGTGGCTGATTTTCATGGAGTTCTTACGCAACACTCTTGCATATACGCCGCAGAAGGACTCAAAACAACATTTTGGCCCATCTAAACCCTGCGAGGTCAGCTGGGTATGGACTGCCAAGGCCTTAGCGGGTGGGAGAAGGCTGGATTATCGAACTGTCTTGATAAATCGGCATGTCATCACGCAGCTGGAGTGCAGGAGAGGGGTAGGATGTGCATTAACTTTACAAATCTATTGGTAGTAACTGTCCCGTGGTTTAATTCTCTACGCAGCTTACGCGTGACGCGTTCTCCCTACTGTATTGGGTAGAGATGAGCTGGTGGTTAGGTGATTGTGTAACTTTACATGCTGGCTTTTGAAAAGGATCTACACCTTTCTTCGAGACTTTCAACGAGTGCGGACTTAAATCCAGCTTGTCCCCCATCTAAACATTTCCCAGCAAATTCAGCTTACCTTTACGATTCCCTAAGCAATCTCAGCCTTCAAGCAAACATCGACATTCCATCTACAAGTGTAGAAAATAATCAGGATGGATTCCTTTGACCGTCTCAACCATCTCACTCAGCCTGCGGTTAAGAATCTTCCCAAGCTAGAACAGCCCGCCGCTGTCTACACTCGCTATGCCGTCAAGAGCGAGGGGGATGCTTCCGTTAGCGCATCCAACGCGACCGTGCAGACCAAGATTTGGTTCAAATCGCCGGTCGGTTTCTTGGCCTATACATTTATTACTGGCAACAATGTAGCTGACTCTCCTTAGCCACTCACCACCCTAACCCTCCGTATGATTCGCGCGATTAAACTCTTCGCAGAGTCGCACGATCAAGGGGGCGTCTCCGATTTGGAGAAGGGCAACTGGACCTGGCTCGAGCTAGTCGTCCTCGACAACAAAGACGCGACGTCTCCTAAGAAGGACCGCAATGGCAAGGAGCTTGTCGTCACAAGCCACTCCAACAAAGTCAGTTCCTCAGCCTACGAGTGGATGCAGGGCGAGACTTTTGACGCGAGCCGCCACTTTCTGAAGTCGCTCGAGGTGAGTACAAGTTTTTCCCAAACCCTCCTCGGGCTCTGACTGACATGATGACACAGGCTGGAAATGTGATCGCAGTCCGGCTTTGCGCTCGCTTCGGTGGTTGGGAGATCTTTGCGAGGAATGGACACCTCGTTATTGACATTAGCGATGACAACAGTAAGTATAAAATCAATAAAGCAACTTCATTATGACCACGTTTGCTAATCTGAGACTCCTGACCCTTTCCCGATCACCCCCATTTCCATCAATACCAATGATGCGATTCCTCCTCGCCGAAACATTGAGACCTGGTACGAAGAGGCGAAGACCAACAACAATACAGCGCTCGAGCTCTCTTTGTTCATTCGAGCCGTGAAGGTCTTCCAGAGCCTCCCTCCTGACGACCAACTCTCGTTCTACCGCATCGCCGGCATTCACGGCTATCCCTACAATGTTTCGTGGAACATGGGTGAAGCGCCGATCCCACTCGATGCCGCGGACATCAACACCCGGAAGAAGGGGAATGAGGGTGGTTTCTACTGCCAGCATAACAATTACTTATTTCCCACTTGGCACCGCGCGTACATGATGCTATTCGAGGTATGTACTATCCCTTTCACACATTCAAGATTAGGAGACTGATAATGTATGTAGCGACGAGTCAGTGACCTCATGATGGAAGAAGCTGTGACTCGTGGCAAGGAAAACAAGCAATGGGTTTCTGCTGCAAGCCGTTGGCGTTTGCCCTACTGGGACTGGGCTGTGAAGCCGCGTCTTCCCGAAATAGCCCGTGACGAGAAGATTTCCATCGTCAGCTCTTGGAACGGCCAGGGCCAACCCCAGTATGAAAGCGTGGATAACCCCATGTATCGATTCCAGATGCCTGGCCACAAGCCAATGGGCGATGACACATACGGCGACTACCGCATCGACAACAAGGAAGATACCCCGGTAAGTATCAACCAGCGGAAAGCCTTGTAGCCTTGCCACGGCCATTCTAATGAATAGTTAGTGGGAATTGTGCATTGGCACCAGCCGCCACGGCATCACACTCCGTGACAAAGAGCGAAAGTGGGTTGAGGGAGTGTCCAACAACGAGCAAGTGGACTTGTCCCTGCAGGGCGTTCACGAAGACCTGAACAACCTCACGCTCAAGGACGCCGTCTTTCGCCTGCTTACGCACGATTACACCACTAAATACGTGCACTTCGCTTCTACTAAGCATGACGAGGAAAAGCTGGAGAAGGCACCGGGAGACACTGCCAAGGGTTATCTCAACCTAGAGCAGATTCACAACAGTGTCCACGTAAGTTTCTTTTTTCTCATCTCATGCAAGTTTCAGGTCTTTGGGATAATATGACTCATCTATTCATAGGACTTCATTGGCGGCAGTACAGATCGTGCTGGTATGGGCCACATGGGCTCAGTCCCAGTGGCCGCATACGACCCCGTTTTCTGGCTGCATCATTGCAATATTGACAGACTGCTTCACTTGTGGCAATGCTCCAACCCGGGCAACTGGTTCCACCAGAAACCGGGCCAAGTGGTCTCCGACAGCCCTCAGAAAGATCTTGTTCCCTTCCATGCTTCAACTGAGCCCGATGACTTCTTCAATTCCAACAAAGTGCGCCATGTTGATGCGCTTAACTATACCTATGACTACATGGATCAGATCACCGATGAGTTTGGAGACATGATTCCGGAGAAGAGCCACGTCTACATCAACAAGCTGTACGGGCCCCCAGCACAGGCCTTCCAACATCGCGAAGAGTCAAAAGATCCTCTCATCAATATCGTCTACAACCGGTATGTTCCAGAGACTCCCTCCCCATATTACTTGCATTCTTTACTCTAACATTTCTTTTTTCAATTTAGCTACTGTTTGAGCGGCAAATCATACACCTTGCTCTTTTTCCTTGGCGAGGTTGACCACAAAGCGCCATACAACCAACAGAAGAATCTTGTCGGCAGCATCTTCACATTCAGCACTGCCCTCAAGGAGGACGCCATTACCTGCAAGAACTGCTATGAACAGAAGCGTGCCAATGTCCTGTCTCGCGCCCAAGTCCCGCTCACGCGTGCCGTGCCCATCGAGTACCGTGAGAAGTCAGCAACGGCCATGAGCTATTTCCAGAAATATCTCAAATGGACTGCCATCAATGAAACTGGCAAGGTGATTGCCAGGGAGAAGTTGACAGACCTGAAGATCACACTATTCATTGGAGTGAATCAGCTTCAAGGCAGTTTGGGCAGGGAGTCATTGTTCAAGTTTGATGATTATGAGAGACAGGAGTTCAACTGGGAGAGTGCTTATTTTGCTGGCGCGGCTCAGTTTGCAGGCTAGGTTGAAAAGGCTCGTATTCGGTCTGTGTAATCGAAGCAATATTGAATAGGTGAAGCGTTGGACGGTTAGGTAGCCATAATATGTCTCAGCAAACTCAATATACAGTCAGAGGCCTGGGGAAAAGAAGTTGCCGTAGCTACAGCTCTTAAACAGAGTTTCCTAGACAAGTTACTTTACCCACTAGGCTACCACCTTGGCTAGGTCTTAATTTGGATGAGGAGTTTCAAACCGAGCCCATCATTGCCCCAAATTTTTGGTGATCGCCAAGGGAAGGAAACAGAACGAGAGATCAAAGACTGCTTAGAGTATGGTAATTACACGTGGAAACTTGAGTCGTTCTATATGGCCACCAATCCTTGGGCAATTTAATTGAAGCCTCATATCATGCTTGTTTCTAAGTTTTGTTGGTAGCTCTGGGTGCCAAACGATATACCATTGTGCTACCAGTCATGACCGCCAAGGATGACCTGCTGCCCGGGCTTTTTCAGAGACAGTGCTTTCATGTTCCAAGGAGCACTCAGACCACAATATTCTAGCATATCTGGGGCGATGACCTGATAACCGAGACCTATGAGATGAGACATTTGATGAGGCCAATTGTAGGACAGATTGAGGAGACCTTGGAGGAGAATAACCTTTCCAATAGACGGTCCATCTGGTTTGGAATGTAGATAGTGATATATTCTGCACCCGATTTATTTGGAAGCTCTGGTGTGAGCAGAGGAAAGGTCTTATTCCTCACCCACCACCCGAGACAGCCCATCCCAGAATCAAACAGATTTTCGCAAATGCCCTCCACATTGGCGCAAAGTAATAACGCTTTCTGCTAGGCTAGGTGCACTTACAGCCCAGTCTTCATTTTTGAGCACACTTAGAAATGCCACTATATCTTAACAATGAGATAATAGAGCATTGCTGGGCCGCTGCTGGACTGGTTTCTACCCATTTGGCACTTCTCACGTGTCTAAACATCGATCAAGGTTTTGCTGTGCTGACATCCGATCCAAAGTTTTGTGTCATCGTCAAAAGTTCAACAACCAGAAGATGACCTCTGTCACGAGCACATTCCAGAGCTGTTTTCCCTTCCCTTAGGTCACGGTAATTAGTATCAGCCTTTTCAGCAACTAGAAACTTTACAATCTCAAAGTGGCCTTCCTTAGAGGCAGCAAGAAGAGCTCCATCGTTGTGTTTTGTAGGAGGAGCATTGACATTAGCCCCTTGAGCCACTAGAACCTTGACAATCTCAAGGTATCCTCTAGAGGAAGCAGCTACAAGAGCTTCAGTAGCGTTGATATCAACTGGTAGGTTGACAAGATACTCTACAATATCAAGATGGCCTTCTCGAGCTGCAGCCTGGAGAGCGTTAGGGCCATCATATTGAATATCATTTGCACCAGCAGTGATTAATATTGATACCACTTCCAGTCGGCCCTTTTCTGATGCTCTCATTAGTAACCGGGTGGGGAAGTCCTTTACAACTTCATGTTCTTGAACGGCGTCCAACACAATGTCCAGCACCATGCTCAACATTTTCGCATTCCCTTCGCAGGCAGGAATAGCTATCCAAGCCACTATGTCTTGGAAAGCCTGCCACTCCCCCTCTAGCGTTATTTTTTTCAATACTATTGCTACTAAAGCATAGTGTTGATGGCGCAGAGCCCATCGGAGTGTGGGCATTTGCAGTTGTTTTGAACCACCTCCGCTCCAAGGTTCCACTACTAAATCGTGGCCTTCGTTGATGATCCCTTGGAGTAGATTCCACGTGGAGGACCTTCCTTCTTCGAAAAGGGTGGTATGAACAAGCCAATTCTGTACTGCGTAATCTAAGAATGGATATGAGGCTTGCAAGGATGTCATAGGTATCTCTGCGCTGATATTTTGATAACTCTGAGGTGTGCTGAGGTTGTACTTGCAATCATTTATTTGATCGCCTGATTTCTGATCCATCAGGAGTCTGGCAAGTTTTGCGCGCTTGCCATGACTGCCAATGGCAACAAGTCCTATCGACCTAGGCTGGAGTAGGCGAGTCTGTTGTTGCCGAGCCACGGCTTTCTGAAAGTCGCCATAATGAAGATATGTGATGCACTTTTCTCCAGCAATATGATCCGCCTCCTCCAAAAGAACGTGGAAGTCGGCAAATTTTACGTCAGAACAGCCTTCCGTGATAAACTGAAAAATTGTGTGATGCGCAAACTGGACAGATTCGTCCTCTTCGTCAACATGAACAAGATTTTCGCACCAGATGAGGATACGCCCTTTATCGTTGACCCTCCTCCCACGTACTGAGTGTGTCTGGCCCACTTCAATAGACAGAGCATCGCAGAGTTCATCGAGGGTGAGAGGTCTTGCCGCCGCGACTAGCCAAGGAATGACCTTTTTGACAAGGCTATCTCTATTTTGCGCCACTATTCGTAGGAGCACACGATTGAATGTTTCCTTGAGATTTTTCGGCAGAGTTTTGAGGCATTTCCGGATATCGTCGTCACAATATTGTGCGCATAGGTCGTCCAGGAGAAATGTTACCCAGAGGAACCTTAGATGAATCAGCCTAGTCATATTCCAGGCAATATTTGGAATTACTTACATTCCGTCCGCATGTTTAGTCAGTACGTGTTGGATCTCGTCCAGAAGAGTCTGGTCTCTAGTCGCCAAGATTCCTTTCTCGCATCGTTCCAGGATCATACTTTCGACGTATAGCCCTAGATCAGACTTCGCTTCGCTAGATGTCATTGATATCTGCTCAAGGCTAGGAAACCTCTTTGAAAGTTCACTTGCTAAGGCTTCCCGGCCGGAAAGGAAAATCCTGATTGCAGATTCATGACTATGCATAAGAGAGAGTAAGCTGTCGAAAAGCATGTGTTGTTGGGCAAATTCGCACTCATCCACACCGTCCAGGAATATGTAGAACCGTTCCGATAGTCCAATTATTTGTCCAAGAAAGGCAATTAGATCATCCCGAGAAGAAAAGTTTTCATCTTCCATATTCTTTAATCTGTTAATCATATCCTGGGATAGTGTGACGAGCTTTAGGGATTGCCTAATGACCGAACGTATCATAGTTTCCACCTTGAGTGACTGTGCATTTCCGTACTGAAAGAAATGATAAGTGACGAAATCTTTTTCAGCTTTGTTGGCTAGTATATGTTGAATCGAGCTTGCACTGTAAGGGGGGTTTAGTGAGCACATGATGGAGACAAGGTGACTATGGGTACTGACCTGGTGATGGTTTTCCCGGATCCGACTGTACATTCGGTCTTAGTGTACGATTATTATTTCTTATTTAATTTTCAACACTTACTTTTTCCGGTAACCCAAATTACATTGGAAGAGGTTTTCCATCGAGTGAATTCGGAAGTTGAAAATAGCCATTCGGTGGTCGTCGGGCATCGCCGTTTGCAGGCCTCACGAAAAGCAGCAAAATGGTCGAACGATGATAAGCCTTTGAGTAACTTTTGTATTTGGCTGTCTGACTCATAGGTTAAGGCACAATTCTAGACATCGGGAAGCAAAACAACTTACCGGATTCTCTCTTTGCTTGCTGCAATCGCATTTCATCAAGTCTGGCATTTTGACTCCTTGAGCTAGAGCCGAGTTTCCCAAGTTTCCGCTTTACAAGCTTTTGGTCTTCTGCTTGCATTTCTTGATACTGATGATCTGCTTTAGCTTTCGCTAGGTCTATTTGGAACCTCACGATATCTCCCTGCCTCTGAATTTCCTGCTTGTCGCCATCGAATTCTTCTTCAAAAGATCGAAAAGCTTGCCAAAACTTTTGCATCGCTTCGAGAAATGTAAGCAAAGCCCTGGCTTTGTGATCGAATAAGACAAACCTGGTTGTTGTATTATTTGCACAATATGTGTGCAGCAGCGAATTATCGAGGCGTGGAAGTCACAAAGAGCTTTCTTGAGTTCTTTGGACGTGGGATATAGGGCTTGATATTCGTCAAAGACTGGACAATAGGCTTTTATCTTGATAAAAAGCGCTGTGAATGGTTCGAAATATGAAATATAGTTCGATACAAACTGTAGAGTTAGTATATATGAGTAATAGGGTTTCATAACGCCTACCTTCAAAGTAGTTTTGATACTGCCCCAAATGAGAGCAGCAATCTTGGGATCGGATGATACAAAGGTATCAACGATCGCAGTGTACTGACGAACCGACTCGAGAACAGGATGCAGTCGCGTAGCAATGCTACGTCCCCGTCTGGATGGGTTGGCCAAATCTAGCTGGGCTGTAAATGTCAACACGGCATCTACAGGAGGAATCTTGTCGTCCTTTTCGAATTCTTCAAGTTCGCTTTCAAGGCCATTGCCTTTCAATACGTGTTTGAAGCTTTGAATGGCCTCTTCGACCGCTTTGCCGGCAGTATCGGGCGTAGTGCGGACCTTACTTAGGACCCTACTCATAGACTTTGAGGTGACGGAAGTCATTGTGGCAACCTAGAGTAGAGAAAAAGAGTATGTCAGACTACTATTGCGAAGTGCGGGGAGAGGGAGCCGTTGGGTCACAGTTCACTTTCGGCTGGGAATGACTGGCTTATGTCAGGGGTCATCGCAGGGACTGTTGTGGCTTGAAGGCTGTGCATGAGAATGAGCCCAACAAAATGCCCAATGACGCCGCTAAGTTGTGGTAGCCCTACTCAACAGCTGACTAAACAAGAGGAAAGACTTACAGGTGTTCCATGTAAATAAATGCGCCCATGTATTGGTCAAAGACAAGATGGATGGCACACTACAGGTAGACAACGCCCAATGGTGTACCGAGCACTGCCCAACGCGGGGTGCAGCACCTCTCAGCGCATTATACAGGACAGCCTTCCTGTGATGACTTAATAGCATAAAAGTCCACTTATCGTGTGAGCTGATTTGGAAAATATGTTGACGCACCTATCTGAGATTTACTAAGCGAACGCACTACCTTAGGTGGCTTGGACAATAAGGGGGCAACCTTAGCGAAGTTATCGCGAGAATCCTAGTTTCGCCACGTCTAGATTATGAAATATGCAACGAAGCTCTTCCATCCCCAAAAAGAGTCCCAGTATGCATAAACACTCATACTTTCCAATCATAGTTCGCGAACCAAGTTTCGGTATTAATCATTCGACCCCGATGCGCAGCCCATGTTTAGCATTCTGTGATATGATGCGGCTAGTAAGAAACAATGTGCTTGTCTTTTTAGTCATTACCAAAGCAGGTTTGATCGGGTGTTCACAGATGCTCCAGTAATTAAAAGGAGAAGGAGCTGAAGCATCTAACTTTAAATATCACGGTACTCAATGTTTAGCCTGCTCCAGTTGTGTCACCAGGAGTGCACCGCCGAATGGACCCGGTGGAAGGTTGAGTAGATGAGAATGTTAACGCTACGCCATATCAATACCACATGGTACAGTATATTATGAAAAGAAGTATCTTATGTACATAGAATTCAACAGATGGCTACTACGAGTGCTAAAGTTGTATAGTTGAAAGAAGATGACTGTACGTTGAGAAGCTGCCCCCTCTCTAGGATAGACTCAAGGAGACTCCTCCGTGAAGAGATTTCAGGTTCAAGAATAAACTGAGCCTTCTGCTAGGACTCTTATTTATCCTCATAGAGGGCTTCTTTTGTCGAATCTATGACGGCCACGTATGAGATACTTCTTATTGACACGGAATAGGAAGAGAGGGATCAATGGGGTCCAACATGAGTTAAGGGCTAGGCCCGATACGTCCTTGAACCCAACTTCGGAAGAGAAATAAGCACCCCATACGGCCCCGCAGGGAGTTTGGGTTACCATTAGAGGTGATTTAAATGAAAGGCCGCCAGTAAACAATTAGGTTAGTCCCGAATATGGCGCTTTTAATAATTCACAGATTCAGTATTAATGAGTCTTGATCCCAGTCCTTAATTTTTGGTAGACAACGACTGATATCATTTTGAATTCCCAGATACGCAAGTAACCATTACTTATCTAACAAACTGCCGAGTCTCCTCTACATTCGGAGATAACGGCAGAAAACAATCGACAGGGTTTAGGTTTCGGATCTACTAATTTGACCCCTTGTTGATGCTGTCCTCCAGGGTCTTCCCAGTGCGGGGATAGCAAAACGGACATTCCGCCCTCTCACCGCCCCTCTTGGCGTCTGTCACTCTCTGGGAACTAGTCTATTCTTCTAGTAACTTGGATGGTCCTACGGCTGTCGAAAGCCTTGCTCACCCGGCTCGACCCGGTTCACTGCAAATGATAGGTAGGCACTCCAAAATATGGCGACGGTGTTGGAAACAAGTAGTCGATACTGAAGAGGAACGTAGAAAAAGTTTAGAAAGGATACCGCTGGAAAGAATCAACTCAGGAACCATTCTAGTTCAGATGTGTTGTTTGATGCACCTACCTGGCCATAGAGTGTAGTTTCTGAGTAGCACCTGCGTGAATGAACTCTGAACATTTTGCTGAGCCGCTGACAATCTATCTTGGATGGTACCCGTGGAAGGCTGGAGGAGCTCGGTTAGGTAGTATAGTCCTACAATCGACCCAGGGGCAAAGATGGCTTGGTCGGCTAGAACTCGAGCAAGCACGCTACGTGTGTGAGTTGACAGTTGGATTCTCCTTTGGAGTAGTCGGTACCTGATTTGAGAGAAGGAGTAAGCATGATTGCAACATATACATCTAGGGAGGGAAAGCCTACCATACAGCCATAGTCGGACCTAGCGCAAGCCCTCCAATGGTCGTCATTCGCAAGGTTCTCTCCCAATCCCATTTTGATTTTTCAATGTGAGCACTCGTAGAAACACCTTGAGCGATCACGTCGCCAGCTGCATAGAGTGACTGCAGCATCCTGTTAGGGGTAACAGTGTGTTTGGGAGAGTCAATTAGTGACTTACAGCGGCAGTGATGCTCTGGGTTAATAGTGGCCTACGAGTCAGAGCGCTACTGTAGGCCTGGAAAAGCCGAGAGGCCATTTTGAGTGCTATAGTTGGTCTTGGGGAACTCTTATTTGAAACAATCGAGGAGGGTAGATTCCTGGTCCTTTCCAAAGAAGCTGCTGTAATAAAATATATCCACGCACCTACCGAAGGACTTGCTTTAACCCCTGTTAGGAAGGCTTTATAGAGGAAATCCACACCATCACGCAAAAACGACGAGACAGCTCAAGCGCCCTCATCCCTCGGCTAGTCCAAGATCTGAGACCCAATCAGCATAACCAAATATAAGCCAATTTCTGTGACGTTACATCTATACGCGACCCATACCGGCAGAAGTGGAGAGGCTGACGGTCTCACCATTTTGGGTAGCTCCGTCTCCGCTGACTCTTGTATCGAGCAATTGATATGTGCATGTTCGCTGTTTGGCATCGGATCATTGTCTAATTTGTTCTAATCAAAAGCATCATGTACTTTTATTAAACATAAGCATTACAATATGGCTTTCGTCAGACCTGCAATACGGACACTGAGATACCCAGCCGTTCGACGGACACACAGTAGCGTGCGAGGCCTGGCTTCTGCGGTACTTGGAAACAGGTCCGAGGGCTCTATTGGAGATGCATTCGCTTCTCTGTCCACGAATAACTTCGAGCTTCCTCCTCGATTTAGTAGCTTGAAGCAGCAGCTGGTTGGCCAGAACGGGGAGGCAATACTTGATAGCTGGCTGCGTCTTCTCCAGCATCTGGAGGAAGAAACAATTCCCAGCATCAATGAGCTCAGTCATTCAATCATCCCCGAGGTTAACTTCAGCTCCATTGTCGAGAATGGCGGTCTGCTTCCTGAAAATGCAAAATCTTTGCTCAAAGACCGTGGCACGATTGTGATCCGAGGGTTGGTGTCAGAGAGACAGGCACTCGAATGGAAGCAGTCCGTTCGCGAATACGTCAAGAAGAACCCTTCAACTAAAGGTTTCCCAGCCAATGACCGTCAGGTATACGAGATCTATTGGAGCAAGGCCCAACTTGAGGCTCGGGCACACCAGAACATGCTTTTAGCACAGGCAGCATTGAACCTTGTTTGGGATAAACAGGAACACGACAAGGTGGTGTTGTCTGAAGCCGTAGCCTACTGTGACCGCTTAAGGATGAGGATGGTCTGTTTAAACCCCCTTCATTGATTGATTCCCTTGCTGACTTATATGACACCAGCCCGGAGACAAGTCTTTCAACCTGGGTCCTCATCTCGATGGAGGATCGTTAGAGCGATGGGAAGATCAAGAATACCGCAAATGCTATACGGAAATCCTAGAAGGCCATTGGGAGGATCACAATGCTTTCAACGTTAGCCCTAGACTGAATGCTACCGTCGATATGTACAACGGCCCCGGGGGTTGTTCTGCGTTCAGGTCGTATCAGGTAAGAATTACATCGAGATAATACTTTTGGGATAGGTTTGACTCACCTCGCAGGGCTGGCTTTCACTCTCGAACTGTGCGCCAACAAATGGATCCCTTCGAGTTTTCCCCGATCTTAAAGCCTCAACAGCTTATACACTTCTACGGCCCTTTGTGACAAAGACTGGTGACCGATGGTCTCTGGACACCAAGTCTCCCATTTTCCACGGGACTGCGATGGGTGCCGGCCAAGAGCTTCTTCCAAGCCTTCATTCTCATATAAGTCCGGGAGGCTTTGTCACTATCCCGACCGTACGTCCGGGTGATGCAGTATTCTGGCATTGTGACACTGCGCACATGGTTGAGGCCGAGCATCAAGGCACGGAAGATGCCAGCGTATTTTATATCCCCTCGTTTCCCTTGTGCAATATCAACGCCAGCTACCTGAAACGTCAGCGGGAAAACTTTTTAGGCTTGCGTCCACCACCTGACTTTCCGGGGGGTATTGGAGAATCAGAGCATGTAGATGCCGGCTCAGTCGCGTACCTATCTCCAGAAGGGAAACGTGCGATGGGGTGCAGTCCATTTGACCCCAACTTGGCATCCACTCCAGGTGAAAAGTCAGCATATGAATTTGCTAACAAAACGCTTGAGTTCGATTAAGCCAGATCGCTCTGGTTTAAGAAATATACCCTTAGTTCGTTTCGCCACAAGTGGCTCATACCTTTGACACTGTGTTTAGATTCAAGTAAATGATAGTGAACGCGGCTCTGAACTACTTTCTTTCACCACAAACTCAGACACTGTGGCTAATTTCTGAGTCCCATCTTCATTCGGTCGCCTAATTCTAATACATTTGGTTTTAGTAGAATTATGTTTCTAAGGACAAGATGCGTATCTGAACATTTTTATCACCGGCCTAGGCCCGCATATTTGCTTCCAAACCACGTTACGAGTTTACTCGCCCATCCCTGACTATGGAAAGCACAAATACTGACTGGTGCCTGTCACAATTATTCCATGCCAGAACACCGAATTGACAAAAACTTGGGGGCCAGGAGGGAAGAGAGAGAATATCTCAGATGACGTGAGAAAACACCTTTCCGGAGATGCAGGGTGTGCTGAAAAGCCGGTGTATGATTAACACGAAGTTTTTCTCTGAATCATGAATCGAATATTTCCCCACGTGGAAGCTACCCTGTAGAATAAGTAAGTGTCCGTAAAGTCCGAAGACTTACTTGACTGGCGTTGCTTTCGTCAACGTGGTTCATCATCGCAGCTGCTCCTGAGCGCTAAAAGATTTACATTTTATATCCAGAAATGATTTTTGATGTCGGAATATTAATTACTTCAAGTGTTAGTGAATAATGTTACTTATCCCGAGATTGCCTCCGGATGTGTGCTTGGAGTCTTGATTTAGAGTGCGCCTACTTCGTGCGCTATGGTGTTTGGCTTGTCGCAAGAAACATGCCAAAGAATGAGCGGCGGCTCATGTATTTTCAATCGTGGTATATCATATCTCCCTAGAGAGCTACTGAAGATTCTTCTGTTAAACCTAGAACGTAGTTGGCCGAGACGAATGTGGTGGCTTACGGGGCGGGAAGAGCCCTGGGAAACCCTTGAATCTCTACCCAGATTACACATTACCAGCCTAAATATACATTTAAAGTCAATGGTCTCGAACAAGACAAGCAATAAGAGCTAGAAGTCCGAAATTCCGGTAGCATGACGACGCGAGCGTATTCCGGACTCTGCTTCCTCCATCTTAAGCGGAGCACCCCAAAGCCGGGGAAGAGGGTGACATTAAGACGGGGACGATGCCTGTTTTCATTACTTCATTGTTTTCAAATTCGGCAATAGTTTTTGTCATTCACGTATCCCTGAATTAAGTAGATTTGCTATCGAGCTATATATGGAGACGAGTATACTATGTCATTTTATAAAGTAAGATCAATGAAAATCAAAATCCAGGATATCGTACATCGTATGCCACGTTAGCTAGCTCACCCGACCACATAAGACCACATTGTCAAATCATGTCATCTAGAACATGCTCTCAGCTTCATCTCTAATATCACGAGGAGGGATTTTAGGCTGTAACACTGCCCAAGGGCAAGGAAAGTACGCGCTGCTCCCACTCGGCGAAGATTCGGAGGACGAGTCCCGGCCGGCCAACCGCTAGAGGCCGGTTTCAACAATGCTGATGTTCCTACTTCTACTACATGCTCTCTATTAGTTCGCCGGCTGCCCGGTCTCCGACCGGCAGGGAAATTTGGATAACCCAGTGCTGATACCACGAGTGTGCCGAATGCCTAATTAAAATGGACATCAGGGGTCTCCTTCAGGCTCCCCAGCCTCCAAAACTCTGCAGCAAATGCTGTGGGGTCTCCTAGAGCGCCGATTACTCTTCCACTAACTGGCTCTACAGCGGTTTAGACTGGCACTGGCGCTCGGCTAAGTCGGATCAACGCAGCGGGGCGAGAGACCGGACCGGCCGGATAACACGGGACAGTAGTGGCAACTCTAGCTCCCATTGTGGTTTTTCTTGGTGCTTGACGTGCCAATCCATTTCCATCACGGTAGTATTGTGTCTATCAGTATTCTAGGGGAAGTGATCAGGTATTTTCTGAGAGGGATAGTGTTGTTATGGGATAGGATGGAAAAGATATCAACGACAGACTGTCGTTGTGTGTTGGTGGCTTGCTATTTCGTTCCAGATGCCAGAGTACGAAGGCACAGACTCTTTCTTGACAGTGTCCCAAAGCAATGACCCCTGTTTCTACCCAAGGGTGGATCTTCGTAGGTTCATGTTCTCTGCAAACATGCCTGGTAATCAGCTTCCTACTGATTTGAACGGTGAAAACCCTTGGCTTAAAGATTTATGCATCTCCATGAACAGTATGGGGGAGCTTGGGGATATGGTCATTCTCGTACGTAAGTCACAGATATCCCCAAGATTGTGGTTCTGAATTACTCACCAAGCATATTACCATTGGCACATCGTTACGTACAACTTACATAACACCCCATATCCTGGAGAGAGGCATGGAGTTTAGCTGGGACAAATGGATATCTTGCCACATAGAACTGCAAGGTCGCCTGATGACTCAGGATGGTGGTCGAGATGAGCCTCCTATTGGACCGTTTTTCTGGACCAAGAGTAAAATGAGAATTCCATGACACTAGTGGCGGCCATAGCGTCGATTTACTCGCATCACTTCTGCATGAATGGAGGAAGCCTGTCAACTTAATGTCCCGCAGCCGCTGGCGTGAGGCCCTTCCAGGTACCGGGGACGTCATCTTCTCTGCGGCTGATTTGGTCCTTCTAGAACAAATCCCTGTGTCCCCGTGTATGCCGTTATCTTCACACGTGCCCACTCCCGTTCACTTCGTCTTCTCACCTGGGGCTCCACGAAAGACCACCAAAAAGGCTGATGAATGACTCGGGAACCACCTTTGATTAGCTCCCCGGCCCATTCGGCCGTCCCAGACATATATCTACTTCGCTCTGTGCTGGCCACCAACCAAGTCTGTCCCTCCCACCTCTTCCCTATCCCCCATTCTCCTTTCCCCTCATCGTCTCTGTTACCTCGTCATCATGGACGAAATACAACATGCCGAAGGCAAGCCAAGCAGGCATCTCGATGATTCAGCCGCCCTTGCCCAGCTCGGCCACAAGCAGGAGCTTCAACGCAACTTCTCTATGGTCTCCATGCTTGGTCTGGCCTTCGCTATCCTGAACACATGGACAGCCCTCTCTGCCTCCATCAACCTTGCGCTCATCTCTGGTGGGCCTAGTGCTGCTATTTGGGGTCTCATCGTTGCCGGAATCTGCAACCTCTGTCTCTCTGCCTCCCTTGCCGAGTTTTTGTCTGCCTACCCAACCGCTGGTGGCCAATATCACTGGGCGGCACTTGTCAGCTGGCCACGGTACGCCAGAGGCCTCAGCTACATTACCGGATGGATCAACGCCGCTGGTTGGGTCGCTCTTGCGGCTACAGGTCCCTTGCTAGGCAGTACTTTTGTGATGAATATCATCGCCTTTATGAACCCCGACTACGAATCAGAGGCATGGCACCAGTTCCTCATCTACCTTGGCTTCACCTCCATTGCCCTGATCGTCAACAGTTTCGCCACTCGACTCCTTCCACTCTTTAACCAGGCCGCGTTCCTGTGGAGCATGGCAGGTTTTGTCATCATCAGTATCACCGTGCTAGCCTGCGCCGCCCCTAACTATCAGAGCGGCGCCTTCGTCTACGGCAAGTTCGTGAACGAGGTTCAGTGGCCCGATGGGCTTGCCTGGCTCCTCGGTCTGCTCCAAGGAGCCTTTGGACTTACCGGCTTTGATGCAACCGCCCACATGATCGAGGAGATTCCCGAAGCGAGAAAGACGGGCCCCAAGATCATGCTGTACTGCATCGTTATTGGCATGTTCTCCGGATTCATCTTCCTGACCTGCCTGCTGTTTACTATTCAGGACCTCGACACTGTCATCGAATCCCCGGCCGGCCCGCTACTGCAAATGTTCTTCGACGCCACGAAAAATAAGGCTGGGTCTATTTGCCTACTCATGTTCCCGATTCTCTGCATGGTCTTCACCTCGACCGCCCTCATGACTACCAGCGCACGAATGACATATGCTTTCGCCCGAGACAAGGGTCTCCCCCTAAGCCGTGTCTGGGCTGTTGTCAATCCCACTCTGGGAGTTCCTCTCAATGCCCTTCTGTGGACCACCGGGTGGATTATTGTTTTTGGTTTGATCCTGCTGGGATCGTCAAGTGCCTTCAATGCCATCACTGCCGCTTCCGTCGTCGCGCTGGGCGTAACATATGCCATCCCACCCGCAATCCACCTGCTCCGTGGAGGTAACTTGCTTCCTGAGGACCGCCACTTCAAGCTTAGCACCCCAGTAAGATGGATCTGCAGCTTGGTCGGTATTGCCTGGGCCATCCTGACCACTGTCCTCTTCGTCTTCCCCCCGGAACTACCCGTTACAACAGCCAACATGAACTACTGCATCGCTGCATTCGGTGTCATCTTGCTGATTGCCATGGCAACCTGGTTCCTTGACGGCCGGAAGAACTATGATGGGCCTGTCATTGAGCTTGCGCAAAGTCATGAGATTGTGGGACAGGCCAAGGATGAGACAACATCCCACGATGAGGATGAGAAGAAATAGACGGCTTCTTTGAGGCAGGCTGTATAATACCTTTCGTGTCAATTGTAGAATTTTCCATAAGCCCATTTACATATAAAGCAATTGAGTTCTGTTTATCTATCTAGAGAAAATGCGAAGTGGTCAATGTGTGCGCCAAAATGCCGCTCTTTGGAGAAAGCAGCGTGATTTGAATGATCCGGCCCGACAAACGCAACAATCTTATATTTCGAGGTGATCATACTATGTGATACACGTAAAATAATCGTTCTAAGCCCACATGCTACAGCCCATGCCTTTCATCACTGCCAAATGGTAATCGACATTCGTATCCAGGCACGGGGCTCAGGGGTTGTTAGAAGAACATGGACCGCAAAGTCGGCTCGGTGGGATCACTCTGGCAGTCACACAACAATACATCCTATTTTACAGTAATATATAATGCCATCTAAGAATTAATCAATCATTCGGCGTGTTCAAATCATTATCTATAAATATTGTAGGTCTGTATTGAAAAGTTGAGAAAGAGAAACACCAGAAACGCCTTTCTAGCTCTGTTACTCTAACGCCTATCTGCGAAGGCCCGGGGCCAACCACGTTAAACGCGCGTTCGCGTAGAACTCCTCGCTACTTGTATTGTGCACAACTCTTGGTAGGATAAAGGCAGCTACTATTTGCTTGAGCGAACTTGAAGTGCAAGCAACCCTCGGATGAGGAGGATAGAGCAACTTAGTGAACCTCCTCCCCCTTCAGGTTTATGTTATGCTCTCTATTTCTCGTCTTGCTGGAAGAGAGTCCCTAATAATCAATCTAAATTGATTGAGATGTTGAGCGCCGATTGTACAAATTTGGGTCGAAACCCTTGTTACCAGCACGGAGATCTTGCCAGGCAGTCGCAAGGATAGGCGCAGCAAGAAAAACACTTAGGACGGTAAGTCAGTATATTATGCTAAGATACAAGGACAGATAATGTATTATAGATAATAGTAGATAATTTCTTGCGGGAGTGAGACTCACCACATATATATTGTGAGCAAAATCTCCATGTTCAACGGGTTGACCAAAAATTAAATCGCCCAGCTCGATAGAAACGACCGCCTTGCTCTATTTGCAGCAACCAGCATAACAATTGCGAGAATAATTTGGGATATTATTCTAGAGAACCAAATAAGCGACAGACGGACTTAAATATGCTGGCATAGAGGTATCTGTCAGTCGGGAGGCAGCCCACGCTGTTGATGGAGATAAGACTAAGTTGGCGGCCTCTTTCATCCCACCATCCTTCGGACCACATACAACCTATGCCTGCTGTAGATCAGAATGTACATTTGCGTCATAAATCATAATTCCCTCGAGGCGCAGCTTTATGCGCGTGACAGAATATCTAGACGGCCAAAAGAAGATATACGCTCGGGGCCGGGAGCATCCAGTCGTGACCACCTGCGTTATTTATCGAGATCAACGAGAAAAGCCACCATCCATGGCAAAAAAGAGGGTGGAAAAAAAGAAACCAAGTGTTAATAATTGAAGATGGACTTGTAGCCTTAGGCTTTAGGAAGAGATTAGTTTTAGCTTTTGAGGTTCTCCCATCACAAGCGGCCTTTATTCCACAGACAACCTTTTGGAAAGCATGTTGCTCGATACTTTTAGTCAAGTTATAATTGGAGTAAAAGAGAAATGTTGCTCAGTTTAACCGTGGTAGTAAATATCTTTACTTGGCCTAGATATGGTACATATCTGATGCTTGTCCCAAAGTTCCTCACAAGCCGTACTTCCGGTGCTCATTATCCTAGGGGACTACACGGAGACACACGCGGATCATCAGCCGCGAGAACTTCCAACTCCTAGACCTGTGCTTGACGCACATTCTGTGATACCCCCCCCTTAGCCACCCTATCTTAATCCACTTGGAAAAAGCTAGGGTCAATATCAAAATTGATCAACTCTGGCAGAGGCCCGTCAGCCTCAAGACCAGGAAACATCTGAGGTATCTGGAAGTCTTCAGGTACTGAACCAAGCTGCCCTCTATCAAGCGCAAAATTGTTGAAAATATTGTTTATAGATGGGCTAGGGGCAGGCTGCAAATTGGCAAGGTCTGGTCTTGACGTGTTGGATGGCGCGAGATCCTGGCTATGAGGGCCACTGGGTGTCACAAACCCAGGAAAACCTCGATCATTTGAATGGTAGCCCCAGAAGGCTATCAAATTTCTGTTTTCAACCCCCATTTGAGGCCCACTAGCCCGGGAGATCCGGATTGCTGCTAGCATAGGACTCGGGAGATCGATGGTTTTAATCACTTTCTCCAGGAATCGAATGGCAAGCTCGGCTGCCACGTACATCTCCTGGAGTTGGTGCAAGGCCTGGACACTTTGATAGAAACGACCGATTCCGGTGCTGCGAACCTCCTCTACTGGGCTACACACATCCCGTAGATGGATAAGAGCCGCAGAAAGAAAAGCAGGTATGCTGCTTGTGGATAGGTAATGGAACTGGTTCTCCGATTGAAGGTCAAATGCAAGTTTGGTAGTAGCAATCGCTGCTTCCTTCACTCTTTGGATTGAATTCTTCCGGTTGACGGACTCAGCCGGACTCGTCGTAGGACTGAACGCTTGAGGTCGATGAAGAGCCCCAACCGTGTTGAGGTAGATCATATGTAATAGAGCCTGATGTAGTCGGGTGATTCGGTTACACCAATTGTTATTCGCGGTTGATCCTCGCACAGGAGGTGAGTATCGGCAAACTGCCTGCCGATTTCGTAGCCAATCCTGCAACTCGCCATCACACTTAGCTAAGTCGAGGGCTTGCTTCTCTGAGAACTGTGGGACAGTTGCAGTCTGTGTGAACGATTGGGAACCTCCCACCGGGCTGCCAAGTATCGAATATTGCGTCGTAAGAACTTTTCCAATGCAAATGCACAGCTTGGCCAGCTCTACACAAATCAATGCCACACCTTTGCGGCCATCGACATCAAGCGTCGTAAGTCCAGACTCCCCGAGAAGTTTCAGCACCTCATCGGTCGGCATTTGAAGGCTGTTCTCAAAGTCGTCGATAGTTAGCATTGGGACATCGAATTCTTCGTCACGTATTCTTGGGGGTCGCCGAACAGCAAGACACAAGAGCCGGTCTCGGATGAGACATGACCACCAGATCCTTCGCCTCATACACTTTTCTTCTGAGCTGATATCCAGGCTTTCTGGATTTCTGTGGATACCAATGGCTTGGGCCTGTGATAAGGTGACTCCTATCCAGTACCAAGTATCCTTCTCGTCGTTTGAAAAGTCACACCAATACGTCATAAAAAGCAAGGATTGAAGTACTGTGAGGCGGTCTTGCTCACAGTCAAGCCCGTAAAGCAAGCGGACTCGGTTGGAAAAGATTTTACGAGCCGACTTTCGGTTTGAATACCCTCTTGCTTGGAGGTATTCATCGTCCACGAACGTTACGCTCACATACATAACTGCCTGAAAAAGAACTAAACTGACTGGGTTCTTTCCATCATTTCGCAGAATCGGGCCAAGAAATGAATTCAGCTCCACGGCAGGCATGAAGGCGTAGACAATGTAAACGTACACTCGCAGTAGTTCGCCTCGGAGCTCATCATCTGGAATTGTCAAGGCATCCTTGTCCGCAAGATAAGAGAGGTCTCGCGGCCCTATATGGCTTGGAAGAGGCTTGATATAAGGCGGGAGATATGGCGCCGGAATGTCACCGGTATTCATGCCGTTGTGCAGGACTAGATTGGGAATCTGAGGACTGCTAGGAGCACCATTTGGTTCCTCTACGGCCTGGAATTCGTCCAGGTCGTCAAAATCTTGGTTTGCGTCAGGCTCATCGTCTTCATCCTGACTGTAATCGAGGCAATCCTCGACTCCTGACTCATTCTGTTGGTCTGGTGGTCATATCAGCTGGAGCTGTGCGTCGACAATATAATGGCAGATATGCCTTATAAAGCCTACTTACTCTCGGGGCCTGTAAGTGACATGCGAGCCGTATCTTGTCTAATACCGGGAGATGTGAGTTCCGCACGAGAATTTTCCGCTGATGAAGCTACTGCCGGGCGCGAACGGCCCTCTCCGACCTTCTTTCCCCGGTTGGATTCCTTGATGATACATTCGACACTGTCCAGGCGACAGTTGTTGCAAGGAACTCCTCCACGAACCACATCACAGCGAACTTTCCTGTTGCGGCATGATAGACACGCTCTTGATGAACGCCGCTTCCCCATTGCATTGGTGGCCTTATTCCAGGATTCCGGTTGCTTTGCCCCTCCTCTCGTTGGCGAGAGATGAGTGACCTGTGTTTGGGAAGACATTTCATCTCACGATTTGATTGGATAGCTACGGGTAGCTTGTCTAGCCACGATTGAGTTCTTTTCCAAGGTGTGGTGGAAAGTCTGAAATACTAAACGAGAATGTTTTCTAGACAAGAAATGGCCGATCATGAAGGGTTGCCCAGACCAACATACTGGGATACGCCCCGCATCGACTGGACGCTTTTATGGGCACCCAGTCGTGCCAACCTACGTTACAATTATCAAATGGCTAAGTATACTGATTTGGGATCGAGAAATTCACAGGCTTTCAATGATATTATCACATAATGGTGGACACCTCGTAGCCGTTGTGTTTGCCACAGGTAGCTTTAACTATTTCAATTTAACGACAGTGAATTTCTCCCCGTCGTACATTGATGTTTTTTTTTTAATTTTCCTAGAGTCAGCATGAACTAACTTGTAAATACAAATTTATCTGTAGTATTGATGCCGAGGCCTTCAATTCAGGGTTAGCGGACAGTACGGCTACCTGAAAACCAACGGTGAGTCGGGGATCAAGCATCACCCAATCACCTCGGCTATCACTTCCTCCGCTTCAGGGCCTACTTGAGATGGGAATATCTCGCCAGATTCGTAGTGAGGTTTTACATGACAAGATATCAAACAATAGCTTCCTTTATAAAAAACCTAGAAATGCATAAGTAGCAATAATTAATAAGTGAAACCATACCTATGCTGATAACGCCATATACATTAATAAAGCACGGTCGTTGATGAGGGATATAATAGCCGAGGTGAGGTGACATAGTCTCGATCTAGACACCACAGGACACTGTGGCCCACAGTCTAAACACACCAACGGCTGCCGATGGCCAACATTAAGCGGGATTATATTATCCTTATCGTGAACATACAGTGAACTGGGCGCGGCACACGTTTCGTTTAGGTATCGGCCGCACTCACGAGCATTCGTATTGTTTGAAGATCCCGATACACCACCCACGTAACCTATTCACCAGCTCGTGTACCGCCTTCCGAAGCTAAAAATGAAGGTTGTCATTGTCGGCGCATCCGGCGAGACTGGGCAATCCATCGCCCATGCATTGATCCAACAACCTGATACTTTTGTAAGCACTCCAACCTATTATCCCGAGCCATTGCCAACAGTAAGCTAACAAGGATATAGGAAGTCACTGCTCTCTGCCGTCCCGCATCAGAAAACAAGCCTGAATTTCAACAGCTCAGAAATCACGGGGTGAAGGTGGTTACCCTTGACCTAGAAGCACCCCATGAGGAGCTGGTGGCAGCGCTCGTTGGGCAGGATACGGTAATTTGCTGTATCATCCCTTTCGTACCAGAGACACAAATCGCTCTGGCGAATGCAGCCAAGGAAGCCAAGGTCAAGAGATTTGTACCCAGCGCATTTGGGCCTGTTTGCCCACCAGTTGGGGTGTTGGTATTGAGAGAAATTGTAAGTTTCTAAATACGCCGAGATATTCAGCTGAGATAATATGAGTATTCATGGATTTATAGAAAGAAGCGGTTCTTAGCCACATAAAAAAGCTGTATCTTCCATATACGGTGATAGATGTTGGCTGGTGGTATCAAACTTCCTTGCCACGACTTCCTTCGGGCAAGCTTAACTACGCTATAAAGTTCCCCAACAATAAGATCATTGGAGATGGAAATCTCAGGTCTGCTTTAACTGACCTCAGAGATGTGGGCAAATACGTTGCCAAAATTATCACTGACGAACGTACCTTGAACCAATCCGTTTTTGTGTACAATGAAGTCTTAACCCAGGAAGAAGTCTACTCAACTCTCGAGGACTTGAGCGGCGAGAAAATATCACGCCACTATGCCAACGAGGAGGAGATATTAGCGAACATTGACGCAGCTCAGAACCGATATGATCAAGATGGCTCGGTAGCTAACCTTCTGGGTCTATCCTCTACACAGTATGCGAACTCGGTTTGGTTGCGCGGTGATAATCTTCCCGAGAGCGCGTCATATCTGGGATATTTGAATGGCAAAGAGCTTTACCCAGATATGAAGCACGTATCTTTTGCTGATTATGTGAAAGAATTGATTGCCGGCAGAGGCAAAGGGGTATATGTTGATCGTGTCTTTGGATTTGAAAAGGATACGAAGATGTTCGACAAAGAGTAATTTCTAAGAAGGACCTAGATTACCGTGAGAATGAACTGAAGGCTCCTCATCTCGGGAGCTCTAGGATAGCAGACGCTCTTTTTTGTTCTCGTTCCCCGACACTTGGATAAATAAATGGCATCAAAAGAGCTCAATTTCTATTACAGCCCCAGGTGTTCCCTCTCTCCATTTGGTACTATTGCACACACCACATCGTGTCAATGGACATGGACACTCGATCCATCAAATATCATCCAAGTGCCTTGAATAACATACACTTAGTATATGTCCTGGCTGTACGAGAATGTATGAGGACTAGTAGTTAATTTATCGCTACACGCTCTAGGCAATTGTTGGACGCGGATTTCTTTTTTATTTAAATATCAAGGACTGATTTGTCGAAACAGAACTTCCCAAAAAGACTACTACAGAATAGTAGCTTCAGGTTCCGCTAACTTTTCAATATCAAGCCCGTCTTATCCTATTATCCATAGAGACTATGCATTGATAAATCTCATCATGAGAGGACCCTTTTCCCAAATAAAATAAGTCTTCTGAGAACTAAGCCAGTTATGATTCTCGTCATCCAGAACGACATCGAAGTTGTACATCAGCCTAGCGAGGATGCTACGCATCTCAGCATAGGCCAAGCTACCATAAAAGAATCAGTACAACGTTCATTGTGACCTCGATAAGTTACAGGATTGGGGAAGGTGAAGACGGCATTCAAATAGGACCTACTTTTGGCCGATACAGTTTCGGGCTCCGGTTGAGAACGGCTGGAAGATTCGACGGTCGTCATCAGCATAGTTGGGATCACCCATCCAACGTTCAGGTATGAAGCTCTCAGGATCTTTCCAGTACTTCGGGGAGTGATTGCATGAGTACTGATGCACCGATACGATGGTCTATAGAACACTTGGTTAGTTTTGTGCTCAGAAAAGACTCAGGGAATAACCATTGCTTGTTTATTCATCAATGAAATGATGTGGGTGAAATACTGACTCCGGCTGGAAGATGCTTGTCCAAAACTGTGAGGCCGCCCTTCGGGATCACTCGAGGCATCCCAATAGGGACGGGAGGGTATACACGCATAGATTCCTCTAATACGGCCGTCGTATACTTGAGCGAGTTGGTAGAAAGCATGTTGATCTCGCTCTCAGATTCAAATGCACCACGGACTTCTTCCTGGAGCTTTTTGAGCTTGTCACGGTTCCTTGCCAGAAAATAGAGCGTTGCAGTCAGTGCCGTAGCTGTTGTTTCCGATCCGGCAACAATGACAGAAAACATCTCGCTGCTCAATTCCGCTTCGGTCAAGGGGTCTTGATGTCCTTTATTCTTTAGTAATGGGGTCATGAAATCTTGTCGGTCAGTGGTGTTGGCTAGGCGGCGAGCCACTTTGTCATCCGTCATTTTCTGGTGCCTCGCGGGCAACTCCTTCTGTGCAGCAGGGACAAAGAACTCGATCAATGTTTGGAGGCCGGGATATCGCCTGAGGCCACCCATAATTGCTGTGGCTCGAACTGTGTCGAAGATGATTTCCACCCAGGGATCAAACCGTTGCTTCTTGAGGCAGTCGAAAGGCTCGCCAAATGAAAGCTCACCCATGAGATCAAACGTGGTCCAGTTCAACCAGGCAGAAGCATCGACGGCCTCGCCCTTTGTTGCCTTATCCCTCAATCCTTCAACCAAGGCTTCGATATAAACTTTAATCAGAGGGTCCTGGTCTCGGAGGGCCTTTTCAGAGAAAGCATGGGCCAGTGGGCGACGCAAGCGTGTGTGATAGAAATTATTGGATGAGAAAAGAGATGGGACACCATTGGGAGGGTGTACATAGAAGGCGGGTTCCTTGTCCGGATATGCTTGTCCGGGACGATGTGTGTGAATGTCTTTCCAAGCTTGGGAGCTGGTGTATGATAACTCGTTGGGCGATATTCTCACGACATCGCCGTATTTCTTGTGCAGCCCATAAACATATTCGCATGAGTTTCCGGAAACAAGCGCTTTCAAGTATGGGATCGAAGTCGCAGCTGACGCCTTTGGGCCAGGATAAGAGCTGAGGGGGCTCAGGTAGATATTGTATATGATAACAACTGTGGTAGGTATGGCAACAGTAGCGATCTGATCATCCTTCTTGTTAGTACGATCATGTACCGCGAGTACAAACATGCCCTTGAAGTTCTTACAAGTAGAGCAGCCCATACAAGCAAGTTAGTATAACTGCTAGGGTCTTCAGCGAGAATGTTTGCCACCGCCATGGTATATTGTGATAGTCTCAACCAAACTCAAAGGCCATGCATTTAAAACTCGCACTCTAGACTGCGGTTAGCTTCAAGGCAGGCGATATTTATCTAGCTTAGAAAGCATGGACCGTTCTTGCACATGATCAATTCAACGTCGTAATACCTCGGTAACTATACTCAATTGTGGTGGCCAACCCGGCGCATGATGTACATTAATTTATCCCCATTGTTATGTTGACGTGCAGCCCACCCACGGGGTAACATCTACTTGCCATAAATATACAGATTCCGGCCAGTCAAGGAGCTTTCGCCTAAGTCAAGATCTCTTGTTGTTAATTATTAAAATATCACACACAAAAGCAAGCCTTTGCGAAAGAGAATCATGTTACGTGGCGTTTAATGCTTTGTACGTTGCTCCTCCAACAAATCTCTGCGGCGGCATAGGGTTGCAGCTTCTCCGATTTGGTCGTCATTTCTCGTCCCTGGCTTGCGTATTTCATGCAGCCAAAAGCCGAAAACGTCATGGGATTTTTGGGATTCATGCTCTTCACTCTATTCAAGGAATCTATATTGCCGAGGGTGAGAATGATTAAACTCAGCTTCTCCTCACATACCTACAAACACGAATGGCTTATTTCACTGAATACT